TAGTCCTTGCTCGACTTGGGTCTCGTCGACGCATACGCACGTCACGACGGATGCGGACTCTGCAACCTTGCTCGGCCACAATACGCGACAGGGTGGTGCTCTCCGACAAACCAGGGAACTTCTTCGCGCTGAAGACGGTGAAGGCGACGGTCTTGACTTCCAGACGGAAATACATGCTCTTCATGGGCTGTCTTGACTTCATGGGCATGGTCATACCGGTGGTTGAGACGGTACCGACAGGAGCTGGAGGGACCTTGTCTTCGTCCTTGCTCTCCTTGGGCTCCTCGTACAGGCTGAAGTTGAGCCTATACAGACCCTCGTGCCTGACGGAGAGGTCTGGGAAGATGAAGTAGCCGGCCTGGCTGGGACGGTCGAGGTAGGCGATGCCCGCCACTGGGACACCGGTGAGAACCGGACACGCAGTCGGCTGACCCTGGACTCTGCCGTGGGCATATGGACGAGCCCACTCGAGCGTGGCGAAGAGGAAGAAGTTGGCGTTGTAGGAGAAGGTGACATCGGTCTTTTGCATGTCGTTGTTTGGGTCTGACTCGAAGATGCGCATCTCTACGATCGGTGGCGGGTCGACAGGACGACGGTCGGCGGCCGCTATTCAACCCCCCCTTTCTCAGTTGGTGTTTCTTTGCACGGTGAAGAGAAAAATGGCGCGAGAGAAGAAGAAGAAAGGACATACACTTCGCACCGGCACCGCAAGCTCTGGCGCGCTCTGGCTGCTGCATCACCCTGAGCGAGTAGGTGATCTTCTTACCCTCGCGGGTGATCCTCGACGAAGAGTGCTCCGTCTCATTTGGAGGATGTAGGATGGATGACTTGGTAGCCATCTTGGGCGACGGTTGTACCCAAAAGAAGGGGGGAGAAGGGAGGCGTAGGAAGGACGGTGAGATCGAATAGTTATTCCTGTCGGTCCCGTCAGCGTCATGGTCTTGTCTCCCTTCCCGTATCTCTTTATTCCCCCTTTGGCTGGAAAAACTCACCATACACCAGCGTCTCAATCAACTGCTCCAGCCCTTCCAGTAAACACTCGACACCGTGATGACAAAGGTGAGGAAGAAGGAGAAGGAGAAGTGGAAGAAAAGGACGAAAGGAAGACGAGAAGGACAGGAAGAGGAGGAAGAAGAGAAAGGAGAGCGAGAGAGAAAGCAAAAGGGTGGACCAGGCCCGGGGCTCTGGGGCCGCACTGATCCCCCCGGGGACCCGTATTGTAACGGGCGTGACAGTACAGCGAAAGTCAAAAAAAAAAAAAAAAAAGAGTGTGTGAGTGGAAAGGGAAAAAAAAAGGTTATATGGGCGGTGGATCCACCATTAGGGGTGGCTTGGCGCCCACAGGTTTTTCTTCGGTGGGAAAGATAAGATTTATTTCTGCTTCTCTTGGCTGGCTTGGCTCTTCTTGGCGTGCTTCCTTTGGGCCACTCCGACGGGCTGGGCCGGACAGGGGTGGAGTAGCACTAGCATGTAAAGGGTAAGGCGTCATTACCGGCCGTAACTTACCGTCCTCCCTCTTCTCGTTTTCGTATTTCCTCTTTTCCATCTCTCTTTTTCCCTCTCTTTTCTCTTTTCCGCTGTCTTTATTATCAGCAGCGTTAATATATATATAGTATAGAAAACATCTATAAGTCCCTTCTTCTATATCATACTGTGCTCTCTCACTACTCAAGACTCAAACTTGTCGGGCCATGACAAGAGAAAACTCTATCTGCACGAGTCAGGGCGCCACTTATGGTAGACTGGCGGCCCCGCGGAGAAAGTGGACGCGAGGTGTTTTTTCTTCCCTTCCTCGGCCCCCCTTGACCTTGAACAAAGGAAAAAGCCAGCCAAAACACGCACACATAATATTTATTCACTGAACACTATCACTTGAACAGGCTAGGACAAGACGAACGTGGCGCACTCGACTTTCACGACTCATGAAGCGGAATGGCAGGCTCGAGACGGTATTTATCTATACTATGTGTGTATTACACGATGATACTTCAACCCTCCCAGCACCCACAAAGGCGGGTTTGAAGGGTCATCGAGCCATGCAAGGGCCTTTCTCTCGGTTGGGCTCCAGTAAGCAGGCACACTTGTGTACACATACACCTAGTGTACATTCATGCATACATCGTTGATTACCTGCCACAAACAGCATGAAGCTGCACCAAAAACCAAAAAAAAAAAACCCTGCCATCTGACCTAGCCTCGCCCCCTCGCCTTCTTGCCATGGCAGCGGTTTCTTGTACAGGTACACACCTACATAGTACTTACATATCTTCTATAAGGGGATAACGTGTGCTTGGGGTCAGGCTGGTTACTCACTCGACAAAGCGTCCGGGATATGATGAATATCTCCTCGTGTAGGGTATCCAGAAGCTAAGGCAGATGACATATGATGCTGCTGCTGCTGATGATGATGACTGGATAACGGCAGATCTCCCAGCATCTTCATGCCGTCTGTTTTCCTGGTTTTCGGGGTCTGGAACCGTCGTGTCGGGTTTGCCTTGCCTTCTTCTTCTTCTTCTTCTTCTTCTTGCCGCCAGCTTTTTTTCTTTCTTTTTTCTTCTACCCCCCAGTCTTTGCCCCTCTCGTATCATGCAGGCATACTTACATATGTAAGTAGACGTACCAAGTATGTAACGATGTGTTTGTTTACCTTGATTACGCGCCCGTCGTAATTATCACCGCCTTCGATGTAAAATATAATGTATGTATACATAACTTGCTCTCCTTCCATTGCTCTTATTCATCCTTATTTCTTCGATCGAACAACTCGTCTTCGATCTTCGAACCACATACACAGCGTGGAGTGTCTCCGCGTTCGGTTAGGGTTGGGTTATTTCGCCCCTTTCAGGCCCAGGAGAGAGACCAGAGCCACGTCGTCGGGTGTCGGCTACCCTTATCATGGCTCTCTTCTATCTCAACATCAGCCCATCGTCTTCTTCTTCCTAACCTTTCGAAACGGCCTGCTCCCCGTTTCATCGCATGGTATATCTGTAACCGTGGATGACACTTGGAGCAGTTATATACGCTGACATTACTATGTTGTATCCACGGGTCAGATAATACATAGTCACCCAAGTACAGTGACACAAGGCATCTACATAGCAAGTCACATCCATAGTAATAATACGCACCCTCGCCGTAGTTATCGAACTACTCGCCCGAATAGTATAATGTATATACACTACTTATGTATATCGAATCGTACGAACTGGCAAAGGGCCTAAAAAAAAAAAAAACGTGGCGTGGGTTCAATCAACTACGTAGTAGTATTATGTACATCCATACCTGGTCGACATTTCTTCCTTTTTCTGCGTTCGTCTTGACTCGCCAGAGAACGAGGGGCGAAGCGAAACAAGTTCACGCAGCCCATGCCAATCACCTTTCAGCAGTATTATCTGTCAGCAATGTGTCATGAAATGGATTAACAGGATAGCAGGCTGAAGGTTTTCTTATTTCTTTTCTTTTCCCAAGCCCTGGTCGGTATCGAAATCGAACACTCCAACCACAGGAAGGGACCTGATAGAACTTAACTTGTTCTGGTGCTTCGCTCCGGTACAGAGGAAGAAGAAGAAAAAGCAAAGGAAAGGGAAAAAAGGTGATTGATCTGTTTAACTCAATCTAATTATCCTTTGCTGGTTCTTCCAACGTTCCTCTGTAACTATAGACATACTATATGTAACTGTGCGCGCTACTATATATTAATGTAAGTAATAAGCTGATATAGCTAAGGAGCATCTGTGCTAAGGCCGTGCGACGGGAGGTCCTGACGTCTAGCCTACCCTTAACCGTCTCGCTATCCACTTGATCCTATATATCGTCCACTTATGTGTGGGCTCAGTTTCCGTCCGTCTCGCTTCCTCTTCATGCTGCGACGCCCTTCGCTTCCACAGACATGTTATGCACGTGTGATGATCTTTGTATCCGTAATTATGGCTTATTTTTCTGGCTAAAACGTCATATTCGGAGCCACCACCAATACGCATACACACTCAGCGCGAGAAAGAAGGGATAGTTACAAGCTACACGAGAGAGAGAAGAATAATTACAAGTGCAAGAGAGAAGAGAATAATTACAAGTACAAGAGAGAAGAAGAAGAGTCGGTCTTTTGTGGTACTCGCGACTGCACTTGGCTTGGCAGTGGAAGAAGAAGGCATATACGATGAGGGACGCCTTTCAATGTCGGCCACCACTTCGACAGATACTCTAGAGACACGAGTAATATACGATATCCTGGCCTCGATAGGCGAGAAGCAGTCGATCGAGATTGAAATCCTTCCAGAAGGCCTGGGGCCACTACTCACGGACGATGGCGGCAGATACATAGGTGTCACCAAGAAGGCGCTGGTGCGGGCCTTCACCATCGCCAGACGGGTGTTTTTTGACTCTCGACAGTCTGAGACAGTGGGCTCTGCTTCCTCTAACGCTTGTTCTTCTTCTTCTTCTGCTGCTGCTGCTGCGGCGGCGGCGGCGGCGTCGACTGTCATCCTAGTGTTCGACTCTGAGCACCTGACAGCATGTAACTGGCGCAAGCGAAGGATTCTCTCGTCTCGGCTGAATGGGTCGAACTTGACCTCAAGCCAGACATCCCGGATGCATCTTCTATCCATCGAGCGCAATCTCACCGCCTCCTTGCTCGGATCACCTTTACATCGCCATGCAAAATCACCGATGTTATGGTACCATCGTTTCTGGGTCATGCATCAGGCCCATGCTCTCCAGCAGGCTAGCGAGTCCAAAGCTGAGATGCTAAAGGGTGAAATTGGCCTTGTTCTACGGGCCGCTGAAAATCATCCCATGAATTATTACGCCTTCAGCTATCTACGGCAGTATATAGCCTTGTTGACCAGCAGCGTGGAGGTTGACGTTCTGTCAGAGCCCAACATGTCTTATGAGGTCAAGGGTGAGGAGGCCGGGACCGACAGGGATCAGGCGGAGACGGGAGTTAGTACGTCCCAGCTAATATCCGATACCCGTCTAATTACAACTTTGTGTGACTGGTGTCTCCGTCACCCCGGTGATAACTCGGGCTGGATGTTCCTGCTTCATCTCCTGTCGTTGGTGGAGGATGATGGAGATGTCCTGCATGATGTCGTGCAGCGTGTTATCAGTTTCGGGCGTGCGGTGCGGTGGCAAAGAGAGGCTCTGTGGACGTTTGTCGAGCTGGCTATCTCCAAGTTTGAGACCATCCTGTCTGGCCTTGTCGATCCAGCTGTCCATGAAGGGCACGGTTGGGCCCAAGATCGGGCCCAGGAACGAGCACGGCCGGACGGTTCGGTGGCAAATAAGACGGCTCCAGGTCCAAGGTCATGGAAGAGATGGACTTGTCATGTCGTTACATACGATGGGCAACCATGACGTACATGATACATATCACGGAGTAACTACGAGAAAGCAATTTCTAAATCCGATCAAAGTGAAAAATTAAGGGTATGTATGTTATATAGAAATAAATAAAAATTTCAAGTTTAAAAAAAAAAAAGCAACGCTATAACGCTATCATTGAACCAAGGAGGCTTTCTCGTTAGGAGAAGAGGGCTTCCTGCCTCTTTATCATCATCATAAAGAGTCACACCAAGCTACCTTCCGTACTTATGACGGGGCGCGAAGGTCTCATGGAGGCGTTGGGAGGCGACCTTGTCGCGTAGCTAGTATCTCAACCAGGACAGCCAACTGTTCCAACATTCAACACTCAAACAGTTTTTCTTCCAAGAGACATCCAACGAGTATCCGTTAAAGCAGGGCGGTCGGCGGCATGATGTATCTTAGTAGCTACTTCTTTTTCCCTTCTGCTGCCTTTCTCGCGTTTGCTGCAGGTTGAACGGTTAGCCATCAAGATCACTCTAAAACAATGCACCAACAGGAGACGTACCAGCTTCTTGCTTCTTCCGCATAATATCAGCCTGAGCCTCCTTGGCACGAGCATACTCAGTACCGCTCATCTCATTTTTCTTCTTCTACAGAAGATCATCAGCATGGGAGGGGAGTGTCCCGCTATCGATAAAGGAAAAGAGGTTCAACGTACATGGCTAGCCGCCTCCTTCAAGTTCTTCTCTCGCGCCTTGTCACGCTGGTTACCGCGGGCCATCGTGCTATATTAGTTTTTTTTTTTTTTTTTTTTTTTTCCACACTGAACGATACTATGACGATGAGATGTGTACGATATGGATCCAAGAGAGCCGTTTTGGGCGCGTCGAGTTGAGTAAAAGAAAAGTTGATAAAGGAAGTTCGTGAAAAAAGTTGGCCTTTGGAAGCGCCGGAGTCATGTGACCATGCGTTGGATATAAAAAGAAAAGAGAAGAAGCAGAAGAAACAAGACGGTTGGCTGAGAGAGGTCGAGACGCCGTGTTTCAGCACCAACAAGGACGCAGATGGGCAGGAGACGACGATGGCCAGTCGCTGATGGTGAAGATAGGTCATCCTGAAGCAGAGGAGAGCCGCTTGGGGGTCCCTGAGGGATCCCTACCTTACCTAGCCAGTCAACTACTATGTAGAACTTGGGCGGCTGGCGGTCTATGTATAGACATGGTTAAACCATGCTGTTTCATGCTATTCATATCATCCCAAGAATGTATAGATGGGGAAAAGGGTCGACAAGCGGATGAAGAAAGTAGCATAACCTGGTTCTGGTTCTTTTAGGGATTTCTTTTCTTCTCGCCCTTCTTCCACCTATATTGTTCAATCTTGTCCTGCTCTTCTCTCTCTCTCTCTTCCAACGTCCTCGTCCTCTCCATATTCACAATACCTGTGTCTATGGCTGGCCTGCGATATGTTTAATTCATTGCTCTGATGAATTAGACTGCTTCCATTCCTTATTGTTGATTTATCTATATTGTTATTACTCTCTTGACGGTGCTTCTGTCCTGCAGGCCAGGCTATTTATTCTCCTTCTCTTCTCCCACCTTCTTTCATTTGATATCCAGCTACTTCTTTTTACTAAAGAGCCAATATAAAGGCCATCCTCTTCGTCCATGCAATCTCAAGCTCCAAGTCTTGCACGCCAATCGTTCACTACATCCAACATCACATCTCAAGGCCATAATACAGAAAAACACCCCTTTAACATGGAGATTCCGAAACTCCCCTTGGCTGGCCCAGGGTATTTGATATTAAACATCATTCGAGCCATGAACATCATCAGTCTACTCGCTATCATCGCTGCAAACACCATCCTGCTGATAAAGACCGTCCTGGTGTCTAATTTCTTCTTCGAAACAGTCACCCATGTTGCCATTGCGTCCATCAGCTGTACGTTCTCCGGACACACTTACATTCTTTTATACCCTTTCTTCTAACATGGTTTCTAGCATTCCTTATCGTTTCCGAACTCAGCATTTTCCGCTCATATTTTAACCGTAACTGGCCTCTACTGGGCGAGGACTCAGGGTTCGTCACCCTTGGAACAGCCATGGTGTTACTTGGTATATCGACTCTCGGAGATTTGAACAACGAGGCAACCCGTCAGGGAGCAATAGGCCTTCCATTCTGGAGACTTATATTGGGGGCAGGTATCATCTCCATTGTCATTGGAGCTGCTAATATTGGACTGGTTCGCTTCTCCTTTTCTTATTCCTTTCTCTCGTCCAGTATACTAACGACTCTCACAGAGTTATGTGTTCCGCGATTCAGATCTCGGAGTCTCCGCACGCCATGTTCGTGCTCGAGGGGCCGTGGCTACTCAAGAAGCGGTCACACGTAAGGACAGCTACAGGTCCTTCCAGCTCTCTCGCAAGGGATCTTTGCCTACCTATACCTCTTCAACCTCCAGCCCCCGGTCGGTGTCAGTACGCCAACCCTCTCGGTTCCCAGTCCGCATCTCTTCCCCAATCGTGAACAACCCCGAGGCGTCCACAGGGTCACCCATCACACCCAAGTCCCCAATGCCTTCAGAGATTGCCGCTCCCAATCTCGCCCACCATCCTGCAATGTATTCTAATCATATATGATGATGCCGGTCCAGATTATCTGTGGGTCAAGGTTCGGCACAGATGTCATGGAAACCTGGCCTTCCACCCTCCAATCCACTATCGGAATTTGTTGTGGCCTTTGCTGTCTTTAATATTTGAATCTCATTTGTCACTTTTTTTTCCAGCGCGGTACGGTTAGCAGGTGTTTCGGGTATGGCGCTGTTTCATGATTTTTATATTTGAGGACTTTCAATCTCCGGTATCCTCCCTGTTAACTTACTTTTATTTCCGTTCAAAATCAGTGAGTGTTTAGCGTTCTCGGACTGTCAGAACAAAAGGACATATCTGCTGTGTTATTTAGACAGTGATTCTACTTCTAGTTGTTTATACCATTTTATTTCTATTTGTTTACACTGTGTTGCGGTGTTTGGTGATGAGGTCACTAAAACTAAATATGCACAATCCCTGTAGATAAAAATCCCGGCTTTGGCGCTTAAAATACTTCAATGACACCTATGCATCATACAGCAAGAAGGCCTTCGACACCAAACGGCCGGAGGGGCATATACATACAGGCTGCGTAGGATGCTTGGTTTTATTAATATCTAGAGCCCATAACTATTGCCGCTCGCTTGTCGTGGGCCAACTCTAGGGAGTCTTCGCCCAGGATGCTTTCCTACGATAAGTACATCTCCCAGGCCATACCAACTCTGATAATCAGCATTCTAAAACAAGGTACAACAGCATCAAGGCGTTATCCATATTCTTTGCGCCTATCCTGATACCCAAAGCCATCGCGCTCTTCCGATCAGTCCACTCGCACATTGCGAACCGGCCGCCTCTCCAAGCTCTTCCTCCGTTGGCCTCCCGCGCTTTAAACATACTCTTCTTCTCAACCGCTCTCTTTCTCGCCCTCAGCCTCCCATCCGGCAGCAACATACTATCCAATAACAGTTTCGGGACAAACGATATCTTCAAACTCACCGGCTCACGCTTTAACACACCGACAGAGCTGCTCTTCTCGCGTCTAAGACGACTAGGTGGACGATACGAAGTTGAAAGCGAACATGATTTAACGCTCAAGAAACTTTTTAGCTCTCCTACTGCAAGAGCATTATATCTACAGCTCGGTTCTGAGCCACTGATTGCTTGTCCTTTCTGTTCGCTGGACAGCTCAATCACTTATCTTTTTTACTATTTGCCCTTCAACACACTTGTGCCTCATTTATTCCACTTCTTTGTCATCGGTATCGTGACGTCTAGCTCTATCGTGGGACCAAAGGTAGCTAGGTGGAGGAATAAGTTTCTCATCGGCTCTGTGGCACTTTTGATGATTGAACTCTGTGTTATTCTACGAGCGACTTCTCCTCTCTTCTCCATTTCGACGAATACACCCAGTGGCCAGCGCAATAAGTGGACGCAAATATATAACCATTACCCGGATGCGCCAGCGAGTCTGCACGTTCGACTCGTCACGCTACGGCCTTTAGCATTTACTGTATTTGACGTCATTTGCGCTGCTCTCATTTACCTATCAGCTACGAATAGGCTGTTTTATACTGCAACTACACCTGCTGAGCAAGCACAACAGCTTGTATCGATATCTGCGACGGCGATGTTGAATTCTGTCTCGAGACTACAGGCAGTCAGTGTGGTGAGAAATACGATTGCACGAGATCTGGAATTGAGTGCGGTGTATGATGCGTATTTCCAGAAGAAGAGGAATGATGAGTGGGTATGGCAGGAGGAAGAGGTTGTTGAGGCTGTTGCGAAGGTGATGAATGACAAAGCCTTGCAGACAGGTAGCCGTAAGAGCGAAAATGGGTCTGTAACAATAGATGCAGACGAGTACGTGGAAAAGATAACGGCTGGATTGGAAGGTCAACAATCGGTGTTTGCATGAAGGGGATTGATTTAAGTCACCTTGAATGTATATATGTTAGATAGACTGGATAATAATTAAGATAGTTGCACTGAATTCATACTAAATAAAATTCTATCAGATCGATACATTATTATATGCGCATGATACATTTAATTTACAACAGCTGGTTACTGCTTAACCATGGGCTCCGGCAATGTCGTTGTATCAACCTCCACAACCGGGCCATCGTACACTCTCCGCGCGTATGTAAGGTAATATACAATGCTAAAGACAATCACAAACGCCCAAATAACAACGCTATAATTCATACTTCCTGCCGTTGGAATTGCATCAGCGGGGAAGAAACTGAATATCAAGATTACCGTTAGGTATATGCATCCAAAGACGTTCGTGGCAATCCCGACGGCTCCACGGACATGCCATGGGCCCCAGACAAGACGGGCTCCTGTCGTGTTGGCAAGGGTTGGGCCAGTTATATTGTCACTGGAAGGGTACGAGACATTCCCTTTGCAACGATGATAAAGGAGCATGGCAGTGGCTAATAAGTAGCTGATGTATAAGCAGGCAACGTGTTAACGAGACAATAATGTTGAAAGCCGTGGTTGAGCCGATAACTATGAGAGAGAGAAGTATGGTTATGGCAGCTGTGACGAGAATGGATATTAGAGGAACTTGGGTGCGTCGCTCGACCTGTGATATATTGTTAGAATTTGAACATTCGTGCAATACAAATTATGTAGAAGTGAAACGATAATGGACAGACCTTCGCCAATGTCTTCCACCCTGGCAGACCTCGATCTCTTGCAAACGACCAGGTCATCCTGGACGTGGAAGCAAGGTAGTTGCAGTTTGCGAATAGGGTTAACGTAACGATGACTGAAGCCATCGTTGCGGAGCCGGCAATTGAGCCCGTAGCTTGCAGAAAAATCTCCAGGAAAGGGAAACCGGTCTGCGAATTCTGAGCAGCGGGCAAGTCAACTATGCTAAACAGGGTTGCAATAAGCATGGAGAATCCCAAGCTTCCGTTTATGAATAGAGTGAGAATGATAGAGCGTGGGACTGTGATGGATGGGTTTTGAATCTCTTCGGACATCTAGACTGGGTTAGTAGTACACAGGAAATACAGAGATTAGGCAAAGGCGAGCAAGGTACGCACATGATATGCTCCATCAAGGCCTGTGAGGATGATTAGCGGATGTTTATGCCAAAAACGTCATACTTAGAATGTGTCTAGCTTACCCAAGAAAGCAAATGCATTTCCAGTCAACCCGACCAAGAACGAGACTCCCTGGCTCGACCAGTTTCCGCCGTTGATGAAATTCTTGAATACCAAGCTTGCGTCATTCTTTACTCCAAACTTGACCAAGGGTATCAAAACGGCCAGGAAACCGACAAGATGGAGAGCTAATGCTAGCTTTTCAAAAGCAGGCAGTAATTTGCTAGTCACAACATTGATGAAGACACAGTACAACGCCACTGCCCAGAGGAAGAACGTTGTATGCCATGAGCTGGGAGAATAGGACGGGTTTGTAAAGATGACAAGTCCCTGTATCATGGAGCCGGTCAGAAAACAAGCCGAGGCAAAACCAGCCTGCCATCCAGCCACGGTCAGCCAGCCGGTAATGTAGCTGAGGAATTTGCTGGATGACTTTGGAGCCAGCATGGCAACCCAGTGGTATTGGCCAGCGGAGATGGGAGCCATAGAGACAAGTTCAGAGAGGGTGGTGAAAACAGCCAAGTTGCCGGCCCATATTACTATGTAGCCATATATGATACCTGCGTGGCCGCCATTTCGGAGTCCTGTAAGGAACAGAATCAACGAGGCCTCCCAGGTGATGAGGACGGCGCAACTGAAGCCTAGAATGGAGAGAAACCGGAAACCTCGCTGGGTTGCGTATTAGCTGTGCTGTGCATTTCTTTTTTTTATTTTCACACTTGCATGTATGAATCCATGCATGTATGGATCTCTGTGTCTTCTCGGAATATCTCCGAATTTTACATTGTGTATAAGGCGAAGGGAATGCATATATGGAACACACCCTTAGCACTTGCTTCTTCCCCAGACGACCAAGTTCCTCACGATCAGCATCTCCGGCCAATGATCTGCCATCACGTTCGTGACCCATGAGATGTGACTTTGGGCGGCGGAGGGGGATTGCGTGTTTCTCCCTGTATTATTTAGAGGCTGTAAAGAAGTAATCCCGAATATGTTGACATCAGTCCGTACTGAAAATATCTGGAGGTTAAAACTGCTTTTATTTGGTGATATAAAACTGGGTTTCGGTTTGAATTTATACTCAAGGGTGGGTGGCATCCGGGCGGACAACACATGTGTAATGGGAAACAATGATCCGAGCTAGTTCTGTCTTTTTATCTGAAGGATCCCAATCGACGATCTTAAAATTCGTATACTATCTGCTTAAATTCTGGGGCTGCTCCAGTGGCTCTAACGACGGCGGCCTTGGTCTTGATTTTCTCGTTCTGGGCGACAACCACGATGTAGCTATAGCCTGCAGGGCCGGTGTCAATGCCAACGACAAAGAATCCATGGATATAATCAAATAACCCACCTAATCATATAACCCATCTGCGCTGCATCTTTGATAGTTACTGCTGGGATTTAGCGCTTACCGTGGCTATAGTTGTCAGTTATGCTGCCATGTGAGGCCGCCATCCCTGACCTCTTCATCCACAGAACTATACATAGCGAGGTACCTATCCATGTCTTCTTCTTCTTCTCTTATCATCATCTTCTTCATCTTCCGTCTCTTCATCTTCATCGTCTTCATCTTCTTGTCTTTCTTGTCTTAGTAAGCCATGACTCAGCATAACACGTGGGCCAGGCCAAAAAAGGGAAGCCAAAAAGAGGAAGAAGCAGAAAGCGGAGGCCGTTTCATGGACGCGGGATGGAGAAGGGAAAAAGCCCCCATGACGAGGCAGAGAGGAAAAGCAAGGACACATCGACTTGTCATCAATCTGTATAGCTTCTCTCTCTCTCGCTCTCTCTCGCTCTCTCTCTGCTGCACTCTTGTGCTGTTGTTGTGTGTGGTTCGCCGTTCATTGGCGACATACATATTCAAGGTACAGAAACCCTGCCCTGGTTGGTCCCTGACCCAAAAGGGAAAAAAAAAAAAAAAAAAAACTGAGGATAGGTAGGGATATACGCCATCGCCAAATCACATTCGCCCCTTTGCCCCCCTCGCTGCATAGAAAAGAGATTTCGGTGACTTGGGCTGGTCTTAATTCTCTGTCTGGACGACCTCCATCAGCCGGATTTATAGCTTGGATGCGATCCCTTTTTTTAACCTTCTCCTCACCTCTTAGAGCTTCCCCGGTGCGGTCTCCCCATCCTCGACGTTACTGAAGCAGCGGGTAGGAATTCGAGAGACACAATGGCTAAAGAGACGGTAGCTCTGGCTGCCGAACGGAGGGAGAATGGGATCACCAACGTCCATGCCTGTGTGTCGACTACGGAGACAAGCAGGGCGTCGAAGGATGGCGCTTCCTGGCGAGAATGGGTGGTTGCGAACCAGATAGGTGTGCACACCCAAACCGCAGTTTAATTTTTTTTTTCTCTTTTTCTTTCTCATCATCCTCAACAAAAACATATTTTCAATGGCCTAATTAACAATTCTCAGGTGGTTCGCTTTCAATTCTCGCTATCATATTCGCCGTACATGCTTTCGTTCCATCTCTCAGGGCGTACACCACGCCCTATCTCGAGCTTCCTCACTACCATGCCGAGACTGGAAATTACAAGCAGGGGCTGGACGATGTCTACTTCGTCATCAGCTCCATGCTAGGCTTCACGGCTACCAGAGCTATAGTAATTGACTGGTTTTTCTATCCTATCGCCACTCAGCTAGGGTTAAGACACAAACAGGCTGTCCGATTTGCCGAGCAGGGATGGCTTTTGGTCTACTACCTAGCCTTTTGGCTTTATGGAATGGTTAGCTATTGCTCTATGAAACAATGTGTTTCTTCTGTTCCATCTCTCTGGACTGCTGCTAACCATGCTGGTCCAATTACTTAGAACATCTGGTATCACTCTAGCTACTGGTACAATTTCCGTGCGATATGGGCCGATTGGCCCACCCGCGAGGTCACAGGCAACGTCAAGCTATACTGCCTCTTACAGCTGTCCTTTTGGGTACAGCAAATCTTCGTCATCCACATTGAAGCCAAACGCAAGGACCACTCACAGATGGTTGTCCATCATATCATCACCAGCACGCTGCTCGGATCCGCATATGTCTATAGCTTCTACAACGTTGCCAACGTGGTCCTCTGTCTGATGGATATTGTTGATTTCATGCTTCCTGTGCGTACCCTTTTTTGCTACTGCCGTACCTTGTGCTAACGGACATATAATAGTTTGCCAAAATGCTTAAATACCTTGGATTCGAACGCGCCTGTACAGTTGCCTTTGGTGTCTTCCTTACAACCTGGGTCATCGCCCGTCATTTCATCTATATGAGTCTCTGGTGGTCCATCCACAAAACAGTTCCCACTGATGTACCGTTCGGATGCTATGCCGGCGCCACCGGCAAACAACTGTCGACCGGCTCACCCGACCTGTTCTTCCACACCTTCAACCCCTTCCTGGATCTCGATGGCCCAATTTGTATGACCAGTACCATCAAAGTTATCTTCCTTGGAATGTTGCTGCTATTGCAGGTTCTCTCCCTCATCTGGCTTGGGATGATTATCAAAGTAGCTCTGGGCGTTTTATGGACGGGTTCAAGCGCAGAGGATACGAGAAGTGACGGCGAGGAAGAGGTAGAAGACGTTGAGCCGAAGGAGAAGGCCGGCACTTCCTCGGCGAGAGTCACGGCCTCAGAAGGCAGCTCCTGGTCAAGATCTGTCATGCCCAACGGTTCAAATCACCAGAGTCATCCTGTGCGAATAAGAACGGCCCGTGGACGAGTTACGTTGAGTGACCATAATGATCGAAAAGCTCTCCTTGGTAGAATTGGCTGTGACAAGCCAACATAGAACTGAAAAGGCGTTTGGTTCTCCATGATCTCGCGGTTTGACTACTATTTTCCACATCGATCTTTCTATCTACGTTTTTCATCTCGTTGCCCTTTATTTTCTTTTATTTCCCCCCCTCAGGTCTGATTTTGTGTTGAGATGCTTCCCTCCCTGCTGGCAACGGTTGCAGTAACGGTGACGGTGACTGGCATGCCTTGAAAGAACTTCCTATCATTATCCTTCCTATACCCATAAATATGCCCGGTTAAAGCTTTTTTAATATATTTCTTTTTTCCTTCCTTCTTATCACAAAAGAATATATCCCTTCATTGCATTTGTTCGTTTTCTGAACTATCATCTTTCTCACTGATTTTTTATCCCCTTTATGCTCCTACTTTTGTCTTTGGGCTGCCTCTGGCGGCTCTTCTCGACCATACACCTATGACGTCGTTCCGTTTCTTTTCGAAAAAAACAAGAGGACTGAATTCTTGATTGACGATACCCTTACCCCTGGCAGCAAAATTCTGCTATGATATTTAGATGGTTATCCTCTCTTTTTGTTCCTTCTTTCGTCCTATTGGTATGCTTCGTTCTACTGCCTGATCTGTCAATAATGTTGCCTAACGCTTGTTCCCTGCCTCACGCTAAATAAACCAAGACGAAGGCCCGGATACTAGGGTCATCGATCTCCCTACTTTTACTCGTTTGTTTACAGCCCTATACCAACTGGTTTAGTTCAGCATGCTATGTTTTGTCTTCCCTGCATCCTCCTTCTTGGTGCTTATATACACTGCATATTTATTATACCCGGGGTAATGTGATTTCACGGACGGCACATCCTATCGGCTTGTCTGCATTCATTATGATCTATTCCGTACTTAAACCACTATTACTTCTCATCCTTCTTCTACCTGGCTGACTCGACCATGCTAGAAAGTGACGTAATAACCTTGTAGATACTTTAGGGCTGAAATGTTTTTTTATGAAGGTTGAGCTCGAGCCCGGAAGCCGCTGCGGCTGGTTGGTTCCTTGGTCATGGGCCTGCTCTAGCCAGGGATAATATATATTATTATATGAGATCTGGTACCTGAGGCTACATATACTCTGACTCTTGTAATTGAGTTGTGGAGTAACTGAAAAAAAAGCTATTTTGATTTCCTTGGAAGTGACTCTGAATATCGCTGTTTGGTATTTTATCACGGAACAAAGGAAAGAAAAAGAAGAGACAATAAATACCAATGCAAGTTATTTGCGTCAAGTCGGTTCGTCGTCCCAGTTCCGGTCTTATGCCTTTGCCTTTTTTACTTTCTTTGGCTTTTCCTCCAATTTCTTGGTCTTTGAGGCATTCTTCGACTGCTTCTGGTCTTTAGCGGGCTTCTCAGGATCCGCAGAAGTGTCAGCCTGGGCCTTCTTCTTGGACTTCTTTGCCTCCTTCTTCCCTGCGGACAACAACTTCACGGCTTCAGCGGGCTCAACGTCGCTGGTTTTCACTTTCTTTGCCTTGCCGTTTGATGAAGTTTTAGTAGCCGCAGTATTTTCCTCCGCAACTTCATCTTTGCTTTTTGGCTCTTGCTTCTTCGGAGTTTCTTCCTTCTTGTCCTCAATAGCAGCGATAGGAGACATGGAGCCCTCCTCAATCTGGTTCTGAACTGTAGGGGCAACAGGAACATCTTCCACAGATTTCAATTGAGGGATATCATACTCGTAGCCCAGAGCTTTCATCTTTTCGGCCTTCTTAGCCCGTTTCGAGGACTCTTTGGAAATGGCCTTTGACCACTGATCGCGTGACTTTCCAGCCTCGAGTCGCCGCTTTTCAATCTGGTTCCATGGTGTCTTCTTGAATCGGCGATTTGCTCCCTTCCACATCTCCGGGTGGACCTTGTCATTGGGTATGTACTTGCATTTCAAGATGTGGCCGAACATAAGGTAGTTCTGCATAGCGGCTGCAACAATCTTGGCGACAGACGTGGATGTGAACTCGACGAAGGCATAGTGTTTCGATTTTCCAGTTGTACGATTGCGGGAGAGACGTAGACGGGAGATGTCTCCAAATTGGGAGAAGTATGCGCGCATCTCATCTTCATAGAAACCGTGTGGAATTCGTCTGTAAGCATTTATGGATTAGTTGTAGCTCGGTAGATTTTGGATAGAGCATCTGAGTAGGAAAACTTACCCAACGTATACGGTGCCAGGTTCTTCTGGCTCTGGGTTTTCCTTCTTCTTCCGTCGAATCGCCTTCATCGCCTTCTTAGAGTCAGGGATCTTTGGGACCTCTTGACCAGGCTCAAAACCTTCATCCTCTGAGACATCTGATTCTCCGCTGCTTTCGAATCCCCGAATCAAAGCTAGAGTTTGGTCATCTTCAGAGACGTCTGAATCTGCATCTAACTCGGAGGGAGACGGCTCTTTGGCTGGCTTTTCAGCCTCCTTGCTTTTGGCTTTTGCTTTCTTCGTCTTCTCCGCAGCAGTAGAGCCTTTATCCTTTGACATAGAGCCGGCAGCAGGCTTCTCAGATTTAACTTTCTTCTTTGGCTGCGGTTCCTTTTTAACCTCAGGCTTATATTCTACCTCATTCTCGGAGATATCTTCATCATCACTTAAGAAGTCGGCTGCGCGTTTGCGGGGCTTCACCTCCTTCGCGGGCTTCTTGTCTAACTTGACAGGCAATTTCTCGGGTTTGGCACCGTTGACCACGCCATTTTCTTTTACAAGCTTCGAGTCAGATATCTTCACTTCGGCCACCTGGAATTTCGCAGGCTTTTCTTGTGTTTTCTTGGATTTTTTTGACGGTGGTTGTTGGCTCATCGTAGGAGCAGAGGTAGCCGTCACGGCCGCTACATGACCGGGTTAGAGACGTGTTCGCGTAAAATTGTAAATAATAGATAAATTAGCAAACCTTTGCGCTTGTTGGCCTTCTTCTCTGGAGCCATTCTGGGTGCCTGTCTGTGGTCAATTGTGTAGAAGAGTCTGCTGTTTGGTTCAACTTTCATCATGTTTTTCCAATTTTTTTTTCTTTGTGGATCAAACGCCAAGATTTCCAGAGCTTCCTCCGCCAAATCGATAAGCGCAGAGCTTTTGGCTCAACTGCAATAACTTGATCCTCTATATAGACCAGATACTGGTTACAACTGCGACGAGGTGAGAGACATGAAGAAGAGAAAACGTTCTAGCAAAAATAAAACTCTAACCCAAGAAGAAATATGGGATGATTCGGCGCTTCTTGAATCCTGGGAAGAAGCTGCAGAGGAATACAAGGTATGTACGTTTCTTTGCTACATTGCATATTTCATGGTAAAATGAAAGGCGTTTCTAATTCGTTATTTACTATTTTAGCTCTATCATAGTATCCGAGCCAAGGGGCAGAGAGTTGAGGATGTATTGCGAGAGGCAGAAGAGTCAAACGGCAATGAAGACGATATGCAAATAGAGACTGGCCCTGAGCCAGAGGAGGCCCGGGGAGAGGAGATGGTAGCGAATGCATCCAGAAATGTCATTGTTGAAGATTCCGATGAAAATATAAAGCACACGGACACCTGCACAACGACTCAAACCGAGGTAGCTTTCCCTACCTTCCCAATAATAAAATTGAGCCCGATTGCTAATTATATGTATTGTTATACAGGATGGAACGGCTCCAGAAGTAGCCATGGCAACAGACCAGACATATTCCGAAGCCCCGGCAAGTGGAAGTTTTGCAGGTATGCCTCAAATGGTTCTGAACGGAGCTCCTAATCCCCCAAGCAGTAAGTGCATCCAGGAAACCGATTACAGGATAATATGAACGCTTGACTGACACCTGAATAATATATAGTTCAGGATGAGGGATTAAAGAACCTCATGATGTCGTGGTATTTTGCGGGCTACTACACTGGACTATACGAAGGTCAACAACGCGCTGTGTCGAAACAGTAACACGAGGGTTATGAGAGTTGATGCGTCGGCATATGAATCTTTGATAATGTTTTTCGGCCTGAGACTCGACATCACTACCGAAAAACTCCTCCCAATAATTGAAAACCGGAACGTCCTTGTACGTCCGGCACTCGCGATGATAATATTTGGGAGAGCTATAAAATGCCTATTTTGACTTGGACTTTGCCTCTGATGGAGCGTGAAACTTGTCCCTTGATAAGTTTATGGCATACTAGAGCACCTAGCCCTTGAATACTTCAACAGATACAGACCACTACAACTTGGTTATCAATAGCCACAGAAATCTTCCTCTCCGCCTTGCAAAGGCACAAAATTAAAAGACAAGTACAAATAAAATTATAATCAAAAATGGTCCAATATATTAAACAAGAATGATAAGATATGTATCTAACTCTATTTGACACGCCTCAGCCCTATGAAGCAAACTACGTTAATAGAATGGTAAAAAGGCGGGCGCAACACGAGCGAGACAAGTTGAAACTTTTTGGGTTTATATTGGCAATATTATTGACCTCGTTGCGTAGACGCAGAACCCATCATAGAGAGGACGGACGAGACTTCGATTATGCCGTCATTTAACATTGTATTTCTTGCAATTATAATATTATGCAGTTTATGTCGTGACACTCCAGCTACAGAGCTAAGTTCTCTCTTAGTTGTAAGCATGGACGCCTACGGTTAGCAAGTTGACATTTGGCGGCACATAAAATAGAAGTGATCAATTGAGCTCTGGTCGAAGCGAGAAGATACGGCGGAGATACATTCGCATGTATCTGAGGCAACGGAAGTTCTCACAGGGCCGTAGGCCCAGTTGATCCACGAGGAAGCATTATTCCACACAGGTTAGGTAAAAAAAGTGTTTCCAGCATGACTAAACTACCAATAGTTAGTTCGATAAAAAGGCATATTGGATATGAGTGAAAAAAAGGTGAGGATGCAAATATCGAGTTATGTATGCCAAAGCGAAACTCATCGATCGCCCTGTTGGTAAAAGCCATCCTCCAGAAGAGGGGGAACTTCCACTGGCGGATGAGTATTAGAACGGGCAATTTGAGATCTATCTGGGTCTCATGTTATCAAATTTGTAGAGGTAATGGATGCGTATACCGTTCGACAAGGGCATAGAGACCGTAATAATATGTATGAGGAAGAAAGAGAAGAAAATGAAGAACGAAAAAAGTTGGAAGAATTTGTGTCGTTTTACACTAGACCTATTTAGGTTAAAGTTTGGTCTCGTGATGTGTTTAGTAAGCATTTCTATCAAACTTCAAATCTTCAACGTCCTTGATAGTTAAAACATTCAATGCAACAACAATCCTTGCAGCTATGCTTTACAGATATTCTAGAGGAATTAGCCCATTTAATTATTTCTTATGCTCAAATTATGCTCAAAGAATGCGGTTTTTTTCACTCTTTTCCTCTAGGGAGGCTGATAGGCCACCCAAGCTGTATTTAGAGAAGCCTGATCGCACCGGTTGGTTATGATATACGGGCATATACCATTTATATCTAACTGCTTGCCAGAGGAAACCGCCACAGAAGAAGATATGTTTGCATATCGTCGACACCGCTGGATGTGAGGGCTGCTAGTCATGTTATAATCGAACGAAACTTACACAGTTATTAGATTCAATGAAGAGAAAGAAATTAGCCATCGGTATTTGAAGTTTGACTTTGAAAGTCTTATCAAAGTTGCTATAAGTTCAGCCGGTGGCGGTGCACAGAGATGTATATAACAATCCGATTTTTTTTAATTATTCATCAATTCATCACGCTTAAAGAGAGCAATTAACGAATTTCATAGGTACAAAGGTACTGAAATGTGTCGAAGGGCTTCATAACAAAGGTTTTCTCTTAACAATGGACAATGGGACGGAAGTATTTGCGAAGCTTCCGAACCCTAATGCGGGCCCTGCGCGATATCTTATAGCGTCAGAAGCTGCCACCAGAGAATTTGTTAGTTGCCCTCTTATTGGTTCCGGTTTGCCTAGAACCTAATAGTATATTCCCAGCTCCGTGAAGTAGCAAATGTGCCTATTCCAAGGGTCCTTGCACGGTCATCCGATCCCAAAGGCCCGGTTGGAGCTGAGTATATCATTGAGGAAAAGGCCCCTGGTACTAGATTAGGAACCATATGGCCCAATTGGTCTCGAGAATCAAAACTACGCATGGTCGAACAAATTGTCGACCTAGAGCACATACTCACAAGTATCAAATTTTCAAAACATGGCTCTATTTACTTCAAAGAGGACTTACCGCATTATTTTGGCGAAGAGGGCCATCCCCTACTGGCTGACTCCTCTGTAGACTCAGCTAATTTGAGTCAATATACTATTGGGCCGCTTACCCAGTCAGAACTTTGGAGGAGTGGCCGAGAGGATATGGATTTGGACAGGGGCCCTTGTGAGTAGAAGCTGCTTTTATTACATTCCTGTTTGGACGTCTATTAACGCATGTTAATTGTATATAGGGCAACAATCTGAGGATTATGCAAGAGCTATAGGTGAAAACGAGGTAGCTTGGATCAAAGCACACGCTTCCCCTAGGACGAACGCTTATGCGTCGCTCAAAGACCCTGAGCTTCCAGGCCATGCTCTTGCTCTCTTGTCAAAGTATTTAGATGCTACGCCTTATCTTGTACCCAACGATCCTGCGGCTAGAATAAGCGTCCTTTGGCATCCAGATCTACATCTGGATAATGTCTTTGTTGATCCAGAGACATGTAAAATTACCAGCATAGTCGATTGGCAAGGTGCAAGTGTCGCCCCATTATTTTACCAGTCCTGCGTGCCTCGGATGTTCCGACATGATGGGCCTGTCCGGGAGGGATGGGTTGTCCCTTCACGCCCAGAAGATTTCGATACTCTAAGTGAGGAAGAACAGGGGCTTATCGATCAGGACCTGGAGAGCGAAACTATACATAAATACTATGAAGCAAAGGTCTTCCAACGCGCTCCTCATCACTGGGAAGTCCTAAAGCAGTTAAGAGATATACAGCTTAGACGCAATCCAACCTGGCTGGTGACTGGTGTTTGGGAAAATCGGGACATCTTCTTTTTACGTCAAAGCCTAATTGCTATTGCGGCTCTATGGGATAGGCTACGGCCGGACGAGACTACGGAGGTTCCGGTTTCTTTTACAAAGGAAGAGCTAGATCTTCATGCGAAGGAAGATGAAAATATCACGGGTGTTGGCAATATGCTAAAATTATTTCGAGATCAAGGGGTTCTCCCCGTGGATGGAATGGTGGGCCCGGAGGACTATGAGACAGCGAAGATCAACTGTCAAAAGTTCAAAGATATATTCATTAAAACTGCAAAGGATGAAGAAGAAAGAGAGCTGTTTTCCAAACTCTGGCCCTACCAGGATCAAGAATCATAGTGATTTCCAATCGCCAGACATCCCATCCAAACATACACTACACAACCTTTGGAATGATTTGCATGTAGTGTTTTATTCTTGCAAGTTATGGCGCCTGTTACGCGAGCGATGCCCAAAGCAAGTTTTTGTCGTCCTTTAACCGGTAGTTACAAAAGGGGTAGTATCTTTTGCAAGATTCATTATATCCGGCATTTCTCTTTAAATATATATTTCATGATATCTAGGGTCCATCAATATCTTCACATACTCATCCAGTTAACCTCAAACCCATTTATTCTCCAGCCACGACGGAATTGATCTCTTTATTCTTTGACGCAGCTTTCCAGCTACTTCTCCATCGGCTTCGGCCGCGTCCACTTCTAAATGAAGTGAGAGGATAACACCTCTAGAAGCGGGCAAGCACCTTCTCTTGGGTATCACCCATAGCCCACTCACTGCGGTTTTCCTTGCTGAGCACACTACTGGCTTGTTCGGCCGTGAACCCCTTGGCTTCAACAGCAGGGTTATATCCAAGCTGATTAATCTTTCCAACTTCTTCATTAGTCACTGGCTGGGATGTCTTGCCGTCTGCACGTTTATATACTGTGACGACGACAGCTCCACCAAGACCGAGATTATGCTGTAGAGCAACGTCGGTGCCTTTGACAAGGCGGTTGTTGGCCCAGCCACGAAGATGCCAGACTAATTCTGCACATTGGGCAATACCAGTTGCACCCAGTGGGTGGCCCTTGGAGATCAAACCGCCAGAGGGATTGATGACCATCTTCCCGCCATATGTGATATCGCCCTTTCGAACCATCTCGTGGGCCTTGCCCGGTTCGCAGAGCTCTAGTGCGTCGATAGTGATCATCTCGTTTGATGAGAAACAATCGTGTAGTTCGCAGACTTTGACGTCCTTGACATTTACTCCGGCTTCGGCGGCGGCCGTTTGGCATGCATATCGAGTCATCTCGAAGCCCATGAGACTGATGGAGCTTTCGTTGTAGACTGAGGGGGTGTCTGTGGCGAGACATTGACCGGCAATGAGGATAGCCTGGTCTTTGAGGTGTGGTCGAGCGTCAAGGAAGGTCTGTGAGACGATGACAGCTGCAGCACCGCCATCTGACGTTGGGCAGCACTGGAGCTTGGTCAGGGGGAAGTGAATCATGGGGGATTTCGATATTTGCTCGTGGGTGTATTCAGTTTGGAATTGGGAGTATGGGTTTCGTTTTGAGTGCTCGTGATTGATTCGTCCAATTTCAGCAAAATCTTCTGCCTTTGCGCCATATCTGTTCAAGAGAACGGCTTAGAACTTGATCTGGCCCCCATGGAAGCGGTTACTTACTTCTCGATATACTCAACACCAGCGTTTCCAAACATCTGGGCAGCTCCCGGAGCATTAGTGAGTCCTCGGGTAGCAAACATCATTTCTCCGAATTTGCCAGTAGGGTTCTCTCTATCGTTAAATTTGGAAGAGAGGCTTCCCGGACTCATCTTTTCGAAGCCAACTACAAGGACGCAGTCGGCTGCGCCATGAGAGACCATGGTGCGAGCCATAGCCAAGCCGGTTGAGCCAGTAGAGCAGTTGTTATTGACGTTATAGATGGGAATCTTCGTAAGGCCGAATTGGTAGAAAACACGCTGGCCGCAGGTGCTGTCTCCGTAGCAGTAGCATGCGACGCCCTGGTCTACGTCGTCGTAGGTGATATGGGCATCCAACATAGCCTTGACACCGGCCTCAAAACCCAGCTCATGGTAGTCGACCTTTCCGCGCGGTTTGATAAACTTGGTCATACCAACGCCTAGGACGTAGGCCGGAGATTGTGCCTGTTTGCCCATCGTGAAGGGAGTCTGTAGCTATCCAATAGGGTTGTTCTGGTTGTTAGTTAGCAAAGCTCACGATGTATAGATCAGGATACCTGTCTCTATGTCTTCCAGCTCCACATACACCAGAAGAGAGGAATCTGGCCGTATTTAACCTCCTTCTTCACCCCTTTTCACCATGGCCGGAGCTTTCGCATGTTATCTGTGTTTGCGGGGGAGATCCCGAGGCCCCGAGGTACGATCGCAGATTATGTAAGCTGTATAGTCCTCGATCTTCAGGCAAGCGAGGAAGAAGCTCGAGTTGAAGCCCATCACCGATCGATCACAGAAAACATGTGTAGAGAGGGTGAGGGAAATGGTAGGATGTATGGGAGTCAAGCTGAAGATCCCCCGTTTCCCATGGGTGATAGCCAAGTCGACCATTAGGTTGTGGCGGCAGCTTTGATATTATATAACTTAACCTCCAAGTTATACTGTTATTGCGATGCGTCCGGATGACATTGGGCTCTCTGTACTAGCTACTGTTCCCATCGTCACCGGCATGGCTACCCAAGACGAAACCCTGATGAGTAGCACCAGGACGTCCGTCCATCCCGGGAATGATCGTCCTGTACTGCAAGGTAAAAAAAAGCCTTTTCTTTTTTCATTAACTGAGTGACTGCCGGCGAGGATGCCGGGTCTGTGGAGGGAGAAAGAGAAGGCCAGAAGAGTGACAGGTACAACTGAAGCCGGTAGAACAAGACGAAGCACTTTGAATCGCAACGGAGGTTATGTTCAACGTGAGATGTATCGAATAGTTCGAGAACTCAGCATCGGACGAGCGGTACGACCAGGCGGTTGGTCTGCATGTACAACAGAAAACACTTTTGAACTGGCGTCAAGACAAGTTTTTGGAGTTATTTTAACCCTGGCTTATATCTGGCCCCCCCCCTTCCTGCGAGTCAGTGTATTTGGCCTGTTCATCATTGGCCGAGCGTACGTCCAGAGCAAAGATGTCACTGGCCAGACGCCAAATCTGATATGCGTTTATTTGAATGTACCTCTACTTCGTGTGCAGTAGATGGTTCCCCGTGCTAGAGATGTAGCGGTGACTTCGTTCCCTGCAGAAACTCGTCCAAGGTTCACATGTATGGGTGGATGTATATAGAGAACTAGGGGAGGAGTTAGCCACTTCTTCCCACTGCTAGTTAACGGAATATCGTTAGTGCGATTTATGATGGTGGCCGTCGAACCCTTGGATGGAATAGAAGCTTTTGTTGCTGCAACTTCATCTTCTTCTTTTCTCTTCTTCTTCCGCTTCTTCATTCTTCTCTTTTTCCTTCTTCTTTCCCCATCCTTGCTTCTGCTGCAGAGGCTTTTCCTATCCGACGCCTCTCGCGCTGTCTCTCTCTCCTTCTCATCTCACGTCCGCCTCAAAGTCGACTCCTGCCTCTGTGTCTCTCTCCTCTCTCTGGTCCTGTCAACATCCCCCCCACCATCTCGAGCCTACCGTGCTTTTTTGTTGCTACCATATACAATCCATTCCGTTTCATCTTCCTGTCATTATTGAAGAGGATAATCCCTGCTGGCTCCAATCAGCTGCTGTTGCTGAAACGTGACGGTGGACTGACCTGCTCTCTCTATATATATACTTCAACTGACATCTCGCCCTTGCATAGAGTATATATATATTCTATCTCGTCTCTCTCCATCCATTATATTTTTTTCCCCCCCTATATTTCCTTAGTATACCTGTGCAGCTCTCTCTTGTAAGGGGCTGCCATTGAATTAGCTTGTCTGCTTTATATATATACTGGACACCTCAACATACCTCTGCCCTTTTGTTTTGTTCTCCTGCTGTTTCTTTCCCCTTTCACTCCGCACTGCTTCTGCAGTGAATTTTCTCCTCCTGTTACTACGCTGTGGTGGTGGCCCAGTAAACAAGGCAAGACATACTGGGATATCCTAATCGCTTACTCCCCCTAGCGGATCCAGAGACATAGGAATACATAAAAAAGAGAGACTGGTCAGATATAACTGTCTACAAGACCCATGGACACCTGTGGGACGCTGAGAGGTCTGCTCGCTCACACGCTGAGAGACCACTTTGCGTTCCATAGGTTTCTACGGGTGCAGTCCTGAAGACAAGCACACACGCACATATATATAAAAAGAAACACACAACGAAGCCCGCCGCTTATGTCGTCCTCACAGGAGGATGCTGGACATGTAACAGCCATCACGGCGCCAGTCTCAGCATCCTCCTTACAACCGCAGGCTTCACCAGTGATTTCACCAAAGACAGCCACCAAGATGCCGCCGTGGGCCATCCCCTTCGACACGCCGGCCAGGAACCGCTTCCTGAAGGACTACCGGATCCAGGCGGCCTCTGCGACCTCGACAATCCTCGCATGCCTTGCTGTGGTGAGTCTTCTGCCCGTGTTGTTAATATAACGCGCTTCAAGGCTGACTGCGTCTGCTAGACCCCACTGGAGAACGTGAAGACTCGACTCCAGTCGTGAGTCTTTCCCTGGTGATATACTATGTATATTATGAGCTGGAAGTGTACTAAAAATCGTTTTACTAGATACAACTTCAAGGGGACCAGCGACTGCCTTCGGTACATGCTCAAACACGAGGGGCCACGAGGATTTATGGCCGGTAAGTTGGGGCCCTTTCGAATACGCGTAAGTGGGAAAAAAAATGGAATCGTCGTCTCACTTCATATCAGGCGCGTTACCACCACTGGCAAGCCTTACGATAGTCAGAGTCACCAATTTTACCGTCTATCAGAAGCTCAAGCATGCTCTCTCCGACCTCGTGGAAAAGAATACTGGAACCTCCCCATTAGCCACATATAACACTCCAGGTTCCCTTCCCACTTTTACCGGTGTCTCCTGTTTTATGATATCTGGGATGGTGGCAGGTGTCTGTGCTGCTCCTATTGCTTGTAGGTATACTTTCCTTTATACACACCATGGCCTAAGAACTAACAAAAAGCCTAGGCCCATTTGAACTCGCCAAGAACGTGGTTCAGACCTCTGTACTCATGGCAAGCAGCCAACGCGGACCTACTGGACGGGGTCTCAAGTATACCTCACTTCAGAATGTCCCACGCCTTTCAACCGCCCAGGCTATCAAACAAATCATCTCTCGTCATGGTTTCCGTGGTCTTTACACAGGAATGGGTCTTCACATGGCTCGAGACACGGTTGGCACTGGCCTGTATTTCGCCATCTACGAAACCTCTAAGCAACTGACGTCAACTTACCTGGGAGATAACCATTCTCCGTTTGGACCGCAGCTGGTTGGCGGTGCGCTCTGTGGCACCCTTCCATGGCTCTTTGTAAGTGAAAGAAATATGCATATCAACCTACTTTTGTCAGGACCAAACTGATATCCTGTTTCTTCAGACGTACCCACTTGATACCCGAAAAACTCGTCGACAGAGTATGATACTAGGGAAATCAAAAGAAGTGGGAGCTGCAGTGGCCAAATCTTCAGTTTATACAGGCTTATCGGTGATCATTCTTCGTACAGCTGTGCAGAATATGCTCCTTCTGACCATGTTCGAGTACTTCAAGAGGGAGATCGATAAGCTGGAAATTTGACCTGTCTCCACCAGCAACATACTCGATTACCATGACGGTTACTTTGTGAACCCTTAATTTCTGAGTTACCCGGCGTTCTATTCTCCAGCCCCGCTCTTGATCTTGGGTCATTGCTGTGCCTGTTTCTTTTTCCCACTCTTATTCCCATCAGATCTACACGAGAATGACGGCGATACTTACAGGCTTTGTCACTGGTTTATGCCTGCTCTGCTTTTTCGTTTGACATTTGCCCTTGAGCTCTTTGTACTTCATCGAAGCAAATTTTTCATGCATACCGGCTTTTTTTACAAATACAAGCATTTACTGATCCCGAACAAGTATTTTCCTCCTGTAATATGAAATATACTGTAGTAGCTGTGTCGTAGTGTCCATGTAACCGTGTGAAGGGCTGAAGTTCAACGGGTCAAGAAAGGTCGCTGTGGTGATCGCGTGTATTATTTGAACTTTGCGGATTTCTCGACCCATCGTTAAATTAAGACGTTTAACAACCCTCACCACAACAGCTCAAGCTCAACCGTTAGCCTTTGCTGCTCTTCTACCGACTAAGAGCTGTAGGCTACAAGGACGGTTTATCGGAATAACAGGATATCATGGCGTCGTAAGTCTCACAGCTCTTGACGTGGTGTAAGGGAGGCTGCTGCCCCTCCACCGTCAGCCTTAATACCTATGCAGATAAACAACCAGCTAATATAAATTTCATTTCGGCATAGGAGCATTCTTCAATTACCGTTTAGGCGGTCTCACGATATCTCTCTCTCCAATGCTATGAAACAATACATCTCTACCAAATATGATCAACACCCGGACATGTTCGCAGAGGACTTCATAATTATAGACCGGATGCGCGCAGACGCTGTCAGCCTGCAAGAGCCACACGAGAGCGGGATAGCTAGGCTGGTAATCTATGCAGCACAGCTGAAATGGATCGGCGGGAAGTTTCCGATCGATGTGAGTTCGACCTCCGGCTCTAGGGTGAGCAGTTGAGGGCTAGCTGCTTGCATGCTTAATGAAGGTATACATACTGATTGGGAGCGATTTGGCAGGTTGGTGTGGATTTCCCGTGGTATCCTGCCTTTGGATTCAACACTGGACAAGCAGGTTAGTTTGAACTGGGCTCGTGCTTCGTTAAGATTGCTAATTGTTTGGCCAAATCCAGTATCCCAGAATAATCTTCGATTTGAACTCGCCAATATACTGTTTAATCTTGCTGCGCTCTACTCGCAACTTGCCGTTTCTTTGAGCCCAGCAAACTCGGATACTTTAAAGGTTGCCTGCAAATATTTCTGTCAGGCTGCTGGTGTTATTGAACATTTAAGGACTGATATCCTACCAGATCTACGGACCTCACCACCAGAAGATATGGATGAGATGACGTTGCGAAGTTTAGAGGAACTATTGCTAGCTCAGGCCCAGGAATGTTTCTGGCAAAAGGCTGTGAAAGATGGCCTGAAAGATGCCTCAATTGCACGGCTGTCTGCGAAGGCCTCTGACTACTACGCCAATGCTGGGGGTTACGCTGTGAAATCTAATGCTATAAGCACTGACTGGATACATCATATGACAGCGAAACATCACCATTTTGCTGCTGCTGCTCAGTACAGGCAATCACTCGATTGTTTAGAAAAGAGAAAGTACGGTGAGGAAGTTGCACGGCTGAGAGATAGCCTCATATGTGTCAATGAAGCACTGAAAGAAAGAAAATGGATCAATAAAGTGGTTCTAAATGACCTCAACGGGTTAAAAGCTCGAGTCAGCGAGGACCTGAAGAGGGCCGAAAAGGACAACGACATGATATACCTAGATCATGTTCCTCCTAAATCAGAGCTTAAGCTCCTGGACAGGGCTAATATGGTTGCCGCTAAAGCTCCTATTGAAGTGACGAATGGGCTATCTATGATTGGGGATAAAGCACCTCTTGGCCGTGCCCTATTTGCGAAGCTGGTGCCTTACGCTGTGCATGTCGCAGCCAGTATTTATGCTGACCGTAGAGATCGTCGGGTCAATGAGACCATTGGGGAACTAGAGTCAATGACAACGAAACTCCGAGAGTAAGATAATTTCCTGTGGTCATACTTGAATTTGTCGGGAGCTGACAGTCACAACAGTCTTCTACAATCATTAAACCTCCCAGGATCCCTTCAGGCACTCGAAAAGCCCCTAGGCCTACCGCCTGCCTTGGTCTCTCACGCTGAAGAGATTCGCCAACAAGACGGCCTCAACCGTATTCTAACGTCCTTGGACGACACATCAAAACTTAAGGCAACTGACAAATCCACCTTCACCGAAGCAGTTGAGCTCTTAAATGCGGAAAAAGAGGAGGACCAAAGGGCCCGGCTCAAATATGGTACAGATAGGTGGACTCGGGAGACGTCTGAGAAGGCTGCTCCGAATCTTTATGCGCAGACTGCTGAGATAGAGGGATATCTCTCATCGGCCAATACTAGCGATAACTTCATCCAACGGAAGCTAAACGAGCATGGTCGAGTGCTCCAAGTGTTGGCCGGGACGAACAGAGACTTGGAAGCTTTTGTACCCAGCAGTCGACGACCAGTGCTCTCGTCCCAGGTAGGACGTGAAATTAGTCGACTACGGACCGCATTGAACGAAGTCAGCCGACTTGAAAACCGCCGAAAACATTTAATTGAGGAGTTGAGAGAGACATCTCAAGCAGATAATATCAGTAAGGAACCGAGATTATCCCAGCCGCTTAATGCAAGAAATATGCTAACCTTAGCATCTCTAGACTCTGCACTCCTTGAAGAAACAGGACGCCTAGAACGTGAATTTCCCATGCAAAAGATCCAACCAAGTCAGTTTGAAGGACTGTTCGAGGAACACCTGCGCCGCTATGACAGTGATCGCAACATGCTTTCTGAAGAACAGAAGAAACAAGACGAACTGGAAGCGCAGCTGCGAGATGCTAATAAGGCATTTACAACTGCACGCAAGGGCGACTCTTCAACAAAGGAAAGGGAAAAGGCTCTACAAGATCTAGAGGTTGGATATCTGAAGTATAAAGAGATCATATCGAACATTGACACAGGGAGAAAGTTTTACAATGATCTGGCTAGGATCGTGGGCCGGTTTAGGGAGGACTGCAAGAAATTCGTAAATCAGCGGAGGCTAGAGGCCAGTCGTATGGAAACGTAAGTCTTCTCTCTGGCCTTCTTCAGTCTAGTGTTGCACCTACTCATTGCGGGTTGTAGAGACATTGCAAACACAACAGCCATGGCGGCGATGAACATCGCCCATTCACCCACATCACCACAAATCCCAGCTCAACACCAGCAACATCAGGCATATCTAAACCCTGTAGAGCCACTCACAGCCCCCCAACCTACTAGGGCCAACGTCATACCTCCACCAGCAACCATGCCCTCAGCGGGCGGGGGTATCTGGTCCCCCGAAGTAGGAATCAAGTTTGCTCCGGCACCTGCACCAAATGCACATGTTGCTCCGTATCCGGAGTCGAGAACTGTTGTAGAACCTTCGGCTTCGAGTTCTGGTAACATGACCGGTGCAGGGGCAGCAGGGGTGTCGAAACCTGGACATTGGGATCCAACGAGGGGTTTGAGGTTTTCGTAGATTGTTAATATCGATGGTACATACTCAAAGCATATTATTTCTACATTTGGCATATATGACAAAGTGAGCATATAAAAAGATAGAGATATAGATCGACCCATTTACTTTTCTACGTGCATTAGAATGAACGTAACAAGAGCTGGAATTGTTCTCCTTTTGCCTATTTTTCTGGCTAAATAGCATTATAGATGGTCTGAACCATTCGTCAAAGAGGGAAAACACACATCAGCTTCGTCTAGGAAAATCGTCAAAGTATCATCACCATCCATGCGTAGTCCTGCTCCTTTTTCTGCCAACTAGTATCCCGGCCTAGAAGGGGAGGGAGATTCGCCCCCTCTTCTGCTCTGCCCACATGAGCAAACAGTCACCCCGTTCACTTTAGGGGATCTTCTTCCGTAGGAGTTATGCTGAAATGTAATTGTCCACGATTGCCTTCGGTTCATCGTTGGTCAATCGGTAAGGCGGGAAGATGGAGCCCGCCAAAAAAGAGAGGGGAAAAAAAACTTATGTAAAAATTACAAAAATAGATGTTCGGAGAAATAGAAAAAATATAAAAGATAGGAATAGGGAGGTTGGTATCGGTTGTGAGGTGAAAGGAATGTGGCGGGACAGTCGTTCAACATAAGAGGACAGGGTTGAATCATAAAATCATGGAGAAGACTTGATCTCAGAGCCAGTACCTGTTGAAACTTGTCTCTGGTGTTGTCCAGTAGCCTCTTGATATTTGTGGAACATGCCGGATAGGTCTCCCTCAGTGAGAGATGTGCCGTTCTTTTCAACGATGAGATTTCTAAGCCATCGGTTCTCCATCTCTAGCTGGCTGACGCGGGATTCCAGGGTGGAGTTCTTGCTTGTCACTTCCTTTACGGTCCTCTCCAGGTTCTTCTCACGCTCCTTTTTCTTGATACGGAAGCGTGCGCTAGCAGCGGTGTTGCGGCGGCGTTTGTCTTCTTCCTGGGCCAGACGGTCGGCCTTGTCGATAGCTGAAACAGTAGAGGCATCAGACTTCCGTTTTGAGGGGGCAGCAGCGGGCGGTGACTGAGTGTTTGTTGGCTGTGGCGCTTGAAGTTGTGGTTGTGGCTGTGACTGTAGATGTTGCTGTTGTTGTTGTTGCTGCTGATGCGGAGCCGTCTGGGAGAGAGGGGTGTTACTAGAAAGTGGTTGTGCTGGAGGGTAGGCGGTTGATTGAACCGGGACTATCGACGGTTGTGGTTGATAGTACGGGAAGGTGGAGAGGTTGTAATCTGTTGATACGCAAAATTAACAGCCATTTACTATAAGCAGAAACCATAACATTCTGTTGACGCCCACCATTCAGCATCCCCACATAGTTCATGTCCTGCTGTCCGTTTTCTGGGCTCACGGTACCCGATACGGGTTGCTGCTCGTCCATACCAACATTTCCAGGCTGGTCGAAATCGAGAAACTCGGCGTTGGTGAATAGGGCCAGTTCCGCATCGACATCGAACAATTCATCTGACTGCGCGGTCTGCTCGAAATGAGAGGGCAGGGTGTTCAGTTCGTTGAGATACTGCGAGAAGTTGGGCGCACGACGCCCGTTGAAGTCGGCCATGGCGCTGTCCTGCTTTCCTTCGCCGTCTCTCGGTTGTCTAACTGGTAGTCCTTCGAGTCAAGCGTCTCCGATGCCTCTTCCGGTCAGCGTCGACCGGGCCTGAGCCAGCGTCAGGAGAGGGTGTCGAGATACGTCTTGCGGATGGCCGACTGTCGACGGTGGTAGAAGAACCACCGATGGTTATCTGTGTAGCGCAAAGAGCAAAAGATAAAATGCTGTCAAAATGCAAGGGGGTCGTTGAAGTCGTTTTCGGGATTTGGAAGTGTGAGAAGGAGGAAGAAGACGAAGAGTGGGGAGAAGATGACAAATCCGCGCGGTTTTTTTTCTTCTTCTCTTTTCGGCTTTGAACCGCGCAGTTTCTTTTACGTAAGCATCCTCGGCATGTGGATCCGTTTTGTCCCGCTTTGTCCGAGTTCGTCCGAACGGAGGAACACATCAGATGATCTAGATGGACGTAGATGATCTAGATGGATGTAGATGATCTAGATGGATGTAGATGATCTAGATGGATGTAGATGATCTAGATGGATGTAGATGATCTAGATGGACGTATGTAGATGTATATAGATGTAGATGTAGATTAGTATTCTACAGAGTGGTTGGAAGCTTTAGGAGCAAGGAAATCGCCCCTATATTCAATATACAACAGACCAGACCTTCCGAGAACCATGCATCATCAGAACCACAAATACCCGTATAAACAGGCCAAAGATAAAGGTCAAAGAGTCGAAGCTATTCCTTTTGGTCTCCCCTTCGCCGGCTCCTTCGTAGTAGGCTGAATCAAGCATTTAGCCTGTCATGTTAGATAGTCCATCGTCTGCACCTACCGTAGAGCCTGTGTTTGCTTGCACCTTTTGTAGAAACAAACAATAAATAAGAGGGTATAAAAGTGCCAGATTTTCCCTTCTTCGTCCTCTCGCACCGTTTGCCTTGATTTCAGGAGACCTCAGGTTGGCCACCAACATGAACACGCCAAATACCCGAAGGCAGAGGCACCGGCCGTTGTAGTGGCTTTGATATCATCACTGGTCTTATTCCCTCAGCCCACTGGTTCCCGACTCGAGCCCGAAACCGCGGTCCGCGAAGTTGGCATTCTGCTTGACTTCTCCTAGGATAAATGTCGCTGTTAGAACTGGCATGCCTTGCTGCAGAAGAGAAGGAAGAGGGTGCTTACCAGGTAAGGACCTCGTCAAGAACGCATATCTTTATAATGAAGATACTACACTGTTAAAGATTGAGACCAGCCAGGCTGGTCGATGAGATCTGGTACTACATCTGAATATTTATATGCGCACCTTTTCTTTTTTATCGTTTTCCACTCAGCGCCAGTTCGCTGATAAAGGAAAAACGAACAGGTCGATGACATCATAGCCGCCCTATGACGGTATTCCGAACTTGGGAGGATTTGGCACTGCAAAGGAGGGTATTTGGGGTTGTTTACTAAGTAGATAAATAGAAAACAAATTCATTTGAATATATATACTGCTTGATTGTTGACTATGTTCTCTCATACTCCTTGAACGTACGTAAATACACTTAAAAGACAATTAGGTCTAGGGTAAACTTATCAATCGCTGATAGCCATTGTCGAAAGCAAGCCCCAGAATTAAATGGGGAACTTTCATGGAGGCGTCCATAGCCAGCCTGACTGGTCAAAGCATACCTCGAATTCAACACCACCGAACAGCCCGAGTGCGCCGTAGAGGTCATAGTCGCCTTCTAGACCGCCTATTCCGCCAGCATCCTCGTCAACCTCTTCATGAAGATCCCAATTCCCTGCTCTCTGGCCATTCCGGGTGAAGAAGACGTCGACACATAAAGGGAACTTTCTCGAGCCCACCGGTATTTGTGGCGGGTTCCCCATGTTCGAAACATCAGGAGCTAGCGAGAATGTCATCCCCAGACCAACGGTTTCCCCCGCATTAAATTCAGTCGTAAACTCCTTCCCACCCCAAGAATCATTGACAAACCGACACCCGTCGTCAGAGAAAACACCCAAACTGCCTCTCTCCCAGCCAGGTGATCTCCACGACGGGTACGGCTGGGCTGCAAACCCGATGGAAAACCCAGGTGTCTGATCCGCTGTCCCGCCATATAGTCCAAGAAGCTTCACCTCGAAATATATCGTTTTCGTCACCTCGGTCAGCAGCGGAGAGTCTTCTGCTGCAAAGTACAAGGGTAGCCCGCTAAGGAGAATACAGTCTCCGTTGTTGTCGAACGTGCGGCCCCTCCAGCGTCCGTTGCTGACAAGATCAAGCTGGCCGCTATATTCTCGGGGCCGAACCGGCCGGATGTCGCCTTGCTTGACGGCATTGTATACCGACGGAGAGGGCTTGCATGGTATCCAGAGTGGTGTGTTATCACAGAAGTCATGGGCACGTTCCGCATCTTCTGCTGACGCGTTTCCCGTGTTGGAGTATAGATAGCCTTGGCTAGGTGGAGGCGGTAGAACAGAGGTATCTGGTACTGCTTCTTGCCAGTTGTGATAGGGAGGAGGGTTATCCGATGGTACTCCGGATTGCGGATTCTGGCTCGAGCCCGCGTTGTTCGCAGAACCTGACTGCTCTGGTTCAAAGACCCTTCTCTTCTCGTCGGCGGTCGAGAGGTTTGCCATGTTAGAACTTGATGGTTGAGATGTGACTGGCTGTGTTAGTTGCGCAGACTTCGTCTTCTTGATATCATTTCGTGGATGCGTAGTAACTGGTCTATTTGGTGTTGGGTTCTTGTCCGCTGCAGAGCCGCCCGAACAACAATCAAATAGTCCCATGTTCTATTTGGGACGGATAAGAGGTAACAAGTAATACGAAAAGGCCAAAACGTCTGCCTAAATTAATATATCGGCGTTGTGAGGAAGATGTAAAACATTTATACTCCCATGGCGCAGCTTTGTTTCTTACGTCATCTTGAACTACATAGCCACAGCCGAACTGCGACAATACTTGCAATCGAAAAGATAATAAGGGTTTGATTGTTTGAGTAAATTTTTGTTTGTTAGGTGATTTCAAGAGACTATCGTTGCGAGAGATGCGCTAGACTTAGTGGTGGAACAATCGGATGCGTTGTTCAACAAAGACAATACCCAGCTTTTCGGCAGTTTCGAACACTGGCCCATCATTTTGGCTGCCACTTGGTGCCGCCATGTATTTAACACCTGAGCGTGCAGCACGGAATACATTGTCGATGAATGGGAACTATAAAGAACGGTTAGTTATCTGGACGGCGGGGAAGGGGATGAAGTGAAAGGGGCCCAACTTACAAAGGCATCCGAAGAAATTGCGACTTCAGTAAGCTTTTCTAGCCAGGCCTCTCGCTCCTCCGGGGTAAAAGGAGCAGGAACTTCCTCAAAGACACGTTCGTAATCCGCCTTCTCGACATCAGACCGTGGGATTTGTCCTGAGCACAACATGTCAATTGCGTTGCTCTTGTCTGCACGCTTCACTCCAGCCTTCCATTTGATTCCGAGGACTCGTTCATGGAATCTCATCCACCAGTTATCAGTCTTGTCGCCAGCAAGACGGGTGCAGTGAATGCGGCTTTGTTGGCCAGCGCCTAGGCCGACAACCTGTCCGTTGACGGCATAGCACACAGAGTTTGACTGTGTGTACTTCAAGGCAATTGTAGCTACTGTGAGATCTCGGAGGGCCGGCTCTGGCAACGAGCTCATGTTCTTTGGCGTAACTATGGTGCTAAAGGTTTCTTTGGGGGAGATGACAGCATCGTTTCGGCGCTGGGTGAGCTGGACACCGTAGACAGAACGGGTCTCTTCGTCTGGAGGAGTGTAGTTCTCATCCATTTCAAGAACAAGGTATTTACCTCCCTTCTTCTTTGAGAGAAGCTCTAGAGCCTCCGGAGAGTATCCTGGTGCAATAACACCATCTGAGACCTCTCTGGAGATGATCTTTGCAGTAGGGACGTCAACTACATCAGAGAGCGCAATAACGTCTCCGAAGCTGGACATACGGTCAGCGCCTCTCGCACGAGCATATGCCTGTGCCAGGCCTGATTCATCGATGCCCTTGATGTCGTCGACCATGTAAGCCTGCTTCTCCTTGTCATTCAATGGAACACCAATAGCAGCACCAGCTGGCGAGACATGTTTAAAACTAGCTGCTGCAGGGTATCCAAGAGCTTGCTTCAACTCCTTAACTAGTGGCCAGGCATTTAGACAGTCAAGAAGGTTGATGTATCCAGGAGCTCCGTTTAGTACCTTAAAAGGAAGCTTTCCATTTCTCCTGAAGGCGGATGCGGGCGCCTGGTGGGGGTTGGCACCGTAGCGGAGTTGAATGTATTGAGACCCGTTACCAGCATATTTTTTCCTGAAAAATCCAGAGATAGCCTCATCATAGTCTGCCGTGTGTTCAAATGCCTTCAACGCGTAGAGCTTTCGGGTTTCCTCAGTCACGCCGCCGCTGGCCAATTCTTTCAAGAAGTTTCCATAGTCTGCAGGGTCACTTAGAATAGTAACACGGGCATGGTTCTTTGCGGCCGCACGTAGCAGAGTGACACCTCCGATATCAATCTCCTCCACTGCGCCTTCAACAGTGACATCAGGCTTTGCGACGGTATCCTTGAAAGGGTACAAGTTGCACACAACAAAGTCAACTTTAGCAATTTTCTGGTTGGCCAGATCTTGCTTATCGGATTCGATATCGCGCGCAAGGATACCACCATGGACAGCCGGGTGGAGCGTCTTTACACGCCCACCAAGCATCTCCGGGGCTTGGGTTATGGAGGAGACATCACTATTCAAGGGAGTATAGTTAGATAGGAATGCTCTTTTGGCCTTCGTCCACTATGGGCCCCAGGATATGTAGACTCACTCAACGGCAATCCCAGCATCTCTGATCATCTTAGCCGTACCCCCAGATGCGACAATGCGAACATTTTGCCCGACAAGACCCTTGGCTAGGTCCAGGAGACCGGTCTTATCGTACACAGATAGAATAGCTGTTCGGGCAAGGTGCGTAATTCTCAATTAGTTACCAGTGCAAGTCTATCCGTCATAGCAATAAGGAACTTACCTGACTTTTGTTCTGCCATTGTCACCCAAGACTATGAAGATGGTCTTTCAATTGACTCGAATAAAAGAATTTTGAGTATCTCGAGGGAGCATGACCCCGCTGTGGAAAGAAATTATGCGCCAAGCGAAGCATCTATTTATTTGATACGTAGCGGGGTTAGTTACTTCGCGCTTGAGCGTTTAAAAAGGCGCCCTTCACCTCCTATGTAGAGCTCGACATATTAGGCACAGTCTACTATTATATCGACTTTCTTTCGCTTGACCCTTGCTCCATCGCATATTCTAAAGGGCTGACCAGATATACGGATCGCTTCACAGCTCCACAGATAGCAACATATGATGTCAGCCAGCTGTCGCATTAGTTAACTATCGCATACGGAGTACTCTATACTTTATATATGTGCCACCACTCTCGCCATTACAACCCAGATTCCCTAGGTAAAACTTGCAAATATCGAATTTAAGTAGAAAACCCATAAAAGGACGTATTTTCGCCGCTTCACCTAGAACTGAACAATACCATTTATACCATATTCCGCCAATTGAAGTGATGTATATTTGTAAATACGGTCAAAGTTTGAAGGTGCAGCTGAATAAGCTGTAATCTTCCTAACGTAATCCACAAGCGAGTCTCCTCGAATGGGCCTGGAGGATTCTGATGGGAACAGGCCTGGAAGAACTGCTGGTTCCCGCCGGGATGGCGGTGGCCCATGGCCTGCCGCCCTCCGAAGCGACTGAGCTCCTGATGGACATCTGGAACGGTTCTACCCCATTTGGGTGGTCCGTCCAGTCGGTGAAGGGGCCACCTAGCGCCCGTATACCCCGTGGACGGCCGCCGTCAACCTATCCCCTCGCCAGGCAGCTGATCGCGCTCCTCGCCAAGTGCGGCCGTGACGCTTCTGTCTTCGAGGATGTCGTGAGAGTGTTGAAGGCTGAGTATGCTAAGTCGCCATTCGCTCTTATTGGCGAAAAGGACACTATTATCGTTATCAGTTAGGCATATATTCGCTGGTAACACCCTTGACCCTTTCCACTCACAGGTATAGAACGTCTGTTTTCTCCTGTCTAGATCTAGGATCACTATGAGGAACGATAACCGCCGACCTTCGTGGTTGCCGAATCAATATCACCGACATCAACTCTGGAACCCCGCAGAGCTTCCTATCCGTATAGATCCGCCGTGTTGTCCATTCTTGTCTTACCGCAACGGCATCGTGGTCCGTCAGCATCCAAGCCACAGTCTCTTCTGGAGGAGCCGATGAATCCACGCTCACCCGTTCGGTCTTCAGACTTTCAGGGAGTATAGAGAAGAAGCAGTGGCCGGTTGGCTGGAGGCAGGTATCGCGCTCGAACAACCGGTAAGTGCTGTCTGCCATCTCTCCGTTATCATGCAAGCCGCGGCTGTTGAGCTCAGGAGCGGACGAATGATGGGTCGTACCTTGGAGGCATATCGTCCAAGGGCACCCCTTATATTTTGGGGAAACGAGTTGTCTAGGCTGGATATCTGGAATGGCTCACACGGTTTATTGAATTGCGACTAATTACCACGCCACATGCCTCGCATAGGGCCCCTGATACCCAGACAATGATAGCCCAGAATAAAATAGAAAATAACAGCTAGTAATAAAAATATAGGAAACAAATAGGAACGTACCCTACCCCCTAGATAACAGTCGAAGCTAGAACTTGATTGCATCCGGGCTTGAGGCGCCTGCATGCCGCTACTATCATGGTTTGCCAACAACGGAATAGCACAGGACAGAGGGATGAGGGGGGTGTTTTCGAGACATAAAAGGGACGAGATACTCCCCAAGTTCTGAGGCCAGAGATAAACCTTCAACAAGATCAATTCCAATCTCCCTACTGTCAACAACTCGCTGGGTATCTCGCTTTATAACGGACAATCATGCGTCCCGCATCAATTTCAATATCCGAATCTGGACGCATTTATCGTCTCGCCGTCCCTGCACTGCAAGCAATTGTAACTCACCTTGACCTCCGGATCGAACGTGAAGAGCTGAAAGTCATCGTGGACGAGCTTTTCCGTGATAGAATGATGCGGCTCGAAGCGGTTGTATGCCAGTTTGGCGCAAATCTTGCCAAAGAAAAACCTTCTGCGGAGCTGGTCCAGTTTATGTCTGGGCCTGCAGCTGAAAACGAAGAAAGAGAAGCTTATCTCCAGGGAGTAAGGGATAGTTGGGAGATCATGTCTGGATGTGATGAAACGGCCTATGAGTTCGCTGTCAATTTTGATAGTATCAGAGTACGTCATATGAATCCCCCTAAAAGAACTTATGCTGGCCACGGAAAAGACTACGTTGATACAACGGATTAGAGACCTTGACAAGAGTAAAGGCGATATGCAGAGCGATACGATAAAGGGAACAGATACCCACACGCAAGAGTATCAAGACTTCCTTGAATCCGAAGAGAGAGCCTCTGGAGAGAAGCTTGCTATTGCTAAGGATGGTACGTTTCTCTATTGAGAGCCTTCACGAGAGACTACAAGGTCTTTTTATCACAACACTGGCTTCTGACGAGGATATTATAGAAGCTACCGAGTTTTCAAGACCTTCTATTCAATGTAACCATAAGAAATGCAACTGCGTGTGCAACTGCAAAAACAATCACTCTGTAGAGCTGTGTGTTCCCATCAAGCATCTCTTCGCGGTGAAAAACTGACTATTATAGATTCAGATGCATGCCTTGTAGTCTGGGCCGCACAAAGGAGTGCGCGCCAGCAACATCGTAACTGACGATTGGTCTGTCACTGTCAAGGCTTCGATAAGTAGACTTGAGGAATGAATTGTCAAATCCCAGGAATAGATAGCTCCTCCGGCGACCGGGCTTGCGTAAATTCAGGGTATCAGCATGTCCTCGGATTCAGGCAGCTGGGGAGGTGGGCGATTTTGAACCATTGTTTCTGTAATTAAATCCAATTCAAGAAGTATATCTTTAAGAGTGAACCGGCTAGCCCCAGGAGGAGTATTCAGTTTCCAAAGTAAGAGATCACCCAACATGCACGTAGAAATCATACCTTGCAGCAATAGATGCAGAGGGTCTGTCCTGCGGCTTAGGCACTTCTCGCAGGTTCCAGGTTCCATGGCCAAGAGAGATGATGGAACAAGCGGGTATAGAAGATTCGAGGCCAGGGATCTGGCTTGGAGCCGTTACAGGCGAACGACTTGATCAAGGATAGATAGGCATGCCGTACATTCAAAAGCGTCGTGAGGAAAGAACCGTCGTGCGCGATCACGTGCGAAAGGTTCCAGAACCGTCTGTTGAACTCAAGATTATACACTGACACACAGGCGACCCTTCAATGGGATACATTGGCACGGAATTATTCCCACGACTTCCCCGTTCCCATTCTTAAGCCTTTAAAACCGAAATATGACACACTAGTCCACTTGAACTATTTAACAGACTACTAGTGCACCCACTCTTTGATCGTACTCCCATTCTCAAAGTGACGCGCGACATGAGTATTTCTTTCTGATATAGCTTCGAAACCCTCCGTGGTATTGGAAACAAGCTTCTTGCAGAAGCCACACCAATAACGAATGTGGTAGTCGCCCCCCGTAAAGTTTTCCACGCAGCATTCCCTCGGGGTATCGGCCATACCGTGCTCATCCCGGCGATGCTGTTCAAAAAGGTGCATCGAGCGAAGTTTCTTGGCGCAATCTCCACCGGCTTCGTTGGGTTCGGGGCACCGCCATCTCTCGCCGATATTATCATCCTCATCTAGGTGGGCAAACTCGTGGCGACTCCAGTCATCCTTAGCATCGAAGGGGTTACGGCAATACGTGCAGCTATAGACTGTAGCTGGCGATTTATCGATCTGCCAAAGGCGGATTTCACTATAAACCGTTAGTTTCAGCCGAAGGTTTACAGTATTGGAACTCATACCAAACTAGAGCCGCGTTGGGCGGTATATACCCGGGGAATCCCCTAAAATTATAAGCATGAAGCCTTCAGAGCCCGGGGCAGCTTACTTTTCACCATATGCGCGCTCACTTGGTACCGTGGGTCAGCTAACAAGCCATACCATTATCAACATAAATGGGAATCCAGCCTACCTAGGAATAGTCAAGATGCACCGCTCATCAAGTTTCATACGCGAAACCCCCTCTTCAAACCCTAGGGAGAAGACTATTTTCAGTACTATACTTAACCGAGTGATTGATGTCGGCATACCAGGAACAACCTCTTTATTTCCAATGCGAAATGTGAGATCACCCGACTGCCCTGGGAGAACGATCCTATGAGAAAGGTCAATAACGGTTCCCAGGTATGTCGCAGGCAGGCAGGGAGGAACCTACTGCCTTCCTTTAAAATAGTCTCCTGGTTTTTCATCATCTTTAAGGTAGCAAGTATATGCGACCTTCACCTTGTCGTTTTCAGTAGGGAAATCACCGCTACCCCTTTCAATAGTAACCTTGGTGACGCTCATGGCGAAGATTTTTGAGAAAATTTAGTTTTATTCAATTTGGGAAAGTAGTCTAAGGCTTGACTCAATCGTAGGCAGTGAGGTAGCAGGAGGATGCCGCATTATATACACGGCCAGCCCTGCTTCCGCAGGCTACGCACAAATAGCCCGGAACCAAAGCTGGCATGCGGCCGTTCCCTTGCTGATCTACCCCGTATTGTGCAATCCTATCTGCACGCTCCGGCCATTTGCAGTATTCGGAGACGCACGTCGTGGCCCCGGTCTCCCACGAGATGTCAAGGAGTAGTGGTGCTAGCATAAGTATAAGGCCTACGTAGCAGCATAGATAGTGTACGGAGAAGTCTAGTCGGGGTCATGGTGTAAGATATGGAAACGGTTGGCAGAAGGAAGAAGGAGAAACAAGCTACCAACGCAAAGATTCAAGGGCCTGGACCAAAAGAAATCTGCAGAGGCCAACCTCTGCTCTATGCTCGTAATATTATCAAGCCCTTTTGCAGAAGCAAGGTGCCAACTTAGATTGCTCTGGTCCCAGTCGGCGATCCGGGATGATCTCAAACACAATGTGCCAATAGGCATTTGTAGTTGCTGTGGTTTTGTATACAGCCCTGAACCGTCCACTCCGCCATATTGAACACGAGGGTCCCTGACCGGGAAGGTGCCTTGGAGCCTCCTTTTCCAGGGGTGTTGGCGTTTGCGGGTGGTTTATGGTGCAATAACCTTTTAGTCTAGATTTAGAGATAATCATGTCTACATACTAAAGAACGGGGTATAAAAGCCGTCGTATTTCAGGCCATTGTCGTGCATTACCCATTGTATCGCCCTCCCAATCAAGCCATCTATACTTATGATCCTAAACGCCCATCCTCTCGAGGACACTCGCGGAGCATACGATACCACCGGTGTGCCAAAGCCCAAACCGCCGCCAAACCGCCGTAATAAGCTATCAACGCGCTGTGTCCGGCCAAAGCTGCGTGGCTCCATGCTTGCAAGGATAGAATGTGTTTCACCACCCCGCAGGCTTCCGAACCGCAACGGAGTCCTCAGCGAGCACCCTCTCGACAGTTCCGTGTTCCTGGCCGTCGGAGGTCGTCGACAAGATCATACAGTTCTTTGAGGAACACGTGCCCGACGAGACAATCCGAAGAAGGCCCCTGGCGCTGCCACATAAACCGCTACAGGGCTCTACGGCCGAACGGAAGCTGGGTATCGGCTTCATAGATGGCACTGAACCCCTCGAGGACGGCAAGTACGCCTATCTTTGACACTGCTCTCCCAGAGACTGGTGATGCTTGCGAAGCGGTAGAAAAGCTGCTTGCCAAAATGATCAATCTTCGGTCTCTGTGCCTTCGGTCCATCAAAAATTACATCGTAGAGATGCCAAACCGAAGGAAGCTCGGAATAAAATTGGATCTATCTTTCAATACCCGACTACGAACAATGCATTTGCCGGGGAACATCCTGCGGAATACGTTGGCGGGTCCTCCCGTAGCTGCGGGACGTATGCCGCCTAATTTGCGTTCGCTTTTCGTTGAACACCGCGACAATCTCCGCGCTATCGATATCGACTTACCGGATATATTAATAGCCTATATTCCGTTATTATCATTAAAGTCAGTTATAGTGGACTCCAATTTACCAATTTGGATAGAAATGGAAGAAGGTTTGAGGGCCGTTTGTGGAGAGAACCGTGTGAAGCTAGATGTCTCAAATTTGACAAAATGCGATGAATTTTTCATTATCAGCGAGGTAGATACTGAATAGACGGCCTTTAGCAGTGCCTTCGCGGCGGTCATCGTTAAGGAATTACCAACATGAGTGCTGTGACGGTGAAATCGGCGAAGACCAGGTGTGCATAATTTTCAGCTCGGTCTCTTACCGCTAAGCTTCTTTGGGGCGTTTCTATAACAGCTCTAGCACGAAGTTCCAGGTCCAAGATATAATGTAAAGCATTCTCAATTGAACCGTTTCTCATTTTGTCGTGCTCAGATCATGGAGAGTGCTCGGTCAGCAAGACAGGACGAGCTTGTGCTATGCATCGGGGGCTAAGAAAAATATTACTCCGCCGGAAGTTACTTCTGAAATGTTCTATGACGTTGCTGGGGCTTGGCGGGCAATGCGGAACGTTCAAGCAATGTGATGATTGCGTACATAAAGGTTTACATATATCAAAGGTATGTAAGGGTAAAATATAACACATCACATCAAAGGCACTAAATACTGCGTCGTATACCACTGTTCAATTAAAGTAAGCGCTAAAAAAAGACGTATTTTGTAAATTGTTGGGAATCACTCTGAGCGCCGTTCCTGCAGGTTTGTGGTTGGCAGGAATTGGCCGAATGAGAAATTTCTCGGGCCAAATACCTCCCAAAATTCTCTAACTCGCCACGTGGGATAGCATCCATCGCTCCCTTAGACCTTTCGTACGCTTACACATTCGTAAAAACCACAGGCGTTAATTCTTTTTCGCCTCTGAACGTCGCATTAGCCTAGATAAAATAACGCTAATCGGTCGCGGTTCCGTACTAGATACCTCCGTACCTCTTAACCCTAATTATAGCGTTGGAGTCGAATATAACCTTCTGGCCATAATGGCGGAATATGTCCTGGATATTCGGGTTGAGATGTATTCCTCCCCCTTTCTCGTACGCAATTGCGGCCCCGCCTATCTGTGTAAACTCGTCCCACGAGCAGTACCCATTCTTCTAATCACCCGTCTTGGATAGAATAGTAATCAAAGGCTGTCCCTCCTTTTCCCCGTTTAATCGACAGACGACATCCGTCCGCGACGGGAAGAGATGATCACCCACTGGTCTGTGGCGCTTAGTTTCCATCAAATCTTGAAGTCAAAAGGTGAGGGGCCCACCCTGTAAGCGCGTGGGCCGTCTTGGCATCCGCCTTTCGCCCTTGGGTAATGGAGCGCCGGTTACTGAGAAGGTTGGTACCATAAACACGAGAGAGGCGGTCACATGATTGCAAGGTTTTTGGCCACAGGCCCCAACGAGAGAAAAGTTCCAGTTTTTCCATGTTTAGAACCTGACCAAGGGAAAATTGCGAACCATCAGCTGGCAGAAGCCTATGTGTTACGACTCAAAGAAGGCAGAGAGGCGTCCAAGGGGCGGTGAGCTTACTTTAATAGATGAACGTATCCGAGAGTTGATATACAGATACGTGACGGAGGATCGGGAATTTGCTGAATTGCATGCTCCTAACGCAAACTTTTAGGTCATTTTGAACAACTTCTACCATAGTAAGTTTATGGTGCTAACTTTGAAGAATGTGGAGACACTAACCATAGGTGAGAAACTTATGTATCCCACGGAAGTAACTTTTATAAGGGGAATTCGGAAGCGCCACTATAGATCTATCGATCTCTCTATGGTGAGGGGGGACTATTATATCGCGCCAAGTTTGAATTTCTCAAAAGTGGAACAATGTTGAATATTTCCACTCTAACCTTACTGACGTCACATGGCAGTTGCGCTCCAGCGGCTCAAACCTATCAAGATCCAAAAGCATTGCCCCGCAGTGGCATCTGCCTTTTCCGCCTTTTCCGCCTTTTCCGCCTTTTCTGCCTTTTCGTGGTTCGGAACGTGTTGCCCCTCCTACTTTTGCTGATATTTTAACCCAAAGGGTACCGCTATCGAGGAAGACAACTCGCCTCTAAGTCGGAGTTCGGTCTGATAAACCGCATACGATAAAGTGACCTTCTGATAGACTTGAAAATCGGGCCTAAATTTTGGTATGGTCTCGACCCAGTTCCACAGATTCACCCACTAATATTCCCTAGATCCGTTTTCAACTGTCCTCTACATACTAAAACAATGGCTGAAGCGGTATATAATATTGAACCTGAGAGTGCGGCCCTAGCTAACGATACGATATGACCTAGATTAGAGACATACTGGAGCAACAGCGATATATACGAGGCCATATATTTGACGCTGTGAGCTATGACAGAACAATTACGTTCAAGGGTGCACTACTTCGAGTATCGAAACCCGGGGTGGCAAAAGACCCCCATCTACCGGACAAGAGAGACATTACGACGGAAGAGTCATTCCGAGTCCCTGCTCAACATGAGGTGGAGGTGATACATGGTTGGGTGACGCTGACCAGGTCCACTGTATCCTGAATATTTCGATGATTCGAAGCGCCGGTCTTCGACCAGCCCAAAGGGTGATGGAGATATCCTCTTCCTCCCCTTCGGGTATTAAGACTGTTAAACATTCCGTTGTCGACTCTCCCGTTTTTCTCTTAGACGCTCATTGATTGCTAGCGCTCATTGCATTGGATAATAAGTTCCTAAGGAGGGGTGCGAGGTCGGTTGGGGATTTCGAGAATATATATTGAATTTCTGCATTATTGTATTGTTAACATCATTTCAATGCATCCGGTATTGTGGCACTTACCCCTCCTATTTTGCATTTGCTTTCGAGCGACCAGCTGTGCACCAGATACCTGCGTGTTTTGTGCCTCCGCTATACTGCTCGGTGATAGAGATCCAGGTTCTGGCTCCCGCAAGTAGTTTTGGCGACCTAGTAGGCATGCGTCTGTACTCCGCACTATCCTACTATGGCGTAAACGCAGTTCTGAATCGGGACAGTCGTTCGTTTGGCTATTTGATGCCTCGTCTCGCGGAGGCGAATTGTCGCGGCGTCGCTTTCTGTGGCACTTATCGTGCCCAATTTCGGCGTCGAACTCGAGCGTGAAGTACCCTAACTTCATTAGTCTATTTCTTAAGAGGATGGATTCAGAGTCGCACGTTTCCTGAGCTTAGATATGTTTTCTAAATCAGAGCTCGTCGCCATTGCCATTTGAATCTCCCTACGAAATATCCAATTTTCGGGCAATGGCCTCGAACTCAGGTATGGTTCTGCCTGATCCATCAAACATTCGAACTCGATACGACCCATTTTTGTGATTTCCAGCGGGTTGTAGGCTATACCGATGAGTAGCAAAGTCTCGCATGATAGGCCGCGTATTTTCTGCCATCGTTCCTGCGCGGAGCTAGCTTTTGTTTGTCCCCCATACAGGACTTCAAGAAATCTGGTGAGCCTTCCATGAGCGTGGGGAAGGGAAGAGGAGTTTCGCAGCTGACGGGCGGGGCCCTGCAATGAATGGAAGACTGCGGTCCTGGCCGATAGCCGTGCGATTTTGTCCTTGAGCTTGCTGAATGTTGAGTCATCCAAATCAATCTCACATATGTGCTCATTGAGCCAGTCTATTCGCGTTGTTATTTCTTCTGGGGTAGTCATTATGAAAGTCGCTCGACGCTGACTCTCTGGAAAGTTTTACAGCATTTGGTTGACTTTATCATGGAAGCGCCCGCCGGGGGGTTGGGGCGCACAATACTGCCAAGCTTGGAATTCACGGCTTCTAAAATTAGTATCCAATCGCGGGTGCCCCTGTGAAGCGTGGACAACTTAATGGAAGGAAGAATGGCGACTCGTCACTATGCGCCAAGAGTGAAATTCCCAATGACAGGGGTAGAGCTGAAGTTTCCACTAAAGGGCTTATGTTTGCATGAGAACTTTTCAGGCGCTACCAAAATGTTCTTAGCTCACGGCCTCGTTAAGACCAATCAACCGAGACCCTTACATGCATGATGCAGAACAATACCCCATTCAGGCAAGGAGAAGTCGAATTGAGAATGTGGTGATTTCACAAGATAGCTGTCTGACCCTATCGTTTTTGTTTCTGGCATGTTTCTGGCATAGTTCATCAGACCCCCGGTCAAGTCTAATGCAGAATTACTGCGTTCTTATGCGCCATCCGCAACTTCAATGCATGAAAAGTTGGACCAGCAGAGTATCTCGATGCACCCTTGGACGTTCTTGAATACTCAATCGGCCAATGTATGGCGATGTGCTGCTAGTGATTCTAGACGAAGGATGATCAGCTTCCCTCAACTCCCTGGCTGTTGTTGGTTTGCTGGGGGGTTGATCTTGCGTTAGCATGATGGCAGAAGAATTCAGGAATATATAAGGGCTCGCGATTTTGCGGAAATCCGATCACAAGCCTCTACAGTCTCCAAACTTATCAGCCATCTTCAGACTTCTTGCTGCCGATATATCTTGCCTATCACCTACTCCATATTATCTCCTATTACGCAGATCAATCCGACTAAGTTCTCCGTATTGATAATGGCTCCAGAGATACCACATCAAATGCGAACCCCACCGCCGAATACTCCCGAGGAATCATTGGAGACTGTTGTCACATCGACGATGAAGATAGGTTCATCGCAACTATCTGACGGAGTAGCACATCAAGCACACCCAGATAAGGGTGCTTCAGCGTCACGTCAGAAACTATTGAGTGTAAGCTCCCCCTTCATTACGATATCAAACCCTAGACCTCCATATTCCTATACCCAGATGGTGGGGACGTGGTGGCCATATGTTAGTATGAGCACTCTGCAAGGCAGAATCAGATCTTATGTGCCCTCGTGAGGGGGCCCCGAGAACGTTTGTCGACCGCTGCAACGGAGTGGCTTGGAACTAAAGCCGAACAATCATCGTTTCATCCTCGGCACGAGTCTTGCAATAGACAGGAAAATCAACACATTACTAACAATAATGACCCAGAAAGCTTATAGGTATCTTGACCAAGTCAGAGCCCAATTCATCGATCAGCCGGATATCTATAGTACTTTTCTCGACATCCTAAAGGGTTCTAAGAGTCGAGTGTGAGTCTTCTAGCTAATTATATCGATATTATTATTATATTTTATATTAACGTAATAGCTACCTAGAATCGATATTCCTTATGTCGTCAGCCGTATATCCAAACTATTTGCTAGGTATCCTAGCCTTATACAAGGATTTAATATATTCTTGCCTCCCGAGGATCAAATCGAATGCGACTCTAGCAATAACCCTAATACCACTTACCATTGTATCGCAAGATACGAAACAACTCCTATCTCGCCTATTAATCCGCCTGAAATATTAGCTACCCCGTTGAATACGCCGACGGAATCATCGGAGCCTGCTGCCCCATCGATAACATATGAGACCAGCACGCCAACCAGTATGCTGTCAGAGCAATTGGGCATAGGGAAGAAGACGGGATACCAAATTGAATACGGCGCTGGCAATGACCCAAACACCATCTGCGTCACTGACTGTCCTGTCGCAAATAACGCATTAACGCCGACACAAACTGCACAAGGGGGTGGTATGAATGGTGTTGCACCTCAGCAGCCAGATACTGCAAAAGATGCTGGGTCATTCGACTCATCGACGATGATGGATCCGTGGAGCACGAGCCTGCCGCTCCCTCAAATGCTCGCCATATTGGTACAACCGCCAGAACTCACTCGGCAGAAAATAGAACTGTTTCCCCCCATCGTGGTGCGGTTGTTGCAGCCCGGGGACATGCCAAATGTCTGCGCTACCGCGACACTGCTCAGCAATGGCGTAGATGTTACAGATCAGCTCGGGGGAGAACTCATTCAGTCTCCTATTGACGGAACCTTTCGTTTTCCTGGGTTGACAATCTATGGACAAGGGGTGTATCATGTCAGGATATGCCTATATCGACTGGATTACGACTCTTGTCTGCAAGGTGTGACCCAGGTCGGGTGTGTGGATAGCAATGTCATCATTATAGGACCTTGACCTGGTGGCATGGCACTCCGTCGATCCATTGGGGATATCACAACTACTCAAGACACTCTATGGGTTAGACGGCCACTATTGTATCAAACAGTGAATGCCAACACATGCATAGACGATCACACTGCTTACTTTCCCAATTTGACAATTCATGCAAGTTCATTAGTTATAATCATAGGGCAGATCGAGTATTCGAAGTATATGGTATTTAAACCAGTTTCGGATTTTACATTAGAGGCTACAAATTTGAAACATAGACTCTATAACTTCAGAGATAGGTTATTTCTGGATAAGGGTAGAGTATGGTTTGATAATGGGGAGATTGAACAGGGTAAAAGCCTAGATAACTCAGTCTTGCTTGGTGATAATAGGGAGCTATACCGCAAAAGGACAGATAGTAAGTTTAATGGCTTGTTCGTGGGGTTGGAGAGAAGGGTGGCGATGGTGGTGAATGGCGACAATGGCGTCACATGCATTGCGCATAATGTTTTGATATAACTGTTAAGTATAAGTATAAGCTCTACTAAGGTATAGTAATTATAATATTCTTAAATATAGAAGAATAAGATATTCTAATTCTAGTATTATTTAATTTTTAATTTAATATTTTTTTTTAGAATTAATAATTATATTAAAAACTAACTAATCTATATATAATGAATTTGGTGGCCGACTTGCTTGTGGATTACGTTAGCTAAGAAATTCTAGGCTGAGTCATCGAGCAAACATCAATATAATGTTAGCAATATTATTACATAATATATATGACGACCATGTTTTGATTGTTAGATAAAAAAGTAAACAAAAACTTGGGCGCAAAACTCCATGCGACTTGAAATAACATGATTGTCAGCTTCGTTTGGCATTCATCCTTGCAAGAAACATCTCTACAAGCCAGGCATGCGCAGCTGATTTAAGTGACCAAATTATGGCTCGCCAGCCCTCCGTTCTCGCTCCAACGGCTGCGAGTCTGCCAGATACCTTCCGCATACCCTCCCCCACGACCCATTTAATAAAAGCATTGAGCAAGCTATCGCGACCCTCGCTTATATCCCTTGTTATCCAATGGCTAGAAGAAAAGAATTTATCTAGCTGTAGGCCTTATTTACTCTCCGACGAGTCAAAGTCGCAAGACCAAGACGACGAAACGAATCCCTATACACCAGCCGAAAGTGTGGAGGAACTGAGGGTGATATACGAAGACTTTCAAGACCAAAAAGGAGGAAAAAGGGAAATAATTGACCGGATTCTAGAAGGGGACTGGCGCCATGGATTAACCCTTCGTCAGCTTGCGATGGCAGACATGCGATTTATTGAAGAGCACCCGTCTAGTCATCGGTGGACGGTACTCCGTATCGACGCAAACGGCGCAGCGGCAAGTCAGGATCCCAGCGATATTCAGAGCACTGAAGATGATGCGACAGTTCTTCCACCATTCCAGGCTTCCAGTTTTCTCAGAGCTATGCAGCGTGAAATATCACCGCTCGTCAAAGCACATTACCATGTTCACCGATTCCACTCGCTTCCTTTAACTCTCGTTCGAATATTAGCCATCGATTCTCCATATCAAATCCCACGTCAGTCTCCGTCTACATTAACCGATACCTCAAGATTAATCTATCTCGCCTTCCCGGACAGCACACCTTTTATATATTCCTCACTCGTGTCCACCCCAAGCTCAAAAAAGGGCTACTCTACGGATGTCCGGACATTACGGCGTATCATCAATGATGCGGTTCCGAAGGCTCTTTCACGCCCACAGCGGCGGTACAGACTAACTTCCACATCTCTGGCAGCGAAGAGCCTACATACGTTGCTCACCCTCAGGGGTCCTTGGAGAACGAACTCAGCCAACGGTGCATTTACCGTATTTACAGATGCAGTTGCTGAAACAGGGCCCCTAGAACCGAGATTAAGCACTGCAGCCCCTTTTAGGGACGCAAACACCAGAATTGCAAGCAAAGATACAGATAATGCATCCGTAAACGATAAAGAAAACCGAGATATCTCCTATATAAAGAAGCAGAAAAGACCTGTTCAAGAACCCAGAACCAATACTCAGTCGCTCAAGAAGCGAAAACAAGTTATTATATCTCGATTTGGGACTTCGGGAGACCCTAACCGTGGTCTGTCATCTTTCGACTCAACGCCTAAATCCATTCATGACACATCTACCTTGCAAAACCAACCAGCCTTGCCGCAAATAACTCCGAACCCAGCTTTAGACCGTCTTCAAATCCATCTCCAAGATCCTCCAACGTTGGAGCCGGACCCCTCTCCCCCTCAAAATGTGATTTCACTCACGTTTTCAGGTTCAGATGTTGTAGCAGGCCTACGGCAGCTGGCGGAACTAGGCATGGTTGACCCCACTCGTATGCCGTCGTGGATGACAGGTGAAGAAGGCGTTAGCACTGCGGTAATTAGAGGGGGCGTGATGGTACCGCAATAATATATTAACTAGTGCAGGAATGGATACGGATTCCTTTTACCCAACTATACTTATTAATCGGTAAATACGCATGCTTCTGTTGTCATAGAACTGCACGGGCAGTGTTCTGATCCACTTTGGGTGTACAAATGACAATATCAAATTTTGGTTGTATATACGTCAAAAAGGAATGAAAGGGGAGTGTAGGTCAACGCGCTCCAAGAGGTATAGGAAAATCAGCATATGACAGCAGGCATGATATATAAATAAAAGTGATGCACTATGCTAGTGCTAACGATACCACCGTCGGTAGCCCGAGCCTTGATGATACGTAGAACAATCTGTAATTAACACGGTTAGTATCCGTAATCGCAGATTGAGTCGTAAGCCCACTTCTCGAGGGAAAGGAAATATTATACAAAGAAGTATTCATACCCCGTAGGCGGCTCAACCCCAGGCTCGCGCCAACATTCAGGTATCCCTCGCTGTTCACCTTGCCTTTCTCCAATAAATTCTCCAAGAGCGGAACGTCATCTAGTTGCCATGGCGTTCGACTATGGGGAAAAGGTTAGATATATATTTGGGGGAAAGTATATATTGTAAAACATATGATAAGAGGTAAAAGAAGATGTATTTACCAGTAAACACAGCGAACTGCCTTTCCACTTTGACTGGAAACCCATTGCTGAAAGCAGGACTTGTGAATATTATTGCCACATGCGGCCCTGCACCAGACTATCGATTCATTTTCAGCTTCAAACGGCATGAAGCAAATCGGACAGTCCCCGTCAATTTCTTTGCGGTTCCCCTCAGAGTTGCCTGTAGAAGCGGCCTCTGCAGGATTTTGCGGCGCATGTTCGAAAATCTCTCGGAGCTCCTGGCCGCGACGGTTAACTATTTATCTGCCATAAAACTCCACCAAGGAGCACTTACCGATGATAGAAACGCGAGCTGGTAGCGGAGATGCTCGTGTACCCTGAGAACATGATAGAGGACCTGTGATGTCATTTAGGGGTTGTATAGGAAAGTTGAGGATGCCTCCTTTTGTCAGGGAAAAGCAGAGTGTCATACATAGACTACATGCTTGCATTGGTTTCCTTTCCTTGCATCTGGGCAGTTGCATGTCGGCTCTTTCCCGATAACAACCTGGTATACGTTGCCAGTTGATCCAGCAATGTCGATATATTCCTCTGGGACTTCATCGGTGCCTCCTCTAGTCCTTTTGAGAACAAATAGTCTAACAAATGATGTGTTAGCAGGCTGATATGAGCTATGCGTAATATAAGTATCTTCTTGTGGACATCAAACACTGTGGCGAATTACCTCTGCGTTCTTGCTCTCTCTAGCTTGACCAAGTAGGTCTGTGGTGGTTTGGATCTAAACGCGCGAAGCCTGCGCTCTGGTTCTCCTTTTTGAGATGACTTTGTCTGCCTTTTCTGCGATTTTGGTGTCGCATGAGATGATTCTCCGGTAAGGTCAATGACTTCTGCGTCCTCTGGAGGTGCTTGAGTTTTTCGAGCCCGTCGAGCCGGCCGGGGCTGTTGGTCTCCTACATCCGCTGGTCTCTTCCTTTTCATAGCGCCGACCCAAAACACGGCTTGGTTATATTCTCCGTACGCTTGGATATCCGGACGATAACAACTCGCCCGTCGCCATCTTTTTTTCTTTTTGTTTCTTCTTACTGAGTCGCGAAGAAACGCGGAAGAGCTGCGGCATCACGTGATAATTATTTATTAGTTATATGGCCTTTGAGGTGATCGAATATGAGATATCAAGGTGGAAGACATGCTTAATTCTCATTTCACACGGCGACGAAGTGTCTTCGTGCTCTTAAAACATGTTTAATACTATATATAGATTGATTATCACAATATAGAAATGCATACTCATAGATCCCGCTCAAAATAGTAGTCGGACGATCACTCAATAGTGGCTAGTTTTAGGGGCAAGAAAGTCTCACGTTGCTTCTACAAGCCAGAATAAATCCTCTTGTGCTCGCAGTTTTTTTATTCTCTCCTTTTCACTGGGTACTCCGGAGATTGCTCTACTTCCTCCAGTCCAAGAAGTCGAAAGCTCTATCAAGATGCAATTCTCCAGGCTCGCTGCCATCCTTCTTGTCTCTCTTATGAGCAGTGGCACACTCGCTGCTCCCGCGCCCGAAGACAACGCACATGTAGCTGAACCTAAGTTGGCTGCTATCGACACCAACTTGAAGCGTGACGTTGGTTGTCCCTCCGCTCCTAAACAATGCGATCACCATGTAAGTTATATCATGAGCCATACGTATATGCTGTTAGGCTTGGGCTAACACATGTTCCTAGTGTCGATCTATGGGCAAAGCATTTGGTTACTGCGATGATTTCAAGTTCCAGTAAGCTAAGAAACCCGTTATCAGTTAATATCCAACCTCTTGAAAAACCACTGCTGAGTACCAACCTTACGTGCACAAGGAAGTGCTTGTGTGCTTAAGAAAACGAGGGCCACTCGCTAAGGGCCAGCTCTTGAGAATTGATCTGGTGGCAGCTATCCACAGCCTTAACCGATAGTTAGTTGATATCAACTTATATTCGTTTATTATTACTGTTACTATAATCAAAGTTCTCCATCGCCTGAAGATGAAAAAAATGACGTAGAGTTCGTGGTTCCATCCGCTATACCTAATCTGGCATGGATCGTTATCTTATCAGTCAAGATCAAAAATGAGAAACTGAGCCTTGACGAGCGTCCAGGACGAGAGAGATTCATGAGTGCTGTAAAATACTCTTGATGTCGCGGCCACGAGCCGTCTCTGGCGCTGATGCGCATAAAGAACCTCATTCTATCTCGTTGAAAGGTACGCATCCTTACCGGTAGTTGGTTATAGCGGAATAGTCTGAAACGCGTGCTGACACATGTTCCAGTTCTACGGTGAGCTTCTAGGTTGAGACCGTGGACAAGGAGAGAGCCCGTCAGCTAATATAACCGAACGACAGGCTTTCACGGCCATCGCTATCTCTACAACATCCTCTCCCAGATTCCGATGCGCACATCTCGAAAAGAGCTTCTCTCAGCTATCCCTCAGGCACATCCGATCCGCAGTTCATACTTAGTCCAAATGTGGGTGCAACAGGCAATTCCAATACGCTGCTGGTCATAGTCATGGACTAATCTTTGGTTGGCCATCATAGCTCACCCTACCACCAGCCTTTGGGTCAGCATATGTTGGCGAGACGTTTGCATGCTCGCTCTCCGCCAACAATGAAGCGCTCAACGGGAACTCTCGCGTCGTCGCCTCGATTAGGATGCAGGCAGATATGCAAACCCCCTCGCAGACGATCCCGCTCGAACTACTCCCGCCAGATGAAGAGTCGAGCCAAGTAGCTGGAGCGTCTGCCGCCAATTCTGTTCAGAAGATAATACGCTTCGATTTGAAAGAGGAGGGCAACCATGTGCTGGCGGTAAGCGTGAACTACACCGAGATATTGATGGTACCCAACAAAGACGCACAGAGCGGATACCAGGCTTCTGGAGGGAGGGTGCGGACATTTAGGAAGCTGTACCAGTTCATTGCCCAGCCTTGTCTCAGTGTACGGACCAAAGCTACGGAATTGGCCCCGCGTGAGATAGAGAACCGTTCACTTGGACCATACGGGAAGACGCGGTTACTTCGTTTTGCGTTGGAGGCACAGCTTGAAAATGTTGGAGACGGGGTCATTGTTCTGGGGGTAGGTGCTTCAGTCGCGCGGACATGCATATATTCCATATTTACTTTACGAAAAAAAATACGATTAACCATGAATAGGTTCCAACGCTTAATTCAAAGCCTCCATTCAAATCGACATCGCTGAATTGGGATTTCTACCAAAGAAATGGAGAGCGGAAGAAAGACGCTCCGACTTTGGCCCCGAGAGATGTCCTACAGATTGCATTTCTGGTCGAGCAGGAAGAAGGCCAACAGGAGGGTCTCGAAGTCATGCAAATGGATATCAGTCGAGATGGCCGCACATCCCTTGGCCAACTGTCTATCCAGTGGCAAGGTGCTATGGGAGAGAAGGGATACTTGACAACAGGAAGCTTGATGACAAAGAGGAGACCATAAACCCGATAACGATAACTGGTCTCCTTGTTAATATGTTGGTCCGCTAATATTTCTAACGAGGGTTGATGCTTGCTCCGGGTTAATTACCCCCTTTCGGTAGATTTTGGGGGCCGGATGAACCCAGCAACCGTGCACCAGGTTCGTGCCTGAGCGCTTATCGATGGGAAAGTAGATGACAGGCAACGCTGGCCATTCGCGTCCAACCCTCCTAATTCAGTCAGGGGAGGGGGGGGAGCCAGGAGTTGAGGTCCTCGCAGGTTCGAGGATTGTGGCTGAGCTGGGCCAGACTTTGCGCAGTTAATGAGTACAAATCACGATTGATGAGTTGAAACTGGTCTCTAACCTACCCCGTAAAGATATATTAACCGTGGCACTGGATCTCTGCGGAGTTATTCGTCTCTATACATAATAAAGTACTCGTAACTCCGCTGTGGGATATCGAAATGCGAGACATGGTTCTTTGGCCGATCCTTTCGGCAAGCCACGAAGATTTGGTGCAATCCCAGGCAAAGAGCATATATTTACAATTCCCTGCTGCCCTGCTGCCCTGCCTCCCGCTCGTCCCCGATCTTCTGGAAAACGAAATCTCAAGTACTTAACAGTACAAATCTCAGATGCCATTTTGCCCTATGGCCAAGGACGGAAGTTTCAAACAAGATAGCTTTCACCCTCCGTTGTTTTAAATAAATATAGCCCTGGGAGGTTGCATCTGGCCCTCGCCCTTTTCGCCCATTTGCTAGGAGGAACAGGGTGTCACAGGGCTGGCTCAGTATCAGTTTCGATGTTTATCAGGGTAAGCATAAGTAGATGTCGGGAATCAAGCTCGGCTGGCGAATGCTTGCGCTTGACTAGAAGGGAATAGCCCTGCAAACACATACAAGGTAAGACATTCAACGCCCGTCCAACGCATCTACTATGTATATACACATAGTATGTAGAAGAAGATGGGGAGATATGCAGGAACACAGCATGCATATGGTGGCGCAGACAGGGGTGGGACGACGAGCAGCTCTTTTTCTCTTTTGATACTCCTGGTGATATATGGCTTGTACTGTGTGATATGCTCCGTATATATGGATGACGGTAAACTCTACCACTCAGTACATTGGCCACCAACGTTCGTACCGGCTATATAAGCTCGCGAGGGAGGCGAGGGTTTCGGCAGAAGAAGAGTCGAGAATCAATGCAGAGGTTAAAAATGCCGACCTCCAAACGGAACCGTTTTGCAAGCCCGCAGATGTTCCAGGCCATCGCGTGAGCCTGGTTCACACAGGGCCCCTGTACAACAGAGCACACAAGAGTAACAAGTTGGAACAGGTGATGCGAATTGCCCAGATTCGCAAGATCGTATCATCTGTGATCCTATGTGGTCAGCCAATCGGCCATCCTGGCTGCTTCTCAGGGCGACAAGCTCGCCTAGAGAGAAAAAGGGAAGAAAAGAAAAGAAAAGAAAAATAGGGGGAGGCTCGGATGCTGGCCGATGAACAAGACCATGTGGATTGTAAAAGAATCAGCTGGCATCGAATATACGGACAAGAATGGAACGGAAGTATACGCGTCGTCCGTTGAAACGCCAGCCACCAGACCTTTTTCTCTATTACATATGTGTATATATGTATCATCCCGATTCTTTTTTCTTTTCTTTTTTTATATATTTCAAAAACCTCAGGCAGCTCGAGGAAGATGCGGAAAGAATGCCTGAAGAGCGATCTCCTGGGTAGCGATGACGATAACAAGTATATCTTGTTGTCCTGATGAACATGCCTACTGGGGCAGTTCGTGGGGCCCAAAGCCAATCAGTAACCAGTGCCCTGCTGGCTTTGGGGCAAGTCGTATTCTGCTGGCTGGTTGAACCCTTGATGAATCCTTGATCCCTGACGATCGACCGTATCCCCTGAACACTCCACTTGAGGGGTGGAAGGTGAAGTTTTTTCTTTCCTTTTTTCTCTCTCTCTTATCCCTTTCCTTTTCTTTTTCTTCTTCTGTTCTTGTCCAATGCCATGTCTCGTCTTGAAGCAACAGGGCAAAGGATGGTCGGGTGTCTCGAAAGACGGTGTTGAACAGGAAACGTTTTTTTCATTTTCGAATAGCTTAAGGGGCAAAAAGAAATAAAATTTCCGCTGGATGGTTCGATGAGACCGATAAACAAACGGAACATGCGGCTTGGAAACAGGCCATGGATCGAGGGACAAGATTATATGACGCCGAAGGTGGATAGATATCGAAGCTGTCCCGTCCATACGACTAGTGGTCTTCATCTATATCACGCTGAGCACTCCGTTAATCGTGCCCGAGCCCTGGGACTGGAGCTTATGCGCATCATCTTCGTCGCTCTCCACATTCCTCGGCCGTTTCGATGGGAAGAACTTCATCAGGCTAGAGAATGACAAGCCTGTGAATCTGTTTTTCTTTCTTTCTCGTTCCCTGTGTCGATGCTGGCGCCCTCGGGCCAGTGCATCAGTGTTGGCCCCCCGTAGACAGATAGATAGACAGAGAAAAGATATATATAGCAGACACTATTAATTTTAGCACGCTTGTAAGGGCGATCTCCCTGTCCATAATTCACCGTCTTATCAAGTTCTCTTGCTGGTTGCTTGGGGGGTTTTTATCGATTTGCTCGACCTCAACAGGAGAAGAAGAAGCAGCAACAGTCACAGTCAAGGCGTAGATCTCGCTGCGAGGAAGAGAAGATCATCTTCGTCTTCGATCTCTTTCACTCTCTCTGTTCTATATCTCGACTGTCAAACCGCTAGCTGGTGCGTTGCTCGATTCTGGGTTTCAAGTAAATACCTAGAAAAAAGTCCATCCCCCGGGTTAACTTGTTCCCTGTTCTTTTTCTTCTTCTACTACTTCTTACAACCAACAGAGTCTTCGCCGGTCGAACGCAGAAGAAGGAAAAAGACAGACTCATAGGTTGATTGCTGGATATTTAATCCGTTTAATACTCTTTCTGTTGCTTTCCCAGAAGTTCGGTTTTTTTTACCCGCCAAAAAAAGTTACATCTTGACTTCTTCTCACGCCTCGGAAGTTATTGCGGTCAACCAGCCTTAATAGCTAGCCACTTTGCTACACAAGAAGAGAGAAGGGCTACGAGAGACTCGATAACAGTTGTTCTGACCACTCCTTACAGCTGTTGATGACACTCATGCGCGAGGGAGCCAGCTGTCTGCCTCTGTTATAACTGCGAACTCGAATCTTTTTTTTTTCGCCTCTCTCCCTCCCCTACAGATACAACAGCCTCCCGCCATGGCGCCTGCGCTCACCGTCGACACGCCCTCGTCTGCTCCTCTGGCAGAGTTCTTCTGGATAGCCGGTGTCGATGGCTCTGAGATCCTGGACATATACTCAAAGCTCGGGGAGGAGTACAACAAAGCTTCAAGGTCGCCTGCGCTGCCAGTGACAGATACAATCGAGGAGGATACGGCTGCAGAGGTCGAGGAAGAGGGCAATGCCATTTCACCAGCCCTCTCCAACAGGGACTCTTTTCAGTTCCCTAAGATGGGGGAGGAGGCGCGCCTCTCCTTTCGATCTTCGACTTTTGAACCGGCCAACACTTCAGAGCCCCGAAGCAACAGGAGCAGCTTGACCATAAAAGCTAGCCCCAGTTCAAACGGTACCAGCACCGGTACTGGCTCCTCGTTCCTCAGTGATGCCGATTTCGACGATGCCCTTCGCAAGTTCGCCTCGGAGAGAGACTCGTTTCTAACGGACCTTACACTCAGTGCAGGAGCTGTGGTGCCAAACAGACCCAAACCTCGACCTAGGACGCAAAAGATTGTCGCCGAAGATGTCAATTCGTTGAAATCTAGCATTGGTACTGTTCGCAGGCACATGTCTTTTAGAGATATGAGCAGCATGAAGAGACAGCCATCCCTGGCAAGGCAATGTTCGTTCCCTCTTTTTTTTTTTTTTGCATTTATTCTTTATGTTTGATTCGCTATGGAATGTATATTCTAACATCTATCTTCAGCCTCCGTTCGAACCTCCAGACGCCTGAGCAACTATAACTCGGTTATCCCAGTGCCCCAGCCGCTCGAGATGCCCACAAACATGCACCCCCTCAAGCGGAAGTTCGAACCTGTCTTGCTCGACAGATACCCGTCGAAGGGCTCTCCGGATGAAACCCAGCGGAGAGGAAAATTCCCCGACTACATCCCCATGTTCGCCTTCCCCAACGATATAAACATCGTGTCCTCGGACCAACGGCCACGGTCAACGTGGCATGGTTTCGCAATGACTGGTGGCGATGGATCTAAGCTCCACGGAGTCTGCGTGACCGTATGGATTCCCTTGAGCCACAGTGCCGCAGACGAACTAGAGAAGAGATGTGAGGAATGGAGACGAGATAATATGACCAACGAAGAGAGAGAGCTAGCTTCTAGTCTTGGCGAACGACTCGGCCTTGAACGAGCCAAATTGTCCAGACTGCTCGCCCAGCTTCCCACCGTTCCATCTGGATCCACTTCCCGAGAGAACCTTGAAGATGAAATAAGCGCTGTCGAAGAAAAGATTGGCTTGATGGCCGACCTTCTGCGCCCCGTTCGCCATGGTGCTGCCTCTAAGATTGATGGTTTGACTGACGGAGACACCGGATTTTGGATTCCTCGGGCTTATGGCATTCTTGGAAAAGACGCATCTATGGTGTCATTTTGGAAAGAGTGGCTCAAAGCTGTCACAGTCCCCATGATGGACGGTGCCATCCTGAGAGTTCCCCCGACCTCTCCAAGAGTAGGTAGATGGCAGCCACTCGAGAGATACGTGGTAAACCTGTGCATGGAAGCCTTTAGCCCTGTATCTTCAAAAACCCAGGTCGAAATCTCAATTCGTGAATTACGGCTTTTTGCCAGAAAAGAAGCACCCAATGAGCTTCCGGGATCTCGAAATGTGAGCGCATTCAAGTAGTGTGTCTTTTGCAATTCAATTGCTAACCCATCTAATAGACCGATTTGTATCCTCTATTCCGCGCCCTCTCAGTCTCAAATATTATAATTTTGTTCGAGGTGTGTATCTCTTCCATATACATCTAAACCATTACCTAGGGAACAGCTAACAATCTTCTCTGCAGTACGCGCTCGCCGAATCGAGGATAATATTCTTGTCATCACACATTTCCATGTTGAACCTTGCAAGTAAAGCATTGGTAGAACTCCTGTTCCCTTTCCAGTGGACTGGTGTTTTTATACCCATACTTCCCGCTCGACTCATTCAAGCTATTGAAGCTCCGTGTCCATATATTGTCGGTATTGAACGACGATATGAGAACATTGAACTCCCGTCAGACGACTTTGTCCTCGTTGACCTTGATCAAGATCTCATCGAAAGCACATCTCGTCCCACTCCTCTACCCCGTCATCAACGGCGAAAACTCCAATCATTATTGCAGGCTGCTGCTCCTCTTCACCATCGGTACGGTGTTAGTGCTGGACCACCCGCGTATGCAATGGAGACCTTCCCATACGACTGTATTCCGGCCGAGATTCCCTCGATATATTCACCAAAAGCGCCATCTACAAACTTGCCCAAATATGTTTCTCTAAATTCAGCTTCATTCGGCCCACAATCCTCTGTCAACCCTGCTCCAATATACAATACCTTCTTATGTTCTAAAAACGATGTCTCTCTCTCAAGAGGCAACGATCGCCCCTCCACCAGCTCTACATCAAGAAATAGTAACCCGTCATCCCCGAGAACCGCTTCGCCAACCTCGATTAAATTCCCTCACCCATCTACCCCAATATCTCGGAATGATTCTGGATTCGCGCTGCAGGCTTCTCTTCGCGAGAAGCGGTCAGGCCACTTTGACCAAGCGTCCCGCAGGAGTTCATCATTAGCTATCGATAGACGACAAATACCCAGGAGGCCCAGTGTTCCGTTCCTCGGTCACTCCTCTAACCTTTCAGTAACTACGTTGAATACCGATGCTGGAACCTCTGTATATGCACCGTCAATATATGCGCAGTCTACAATTGCTGCTTCGACAATAATGCCTCAATACTTCCAACCTTTGCGAAGCCCAGCTGGATCCACTATGATAGAAGGCCATTGCTTGCAGCTTCTGCGTCCTGTAGATGACAAATCGACATGTGACATTTGTGATGAAAGAGCAGATGAGGCAACATATAGGTGCACTGGCTGCTCAACCATCGTGCATCACCGTTGTGCTGGGCAGGTTTGCCTGGTATGCCCTATTGCGTTCCACCCAGATCAAATCCGCGCAGCATTTGTGCGGTGTTTTGCAAGCTTGTTGTATACCTACAAGAAGTTCCTTCGACCAGCCAGTGGGGATAAGAAAAAGAACGGATTGACTTATGATTTCCAGATGGAAGCTTTCCTCAAGAGTTTACCGCACGAGCATGCAGCATACATGTCCGTCCTGCAGCAAACTCAGGGTACGTATAAAAGTTAAGCCAGGGGGATGTTGTATATCTTAGCTAACTTGGTTTACAGGGTTTAATGAATTCATTGGTGAACGAGAGCGTGCGAAACAAAAATCAAAGGACCCACGAATTATCCTATTCGATGAAATTGTGTTATCTAAGCGCAACCGCGGACGTTCAACTTTTTTCTCTGGACGGATGACAACTGATTTCTTGAGTGATACCTCTAATCATCTCTGGCGATCAGCAAGCGCTTCCTCCTTCTCCCCTACTATTCGGAAGGAGATACTGACTTCACTAGATTGGAAGTCTGTCGTTACTCGAGGTTAGTTCATGCCTATATTACCATATTTCCCCGTCATACCGCCATTAATTCTCCTCTACCTCTCCTCTTGAATCTAACTAACCCTTCTCCCATATGTCATAGCCCCGGCAAAACTGGATCCAAATTTTATGAAAGAGCCACGAATGATTCAAGGAGCTCCTCGAATCTCTTCCACTATTAATAATGCAAGACGAAAGCCCGTTCCTGGCGGTAATTAAGGTGCCACACCTACCAAAAGTACTGCTCACTACCTCCCCTCCTCCCTTATGTTCTCGTTCTAAGACCTTCCCACCCAAGTCAGCGAGCGTCATTATTTAGCACTGTCTTTAATCATCCCTTTTTAAACAACACCGGAGGCGATACATCGCATAAAAGAATAAGCGCATACCCATTATAAAGAACTCGATACCCGACATAGATTTCTTCGCTGCATTATGCGTTTCGCCTCACGAAAATGGACATATACCATTAATTCATTTCCCTTTCCCCTTGTCACTTCTCTCTGGTATCATCTTGCTCTCACCCTTGGATTTCTTACTTGCTTCTAGCCTCCGTCTTTCATTTACGTGACAGACATCATTCTATGGAGCTTTGGCGTCTTAAACCAGGTCCATAAGTTTTTGTTCCCATTTGGTTTTTTAATCTTTTTTATTTATCACACTACATATCGCTGCATTTTCAATGAACTGATAGGAGCTAACTATGATACTTGCGGGTGGATGGGCTTATATGGGAACGGATGGGGATCACTTCACTTACTACCAATAATCATAATCCTAATTACATAATTTCATGAATCTACCTCTCTTGAGCATTACTCCTATCGCCCTTTCGAGCTTAGTTTCCGAGCATGTTTGACTCAATGACAAACTTTCGAAGAGGTTGTGAAGCGCAGCAAAACTATACCTTAGCCACCCTTTCCTACTACTCTGAATCTCGACTTCTATCTATAGCTATCAATAATATGTCGCCGATTCCTTGAAGGCTAGTCTTGGCGATATAAGCCTTTTGTAAACTAGTCTATATTGGGTTTAGTTTCCGAATACGAAGTCAAACCCTACCATCCTCCTGGCGACAGAAAGTTAATTTGTACTTTTATACAGTGAATATGAACTGATACCTAGATGCCATTAAACTTGATGAAACTCGAGTTCAGCTAATGCATCTTTCAGGGAGTGATGTTTACGTCCTCAGGACGCGTATGCTCTCACGGCCATTATCTTCGGATACAGCGTGGCGGACACAGCTAATGACATCCCTGATGGCAGCAAATTACTACATGATCCGTAGTAATATATAAATACTCTGGTAGATCTGGTAATCTACCTCAATTCCTCTTTAGTGGAACATCAAAAGCCCAAATAATTACTTAACCCTTTCGAATTACCCTTCTTTGCTGGACTTTCTTCGCAATGGCGGATGAGGAGTTCCACGATTTCTACAAGTACACCCCGTCAAAAGCAGCAGCCATCACTTTTATTGCTTTGTTTTTGATATCATCAATTATCCACCTATTTCAGATCGTGAAAGGCCGTGTTTGGTTTTTTATTCCTTTACTTCTTGGTGGTATATGTAAGCATTTCAAATCCATGTTTAAGATGACCTACCTGTATCAGTGAAGCGCTAACTTCCACCTTTATCCTTTACAGTTGAGATAGTTGGATTTGGTGGGCGAGTTATTTCCAGCACCGAGGCTCCCTTATTTACGGACACGCCCTACATTATTCAGAATCTCTTCCTTCTTCTAGCTCCTGCATTGTTCGCAGCTTCTATATATATGGAGCTTGGCCGACTTGTCGTCGTGCTAGAAGCAGAACAACATTGCATTGTTCGACGCACTTGGATGACCAAGATCTTTGTTATTGGGGATATCCTATCGTTCGTCGTTCAAGGAATCGGTAAGGGTCCATTTTTCCGAAGGAGTATCCACAGGGTCATGGAAGAGACAAAAATTAGAACGAGGATCTAACTTGCTCTCCATAGGCGGTGGCATTATGGCAAGCGGCAAGCCCTCGAATTTATCACTTGGTGAGAAGGTCATAGTGGTTGGCTTGATAATTCAAGTTCTATTCTTTGGCTTCTTCATCATTGTGTCTGTCATGCTTCACCTTCGAATGAATACCGCTCCAACTACTGCTTCGTTATCACTGGGTTTCTCATGGCGCAAGTATTTATACGGTCTTTATGTGATTTCTGCTCTGGTTATGGTACGCTCCATATTCCGAGTTGCAGAATTTGCACAGGGCTCGAACGGGACATTATTAAAGCATGAATACTACCTCTACATATTCGATGCCACTTTGATGTTAACTCTAATGGTTGTCTTGAACGTGCTCCACCCAGGTGTGATTTCAACCTTAGTCCGAGGAAAGATGGCACTGAAAACAACGAGTTCCCTGGAGATGCAGCCAGAAAGGAATGAATCGGCAGGATTGAGAGGATTTCAGCCAACAACCATGAGGCCAAGTTTTACGGAATCTATTTATGCAAGACATGCCATTGCGACAAGGGGCCTTGTGTGATTTGGATGCCATATTTTGCTGCGGCTTTAGGCTTTAGGTGATCTGAGCTATCCCCCTTTTATATTTGTTAACTTCACATTTATGTTTCTCGATATATAGATCTCTTTCTCTATCTAGATTACCTCTAACTCTGCCTAACAGATGATGTAACACCTTGTAAAGTCACCAGCCGCCTGATGCAAATGGAACTATCGTACTTTGTCAATCCAGTCTATTACTATTGGCTTTTATGGTCAGATGATGTTTCGTTTATGTTGCACCGCAAAATTATGCAACTAGAAAAATTCACGCTGTTTATTCAAAAAGCCAAGAACATTATGCCAAGGATCCGCCCTGAACCTTGATCATAAATAAAATTTGGTGATATAAATATCTCCGTTGAGCGGAAGAGCCTAATTCCGCTCCACTCGGAAAATGAATGTGTTGTTGGCATGCGGCTTTGCGGATATATACTCCACAACTATGACGAGTTGACTGCATATATGATCCACCCGACTACAACGGCAAGGCTATGCTCGGTAGAAGAAAAGTGGTGCAAAGATGTCCACTTCAGCCTCCTCTATACAAATATCTCGCCCTCCACCGTGGATTGTGATGCCAATATGCTCCCTAAATTCGGACACCACTTCCACAGCCTAACCATCTATCAAAAACAGGTTCTAAGAAGGCAGATTCGGTGAATTCTCCAAGTGAGATGCGAACAGCGCCTAAAGCGCGAGTGCTGCAGAGTTCATGAGTAGGTGCAGACAGGGGCCTTCCTTCGTACTCCCAGAATCCCTCAGAAGACGAACAGCTTCCCCCAGAAATATAACTCCTAGCTGGTAATTCCATCCATAGCACCTCAGGACCAGCCACATGACATAGGCCTCTTGCGCCAGAGCAACACCAAGGTTGAGCTCTCTTGTTTTGAGCATTGCATCCGCAACCGCACCACCACAGATACCCAGAGGTGAGCGCTCGAGAAATGTATATTTTCAACTCGCCCTCCTACAGTCGCCACCACACCGTTCGAGTACCGTCTCAAATAGTAATCTAGGCCATGTTGGCTTGAAGAGATACCATCATGTTATTTCTGGATACCAGGATTGGAGAGCAACGATGGCCCATACCGGCACTGGCGAATCTGGCGAGTGGTAGCTAACTCCAACTTAAAGCCATGTAAACTACTGCCCTTTCCGCCATAAAGGCTATGGCACTAATTAGGCATATGCTCACAGTTAATCGCATCCCTCAGGTGCACACCCATGAGCTCCCTATCGGAACCGGCTGGGTAATTGGAACAGGCGCAAAATGGTCTATTAAAATTGTAGACTCAAGCTACCACTCAGCTCGAATAATTTTGGGAGCTGAGCATGTGTTTGGTGCAATTGTAAACCGCACATTGAGTCTCTTGGTTGATAGCTTCATACAGAAGTTTCATGTGAAGACATATTCTTCCATGTCTATAGGCCGTGACTCCTAGACCAAGCTAATTTAAAATCAACTTTAATCAGAAACCTGAGCCTTTCTTTGTATATCCGTAGGCGAAAGCCCGGATACGCTCATTGGCCATGAGACAGCATATCGCCAGTTCCGAGGCAGATCCCGAAATATAGCTTGGATGACTTGTATACTCCAACCATCGGCCCACCATCGCACAGGTGCTCTGCGCAACAACACACAGTAATGCGCAAGAATCACCATTGCCAGCGGCTCCCGGGCTCTGAAACATGAAAAAAGAGTGTCGGGAAATATCATAGGGAATCGGAGGGCCATACCCCAGTCCTTCCGTTTAGTTTCCAACATAACGAAGCAGTCCCATAATTGACTAATTGCACGGTGATATGCATTTTTGGTATCGTGACCGTCTTCGTTTATCTGGTTCTGGCATGTAGGATCTTCCGGGTTCTCCTGAGTGGGCGTCCACCTATGACATAGCTCTTCTACCAGTTCGAGCGCTGTAATAACGTCTGTCGGTAGGTAATTTCTATCCGTAATCTGGGGGCCACGTTGGAGAAGTATTCCCATATCTCCTTTTTGGAGTAAATCCCATTTCATTCTCAAGAACGCCATAGCCTTCCTGGTCAAGGCAAATAAACTAAGTAAATCGTCTATGGCATCGGACATCGTGCCTCCATGTCCGGATAGATGGGAAGAACCAAAAGCAAAGAATATAGTCAAATGAGAAAATGCAAATACCGCACTAGTGTTCGACATAATATCTTCTGGAAAAAGAGACCCGAATTCCATAACTGCTGTTTGATAATGTTTCTGAGCTAGGTCCTTATGCTCGAGCTCCAGTGGGTTCAATTCCGGTTGCTTCGTTGCTCTGAAACGTAGATAATGGATATGTAGGGCCGATATTGCCAGAACTCCGTGCTTTAAGAAATTAACGGACTGCATTTCTCGTGGCACAATTACCTGCCATATTGGCCGATACACCTCGTAGTCTGCTAGTGATGCAAAGACGGTTGTAGAATAATGATGCATTAGCTCATGTTCTTCTGGAATCAAGTTTGGCACGCAAGTCAATGACCGTGGTATAGCTGTAAAGGAACATGTTACTCCTTCCGTTGGCGGTGAGATGGTGCTCTCAGGAGAAGCAAATGAAGTAGATCTAACGTTTAATTCTTGCTGATACGCCCCATCTAGAGGTAAATAGTTGTCTTGCTCTTTGGCCGCGTATACTGGAAGCAGTTTGGCAGAAGGTAGTGGTTTCACAGCCCTTTTTCCAGGTTTCTGAGCCCATCTGTCTGTAGCAGGAGAGTTCACTGAGAATGTCTGAAAGCTGCATTGTGTTTGCCGGTATTTGCAGTTATGGCAGCATGGCGCTTGCTCGTCACACTGTTGAATAACGGTTAGACATATGTACAAGTCATGATGGGAATAGCTACGCCTTTAGCCGTACCTTTACTTTTCTCTTCTTACATTGCAAGCAGGCATTGCGAGATCTCCTGAGGCCGGAGTTGTGTTGTTTGACAGGCTTCTCTGTCATAGGTATCAGGCTGCGCGAGCGGTCGTAATGGGATAGTTATATATCAGGGCTTAGCAGGTTTTTCCCACTGATACTTGAAATATCAATGCCAACGTATGATGTATTTGCTGCAGTGCGTTCAATCGAATGTAGTTCACTATTTATTTGCCTTGTCGGAGGTCAATAATTAGGCTGCCACGTATTTACAAGGCTGAATACGACGCAACTTGGCATGAAGCAGCCTGAAACGTAAGAGCGAAGTAAACTCATAATTAATATAACCAAGATATTCTCGGCATTCTATAATGTTTGGTGGTATCACTATCGTATCAGACGGTGTTGGGGTCACACTGGTGGTTTATGGAAAACCCGAGAGTTAACAAGAGTACCTGGACATTATGTGCCCTATGGGCTATTAGTGCATAAATCTATCGAATAATATATCCTATTGAGACATTTCAATCAGTCGTTGGGTATGTACGCTCAAAATAAAAACTAACAATATAAAACCTCCTCATTATCATAACAATTACATCTGCATCGGCCTTAGGTCGCAACTCTTGCCTTTGGTAAAGGCGAAGGTGTCATCGCTCCGTCGTCCACCTTTTCGTCTTTAATTGGCATTCCATCTTTACCGTCTTTAGTCGTAGATAAAGGCAGGATTGGTTTATTTCCTTGAGCTCTTTTAACACTGGCATAACTTTCGGGAGTATTTGCTTCCACGTCTTCTAGCACTTCTTCGTACATGTGTTGAATATACCGAATCTCCTCAAAAACATCCAATTCGCAGTTTTCCATGCAAAAATCGCGTTCCCGTTGTTCAATAAGCTGTCTAATCTTGCCATACTGGGACTGGTGATAACGCTTTCTGTTTGGCAACCCTGACCCTTTTAGATAAGTTAAATATCCCGCAATGGCAGTGTTAACAGCCCCAAAGACGGTGATCAAAACTCGTGGGCCATTTCCAGCACCTAGAGCTGTAAGTGCCGCCGCAACAACGATCTGTATACCCAGGCAACAGCTTATTAAGAGCGTGAAAAAGCGGTATTCCCTTTTGTAACGAGCCTCGGAATTAACGACGCGGGTATATATCCCGACATTTGAAGCTGGTCGGCGTACTAGGCTAGCCGTAGCTAGGCCTGCAGGTGTGTCAATACCAGTGAGGACTCTGAATGTTCTGAGCTTGGAATGTGTCGATAGAAGATGCGGTTGGCTTAATGAAGTTGCGGTCCTTCGGGTTCCATTAGTCTGGCCGTTGGTTTCATGGTTGGTTGGGGGATTGATCAGTCCATTGATCTGCTCATCGGCTAGCCCATTTGCCTGTGGGATGGAAGATTCCAACTCAGCACTATAACCTTTCTCCTCTCTGTCGAATGCATCAATGATACGCCTCACAGTACCACGTTGACCCCCTTTTATTGAATCTGTACTCGCCATGAGAGCATGGAATACGAGGCCCACAAAAGGGAGACGAAAAAGAAAACCCCGGGGGGAAATATATAAACGACTGTTTGATGAAATGCAGTCCTAATTGACGCAGTGGCGATGGATACAAATCAGCGAGGCGTTGCCAGCTTTATGCAAAGGACATTCATGATCCGCCGATTCTTTTCAGCCGATATTTGTTATAATAGAAGGATGGACCCGAGTTAACCTATAAGGGCTATTATAACAACTCCCATGGTCCAATCGCTGCGTTAGCTGGCTAGCCTCGTCCATCCTCCAAATACATAGTATAGTAGAGAACTAGTTGCTGCAGCAAGGGTTCGGTCTCAGCTCAAAAAGTCCGTTCGTCGATCATCAAAGGCGCCTCTGGTTTGGATTGGACAATGGGCTGCGGTTATTCAGCCTGCGACCCATAGTGCTCTGTAACGACCATGTAACTGTGTGCATGGCACCGCCTTGACAGGTGCTTGTTCTATCAGAGTCAACAACAATTTGAGAAGAAATAAGACTTCAGTTCTCATAGCAAAGGCACAGCACAGCAGACAGTGTGGCGAGCGTGTTCACGGGTCGAGCTGAATAATTCGTTACCTCCAACTAACTTGGCCCTCTCGCCCTTCTTTTTTTCTTCATTCTTTTTTCCCTTTTTTTAGATCCCAGAATTATCGATGGCGATGTGCGAGTTGGGGGTGTAGGGAACGTAGACGGCAGACTCGGCCACCTCCAGGCTGTGCAGCATTAATGTTTGGTTGTGCGTCCATCGAATCTCACGGGGAAAAGGTCATATGTCCAGATAAAAGCATTTGGAACATATATCATCATTAACAAGGCCGAACTGGATGCTAGAAAAGACTGGGGTGATATTTAAATACAGTAACATAACAACCTCCAACTCGAGAAAAAAATAGCATACGCATATAAACATAAAAGTTGGGGTTTAAGATAGAGGTTGGATCAGCAACGGTGGTAATCGTAAATCAGGATAAAAGGGAACATGGGCGGAAATGGGATAACAGACAGAGCTCATGGGGTATACATGCAACGGGCAGTAACAAAATTAAAAAAAAAAAAAAAAAGTGTGTGCATTAACCGGAGGAAGGGAAAATGGAAAACAAGACCAGCCGTTGGGGGCCTGATGGCGCAGCTAGCATTCTTTCTTATCTTTCTCTGCTGGTTTCTCGCCCATCTTTTCTTTGCCATCGGTGATATCACCTGTAACGGATTCTTCACGCTGGGTTTCATCTCCCGTGTCCTCAGAGTCAACGATTTCACCCCAACCAGAACCACGGCGGCTGACTCGCCCGGTCGCACCGGAAATAGTACCACCTACCTGCATCCCAATGCTTCCGGTGATACTGTCATTTCGTCCGTGGTGTGAATGTATACCACTCCTCACGCTTCCCCGGTCTGGAGCAATAATACCTGACATTGAATGAACGCTGGCCCGTTCATTGTTAGCGGCGCTTCCTCGACCTAAAACACCTACTACATTATGCGTAGATGAGCTACTTTGGTCCGCTCCGGCCACCCCACCCATATGGCCGCTCAGCACACTGAGCGGTAAGCTTTCACGGCTTCCGCTGAACAGAGATGACGGTGCAAGGGCGAGTACCGATGCGTTCGTATCAAGCGAGTTTCGTCGCCGACGTTTGGATGACGAGGCCAGAGTGAGAACCGATGCATTATCTGTCAATAGATTGTTCGCAGTAGCGCTCGAATAAGTGGTAGGGTTTGGATTAACAGTAAGATGCGGTGGAACTGCCGTAATCGGCGATGTGGGAAACTGGTGCGTAAATTGGACACCGGGATGTTGGGTGGTGGCATGGTGAGATCCAGCGTTATTTTCACCGCCCATGCCGGCCGAATAGTGGTTCAAATTATGGGCTGCGTTTAGCTGGGTTGAGGGAGCAGCTGATTGAATGGTTGTGAGTGTTGTAGTCAGCGAACGTACTGAAGGCGATGGGGATGAAAAGGTGCTGCCCTCTCCGCCACCGGTGGGATTAAACCCATTGCCCCCCGTCGCACAGGTACCAGCCTTGGAATAGCCTGTATCAGAGGTTGTGGTGTCACCGGTCGTAGAGAGCGTGGGAGCAGCGGATTTATCTCCAGCTGTCGGAGCTTGGTCATCATACTGGGATAAATGGCTTGGTCGTATACTGTTTGCAGGCTCAGAGAAGGAGAGATGTCCGTTCGTCTGTTCGGCGGAACGTCTATCTATATGGCCAGACAGATAGGGGCTGTTATTCTTCTTACTCTTGGTGAGTGTAGTTGGTCCGTTTCGCTTGCTCGATGCATTATTGGGGTTGTTATCAGACGAAGAGCTCTTCAGGTTTGTGAGGCGCTTCATCCAGTGAGAAAATGGTCGTCGTCTCGCATGGCGATCTGTAGCTACCTGTTAGCTTCTCCACCCAACAAGGACTCAACTTCTCTCGAGCCTACAGCCAAACCATACCGGTAGACGTCTCTGCAGTTGTCATAATTGAACGGTTGCTCGTAGAACCGTCTTCCAGCAGAGGATGAAACAGCGATGTGAACGTCTTCCTCCTTGCCTTTTTTTCGCAGGCTGGCAATTCGTCTCAGCTTCGAATGACGATAAACTATATGGCTTATACAGCTTTATATATATCTCCGTTAGTGACCAGCTTTTTATCGCTGCGCTTTATATCTCGATTCCTTGTAGGCTGGCAGGTATTTTTTTTCCCTTATCGTCATACAAGAAGTTGCGTTTGCCTGCAGGCGGTTGCGGTCCCGACGGGTTATATTTATTCCAGCCCCGGCCTATATATGGAACTCCCTACGTGCCTCTGAGTTGACAGCGTTCTGCTTGGAGCTTGGTTTATGATTGATATATGTATTGATACTGCCCAATGTCTGGGCTCACACCTTTTTCGCACTTTCGAGCATTCAGATAGCACCCCAGAGCGAATTTATCAGCCTAGATCGATTCATGTAGCGCCTGCGGTGTAGCACCCAGCTATAATAGTAATGGAACAAGGTCGATACGCAGCCACAATAACAACTAGCAGTACCTGCCGCTCATCTCTGAGGTAGAGTTGTCCGCTATTCAAAGGAACGCCATGCTTAACAAAAGCTTTGATAGCCCCCGATATTTCCATAACCTGTTGCTATACTCATCCCAGTTGGCCAGCCCCTAATCATTCTCGACGGACTTTCTCATACGCGGTGAACCAGGAGCTGAATGAATTCACTGGCTTCGGGTACACCACAGACCCTTTCGAGGACTTTCATCCACGCCCCAACGGTCCAACTGCATGTCAGCATCTAGTAGGGCCCTTGCTATATCAGCGTGGCCACACCATGCAGCTGCCCACAGAGCCTGAAACGGGCCGCGACCTACATGAATGTCTAATCCATGGCCGAGGAAATATTGCGGGGTTTTTGTATGTCCTTTCCATGCAGCAGGAACAGTAGGCCACTTTCCATCAACAGTGCCATAGCTGTAGTTCACATCGGATCCGAGCTCGACAAGTCGCTGAGCAATGCCCCGCATCCCTCTTTTGCATGTCCTTTTAAGGCATGGAGTTAATTCACTCCCACTCTCGCCAAAGTGAGGTGTGAGACGGTCCAACAACAGACGTGTAGTATCTGGTTTATTTCCGTCAATCAGAGTTAAAAGGGCTACTGGTGACTGGAACATTCTCTGGTTAATGGTGCTGGAGAATATATTGTGTAATAATCCTATCGGAGGAGGTATTTCGTATTCCCTCTGTATCTTCAAGCCATTGGTTGTCGCGTATGCTCGGAGTATTTCATGATCAAATAGCCCTATATAATCAAATAAGCCTTTAAACTTGGGAAATACGAAATAAATAGTAACACACTGTTAACACGCCGGAGTTCGGCTGCAATGAATATCTTCAGATCAGAAACAACGAGCGCTCCAGAATGTCGCAAAGACCTCTAATGGGAGCTGGCGGAAATGCATTATGCTGTCATATGTTCAACTGGTATATAGAGGTATTCTCGGACAGGAGCTGTTGTGTTGTACTGAAATACATTTATAAGAAGCTAACAAGGCATTGAATGCTTCCAGGTGATCAGCCGTGATGATAAACATTTTGCGGCTTTCCCCTATCTCCTTCTAGGTTTTGAGGGTTACCTGTTGAGAATCCCTGTTTTCAACGTTCTGGACCGAAACGTTGATGTCCCGCCCTGACCGCATCTTCCCACCCTTGGAACGTCCACTCAGATATTGCTAACCTATCCAACTCGGGGAGACTCTCATAGTACAGTTCATCACCTTTTCTCTCCTCTTTTGGATTCTCCTTGTAGAACCGCTGGTGAACTATGGACCTGTTTTCAATCGAAAAGGTAGGCTTTCACGACGCTCGCCATTTCTTCTTTTTTCTCCTTTGATCAGAAAACTTCGTATTTCCAGGATTTAGGGCGGTTTAAGAAATCTCGAAATCATGGTCATTCTTGACGACTTTCCCGACAAAATCTTTCACTAGCCCCTGGGGCCTTTCGCCTGTTGTGGAGTGGCCTATCCCCCAGAATAAATACTGCTACGGGATGCCGCACTCTCCTGCTCCTTTGCAGAGATAATTACCGCACCTTTGCGATAACGAGCAGGCGCATAACAGTTTCGATATGAAGACTGAACCCATGAAAGCCGACCAGAGGATCGAGTGTAATCTGGAAAAGCGTGGATGGATATGAACAGGTCAAGGAATAGGAATAAAACAGCCATTCACTTAGAGCCCTGAAAGGAGGTTCTCGTTTGTATTTCAGTTTGTATATCCCAGTTTTGTCTCGTTTTCCTTAGTAAGCACAGGCATGTGATGTATAATTTTTGCTCTCGAAAACATCGAAAATAGACCTCAAGATGTTTCTCTTGGTTTCTGCTATGTTATATTCACGTTCATTTACGGGCTGGGAGCCTCATATATACCTTCTGGAGATTCAGCATGTCTGGGGTATCTGTGAGCTAACATTCCTGAGATACCACAATGCTTCCTGCCAATCCGTGCACCTTGCCACTCGTTTCGAACTAAGATCCGAGTGCCATGGGGTGAATTAAAAGTGAACTCTCTACAGCCTGCGATGGGGAGCCAGGAGGAGGCAGTACTTTAAAAGAGAACCTTTTAAGCAACTCCTCTGGGGGAAATATATCTATATATTATCACTCTAGACCGTTCCTTCCTACTGATCATAAAGACCCGAAATTTCTTCCATGCTACGCATATCAAAGTCTCTTGTTTACCATCTCTCGAAAACGCAGCCAACTAAAGACAGCTTTGGTTATTATTTTGGATTAAAACGTGCTCCATGGATTAGGGATTGATACTCTCAATTTAGGTACCATGGAGTCAAATGTTCCCATCCGTGCGCTGCCACAGGAGGTTGCGGGACAGATTAGGTCCTCATCAGTTGTGACGAACCTGAATGGGGTTATCCTTGAGCTTATTAAAAATTCCCTCGATGCTAGAGCATCTACGATCACGGTAATGGTCGATTTTCAGAAAGGCACATGCACAGTGGAAGATAATGGCCTTGGGATACCTCCAGATGAGTTCCACGAAAACGGTGGCATAGGGAAGTTACATCGTACGTACCATGGAAGACACCTTTTCCAAAGGCATTTACTAATGCTTATTTAATAGATACATCGAAATTTTATACCCCAAGTGAGGTCTATGGACGCAAAGGTGTCTTTATTTCATCTTTAATATCCATGGCCTTAGTTACCATTACCTCACGTAACAAGTCATTCCAGCAAACAAATTCAATCATATTCCGCCACTCAAAACTTATTTCAAGGCTTTGCCCTGCTCCAATTCAGCATGATATCTTGCATCCTCAACATGGCACAAGAGTTACAGTGAACGATCTTTTCAGTAATCTCCCAGTCCGAGCCAAGCGTCGTATACAGGATCTTCGCAGGAACGAAGACATTGACCGTGAATGGGATGACTTGAAAAAGGCAATGACCGGGCTTCTGTTGGCATTTCAAAAACCAGTCCAAGTCTCTGTCGCTGATGCATCTAGATCTCGGAAACTGGTCTTTCGAGGCAAAGCCCGAACCCTTCTCGGTCTTCAGCGGATAATAAAGAATGAAGATCAATATTCCTTTGATCTAGAGCGTGTTCGGTCAATTTTGGGTAATGCAGGATATATAACTCCGTCGGAATATTCGTCATGGGTTACCGCATCAGCCCGAAGCTCTGATATTACAGTAGATGCTGCGATATCCTTAACGCCCAGCCCAACGAAACAAGTGCAATTTATTTCATATGGAATAAGCCCTGTTTATTCACTTGGGGGCGCGGACCTATTGTTCACCGAAATTAACCAGTGTTTCGCTTCATCTAACTTTGGGGTTGAAGATTCACCTGCTGGTGTCAGCGGTGGAATCGAAAGGATGACTTTAGGGGGCACAAAGTTACTCGATGGCTCTTTCAGCAAAAAGATCAAGTTTAGATCCAAGGGTGTCAATAAATGGCCGATGTTCTATGTACGGATCGAGACCAACCGAGTCAATGATACCTATAATCGGGACCGTGAATTTTCCAACCCCAAGATAGCTATTCAGAAAATTATTGGGGTTATCAGGGCACTGTTTCTCCGATTTTTAGAACAGTACCATTTCTCCTACCAACAACCGCAACATAAAAAACGGTGTAGACAGGAGTCTCTAACCGTGTCTGAAAATATTCACTATGAACAATCCCGGGCGAAGCGTCTGCATCACGAGAGATCTTGCTCCCAAAGAGACACTAGTCCCCTTAGAAAATCCACAAGCCTACCAGCAGAGATATGCCCACCGAGTGCCAAGTCACTGCCATCAAGAAATTTTGGTACTTGGTCAAGGGTGAAAAGTGGGAAAAGAGATATATATGATGATATTTGCGCAGGCTTACCTCGAGGCAAATCTCAACCAGCCAATGGAATAGATACTACCGGTGGCATACTGCCGTCGCGACCTTCATCCACGAGCTCTGCACCAGAAAGTATAGGAGACAACGATACCAAGATCGCATCTGATATTTCGGATACGCAGGAGGCAGCCAGAGTCAATTCTATACATGAACACAACATGCCTAACTACATGCAAACGCTGCTAGATGAAGTGACGACTTGGACGGACCCTCTCACCAAGAGGGCTATATATGTAAACAAACGCACTGGTCAAACTGTACCAAGAAGCTTGAAGTGTATCAAGCAAATATCAGGCCCTTCCCCAGCTCGTCAAACAACTACGGATACTCAGCGCCAGGCAAGAAGAGAAACCTCACACTGGTTTACCTCATTTCTTAAAACATGGGAGAATCCTACCTTTTCTCTACCAGAACTCCCCATTCGATCGACAACATCCCAGGTAGGGTGTTCTGAAAAATTTTATCCCAGTGCTACCATCAATACGCACTGCTTGGGGTGCGGGGGTCTCCAAGGTAATGGTTTAGAGGGGTTAAGGAGTAGGCCTGGCAGCAGGCTTACTAAATGCATTCTCAAAAAGGCCAAAGTCATCGCCCAAGTTGATCACAAGTTCATCCTACTTCGGACTTTTTTCCTTCGCAAGGAGCAACAGGACGAGGAAGTCTTAGTCCTGGTTGATCAACACGCCGCTGATGAGAGGTGCCGAGTAGAGGAATTATTTGCAGGGCTCTGTGGGTTGTCACCATTACATGTTGTCGACACTGTTACATTACCTACTCCTATAAACTTCAGGATTTCAACTCAAGAGGCAAAATTACTCGAGACTCGTTCTGGCTATTTTGCGGCTTGGGGATGTTTGTATGAAGTCCTGAGAGAGGCAGAGGGAAATTATTCCCTTGTGTTAAGGAGCTTGCCCACCCTTATAGCAGAACGATGTCGAGTGGAACCTCAGCTTGCTATTGACATGCTGCGTTCGGAAATCTGGGATCAAACAGACATTTCCAAAGCTTCCGTCAAATCAGTGCTGTATAGTGCAAAGGATACCGACCAGGGGTCTGCCAAAAAAAAGTGTGGAATGAACGAACCCTGCCACTATTGGCTGGAGCGCATCGGCAGCTGTCCAAAAAAGATGGTTGATCTTATAATCTCTCGCGCTTGTAGATCAGCTATCATGTTCAACGATGAGCTGTCTATAGCAGAATGCCAAAATCTCGTTTCCCGCCTGGCGAAGTGTGCATTCCCATTCCAATGTGCCCATGGAAGGCCATCAATGGTACCGATCCTAGGCCTGGGACCTATTGAACTGAGCCCACCGCTAAATCCAATCAACACGAGTCAGCTTGGTGTCCAACCAGCTGAACCTTGCTCGGACTTTGTCACTGCCTTCAACAGGTGGCAGAATGGCTTCCCCCTGAGTTGATACATGTGGCATATGATTGTCGGTAGAAGTATTGGATCCTGTATGAGATTTATACCCCGTTGTACAAATTCATGGGTTTGTATTTTTGTATACTTTTTCTCCTGGTGCCGAAGCAGCAGCGTATATGTAATGTTTTGGGTATTAGAGTTGGGAACCGATGGATCCGATTTTAGGGTCAATGGCAGAGAATGGATCTCAAACTTGAGCCCTGCACGCCTCTTCGGTGTTTACTTGGAGATCTCTCGATGATGCGCACTGCATTGAGCCGCAGCTAACACCCGTCGTGTCCGACACGGCAGAGGAATCAGAGATGGCCTTTTTGCCCTAGAGAACGAGCCAACCGGGGAACTATTAATACGGTGTTAAGAAAAAGCAACCCTGAGGATATATGTATACACAATATGTGGTGTGGCCGTTGCTGCATGCATCCCTGAGCCATCACAAATCGCTTCCCCCTTACCGCCAAGTTGCAAATATGGACGAGAAACTGCATCTTTGATTGGTCATGTGATGTCCCGCGCATTCCGCCGTGAGCGCGACAAGGGGGAAAAGCAAGGGGGCGGCCATGCAACACGATGCAGTGCAGAATGGCCTGGTAGTACATGGGGACGGACGTGTCGACAGGGACGTCGCTTGCCCTGCATCTTGCAGCTGTGGCAGCTGCAGCCGGCTAGCTTTAGCGCGACCTGACCGACAACACCTTAAATTCTTAATTATCACAGTCGAACACATGTATATATGTCGCATGCATTAACTATCGGCAGATGCCTGACAGAAAAGGTTCCGTACCCGCATGCCAGCCACGGCTATTTTCAAAATATTGAGGGAATTAGTACGGCAAATCATATGTTTACAAAAAATGCTGGCTTAAATACTATTTTAAGCTCGAGGCAGTCCTTTATACGCCAGGCAAAGAAACCATATAATATTCATACAGCGAACACGATTAAGGTATACACAGGATCCTTGATAATCAGTAAATACTCAATAAATTCGCCATTTCCTACTATGTAATGTTTTCCTGCTTTCACCGACCCACAAAGAAGCTGAAAAAAAAAAAAAAAAGAAAAGGAATATATGCCCTTGTCCCATCCACCTCGCCATTTTGAAAACCGCACTTGCGTGCTTCCTTATGTAGATAGACGCACCAATAATGACCAGGACAAATACCAAGACTTAGAAAAAAGAACCCCCAAAGTGGTATGGAGCGGGGGAAACAAGCAATAAGACAAGCAGCCACCCAATGGGGTATTTCCACCACCCTCAAATCTAAAGTAACATATATAACAAACAAGTCGAGTATATTGCTTAAATACACAATGGAATCTGCAAGAAAGGCATAAACATATTGACAACCAAGTTGGTAGGGATATCAGGTAAAGCAAAGAAAAGAAAGAAAAAAAACTCCAGCAAGTAAAAGGGTATGTCCGTAGAAAGAAAAAGGGGGGAAGATCTTTTGTACGGCGGAAGGGGTTAGGAAAGGAGGTGGATATAGAACGGAAGGAGGTTAGGTAATCATCATAAAGGTCGTAAATTCGTAAAACATGAATTTTGCAGTTGGGAATAGATCACATAGCGTACCGGGAGCCGGGTACGGAGTAGACGATGATGAATTAAAGTATCACGCAGCGGGAGCTTTAAGTTTGTGGCTATGAGTCCAGGCTAAGAAGTCGAACTTTTCTTTCGTATTCTCCTTAGCGAATAGAGAGGGACTGGGTTCAGTTGGAGAGCCGCGGGGTGTAGTTGCGCGCTCCCTGGGCTCTAAAACAAGAGATCGTCGGTAGTATTTTTGGAAACACTTATCACCAGCAGATCGAACACGGACGAGCTGATCTTGTATCCAAGTCTGGAGCTCCGGGACCTCGTTTAGTCGGTAGGGGATTTGGAATCGCTGGAGCTCGCTGATGATTTTGGCAGTTTTCATGTGTTTGTCAAAGTTGATGACTTCGATGGAACTCTCGTCACCAGTGAGTGTGCGGGTGTCCTGGTTGCCATGATCAACAAAAGTAAGGTCGGTCAGGTATGTTCCAACAAAAGGTAAGCATGGGGGTACATGGTTTTGCAGTCGTTGTCTGAGGACGGCGTAGTTTCGGGATACATCGACTATTTCTCGGAGATTTTCCAAAAGGTTCTTCGTTTTGACAGGAACAAGCTCCCATGTGCGTTTAAGACGAGAGATGGTCGATGAGTTGAGTGAACAAATGATGGCCATGAGGGTATCGTAATTGTTTAGCTCGAGGCACTTTGAGGCTATCTTAACCCATCGCTTAACAACCACTGCACGCTTCTTTGGCTCCTCCAATTGTAAGATAGAATCAGCAACAAGGTTAGCAATGTCAGTTGATAGAGTAGACATGGCGCGGACATTGACGGCCAAAGAACCAGTCTTCTTCATCCATTCTGTTGACAGAAGCTCTTCGGGAAGGATAGAGCAGAAAATCTGAGATTCCTTAATCGTGATTTGGCGAGCAATCTCGAGAGGATCGAAATCAAGAATGCTCACATTGGCCCCACCACTCTTCCACTGCTTCAAAAGATTTAGCTGGCTTTTGGTCATGTTTGATGGGGGTAGTGGCTGGTCTGGACTGATGTATTGAGCGATAGAGGTATTTGTCTTTCCAACTGAAGATATCAACCGTGGAACAACGGGCCCATGCAGGGAAGACACCTTCTCGACTAGGTCCACGAGACGCTTTCCAGCTGTAGGTAATGTGATCAAAAGTTTGGCCCTGGCGAATTTGAGGATCGACGGTAGGGCAATATCATCGACATCATGTCTCCAATGTGCCTCAAGCCATCCTTTGAAAACATTGTACACACGCAGGCGTACAGGTCCTCCAGCTTTGGGAGTCTCGCCAATGTAATCATAGCGGTCGATCAATGTTTCAGCAAATTCAACGGGGGTAGTGAAATGTCGGAAGGTAAGATAAAAAGTAGATACGAATAGTGCATCAGGGGTCGATTCATGACATGTTAACTTCTCGATGAGAGCACGAAGACTGCCACCAGTCACTTGGCCATCTTTAAACATGAGCTCGTGGGCGTAGGTTTTTTCTAAAAGAGTGTCCTCCTGTTCGTCACCATCTGATGCAGTCGATCCCACTTCAGCTTGCGAGTCTTCCTTCGATGGGGATTTGGGAGAAGTACTCGCGGGTGATGTTGGACGCGTAGGTGTTTCAACAGCGTATGTTTTTTCTGTTTCAGTTGGCTCAAGTGTAAGATCCATGTCACTATCTGGAGGCAGTGGTATGTACATGGCTGCATCCTGCTGCCAAGGCGCATCACAGGTAGTTTTCGTGGGTGAGTATGTATTAAATGGTTTAGTAAGGTCGTGGTCGGAGTTTGAGATAAATGAGTCGTTGAAGTCGGTAAAGGCGGAGAATGTAGAGCTGAAAGATTCATCAAAGGGAGATGTTGGAGTACGGAGGGTTGAAGTGTCTGTGAAGGATGATGGCGTCAGGGATATCGATGATACAGATCCATCAGGGATTTGAAGGGGCAGTGGCCGCATTGACTGTTCATCCGTCCTTGTTACTGGGGTCAAAGAATCGTCGGTCTCCTCTGGTAGTACTTTGCGGTTGGTTGGTGTTGCCATATATTCCGTGCCAGGAACGGAAATACCCAGGCCAATGTTCTCCAGCTCGAAGTCCCCAATCTGTTCTAAAACTGTCCTGGCTCTAGAGACACAATCTCCAGCGCCTCGTACACAGTCAGTAGCGGCATCTACCAGCCGTTTGCCGTCTCCTGGAACAAAAATAGTCTCATCGTCGGGGTTGCTAGGGGTGCGAAACGTGTTCTGGGTGGCGTTGACGAGCTCAGCGATCCGGTCATACATGGTATTCTTTGATTTTTCTAGTAAGAAAGATCGATGTAGATCGCGTTCCCACACTTCTCCAACAACAGATAATAGCGTCTTGCAAGACTGAACAGCTTCTTGTGTGGTGACTATCAGTTCCGTCGATGATGGTGATTGTAAATGTAGGCCAATAAATGATCCAAGAACACCTAGAAACCCGTCGTGGGCAGCAGTTAATCGTCCTGAGGCAAGATTTGGGTTTTTGGTAGAAACGGATGAGTGGCCGCTGTATGATATTCTATGGGAAAGCGAGGCGCGTTTTATTTGTACTGATGCCGGACGTTGTGGTGTTTCACGACCGGATTTGTGGCTAATAGTCGTGGAGTTGAGCACGCTGCGGTCACCAAGGCTCCCTCTCCAGCTGCTAGACGAGTTTGGAGTGCCAATCGAACTGGTCATGAGCTGCGATGCAAAGTTGAACGAACCTTCCACAGGTGGAGTGAGAGGTCCTTTGAACATTGTGTCCAGGGTAGGCGACGAATTCATGTTGTTATCCAAATGATCCAGAGCTCTAACCAATCCAACCTCTTCGCTCCAGACATCCAAAAACCGAACTCCTCTGGTGACGATGCGGAATGCCTTGAGCAACATTAAGTCAAAGATGTTATCCAGACATGTTTCAAAGTGTCGTCCGTTTGCAATGTCCTGTAATTGCTTGGCCAGCTTGACGAGTGATGATAAATCCGAGAGGAGAGCTTTCCTGTTCCGTCTTAATCCATCCACTCTTTTAACTAGCCTACAGTCTCTCGTCAAACACTCCGATTTTTCCTACAGATAACGAGTAAGCAAATATAGAAAATGATATATAGTCCAGCGGGAGAAAAACACGGCAACCTACCAGCAGGAATCGAACTCCAGCAATCATTCCCCTCATGTAATCCTGATTTGTGAACTGCTGAAGCGTAGATCCGTTGCCTCCCCTGATGACGTCCCAGAAGTCCATCAGGGCCTTCAATAGAGGGTGCATCTGTTGAGGGTCGTATGCCTCGCAGTAGTTGGTTGGCAGCCATCCTCTAGCGCCGGTTTCAAGTAGAGTACCATCAGCCCAGCCGTTGGTATGTACAGAATGAACTAGGATAACATCTCCCTGGTCCAGAGGTAGAGTGACAGTGGAGGATGAGATCGGTCCGTCTGGGTGGAATGGGTAGAAGGCCCTCAGGTAGTTATGGAACAAGGACCGTCCCTGGTCACTTCGATCAACCATCTCCTCTCGCGAACTATGCGGCGTCAGCGGTGGTGTCATTTGTAGCTGAGCTTTCAAAGCCGTTATCAGTCTGTTGTTTGTGGCCACGGCCTGTGATCCAGCATCGTCCTGAGTGGTGAAGCTTAGAGGTGCAACATATTGGGAGCTCGACTCCATGATCTACAAGAGAAGCAGGCAGAGAGGCAGCGGGAGGGATGGAGAGGGAGAGAGAGAGAGAGAGAGAGAGAGAGATGGAGTCCCTCTTGGGTTATCAGCTTGTTCTCCCTAGAGGTTCGAAGCCCCAATAGTGTGAAAGTTCCTCCCTTTAGTCGCGATCAACGGCTCCCTCTGGCTTGGTAGTCTGCCGCCGTGCTCAACATAGATCCTCCCTGTTGCTCTCTTGTTCTCTCTCTCTTTGATTTCTCTGGTATTGTTTATGTTTTGTATCTTGTCCTGCTAAATTGGAGGCAATATGAAAATATGAACAGTCAACAAAAACCTGTTCAATCGGTGGCGAACCATTTGGAGGTTGACATGTGACCCCCTAAGAGGTTGTTTTTATTTTTTATGCTGTGGTTATATAAGAAAATGATCTACTTACCAGACGTTAATACAGTAAACAACCAGCAAAGTGGTCTTCTTCTCAAGGACAATTTCACTATCAGGCCGAGGTGTTCGTGGTTTTCTTTCTTTCTCTATACCTTGTCGAAATGGACGGTGGTTCGTTTTTGTTTTCTTCTCCCCTGGACGGCTGAAACGTATATTCCCTGGTCCTGGAGAGGGGGGTAAACCTGGTAGATCAGTGAATGGATGGATTGCATGGAAAGGTGCCAGTTCGTCCAGGAATCCAGCAAGGCAGTCTATGCTCTAATTGTCCTTCGGGGGTTGTCCCAGATCTGGTTAATTAATGACAACGTCACAGCAGACGCGGTGATCCTCAGTAGCCTGAATGACAAAATATCGTCACTCTCTCCACCAGGGCTACGGAAGGTAGATAGAAAGATGTCTCAGGGAGAAGCGTGGGAAAGATCAAAAAGAGGGTCCCCAGGAACGGAGAGAGGAGGGGCTCAGCAAGAAAAGCTCCAGTCGAACTCCAGGAATGTCAATGATATCGAATTGGTCATAACTAGAGGAAAGATATGGGGTGGGAAGGGGCCTTCAATGGAGATAGAGGAAGAGGAAGAGAGATAGAAGAGAGGGAGAGAGAGAAAGATGAGAAAGGAAAAAACCTCCCAATCCCAGGACGCTGGACACAAGATGGAGACACACCACTTGTGGTCTTCTCTCCGGAGTCATGACAAGCTACCTGTCTCTCTCCATTTTTGTCCTCTTTTTCCATGTACGCCCATGGAAGCTCAACGGGGCCGCTCATTAGCTGTGAGCAACGGGGCCCCGGGAGGTCTTACTCCACCAGGTTAGTAAATGGACAGCCCGCCCTGGACCTTGTGTGGATTTGCCGTAATTTGAAAGTCATAGTAATTTAATACGAGAAATATTATATGTGCTAATAAAAAAACAAAAAAAAAAAGAGCAGGAAAAAAAAAAGAATTCGTCGAATCTTTTCGTTTCCCAGCGGAATGCGCTAAAAGGGGGAAAAGAAAAGAAATAAGAGTTCAACGTTTGTGGTGGCCGGCACTTTTTGACAGCTTTTCGAACATCCTCTAGGAAAGCAGCCTACACATCCCGGTGGATATCATGCGTCCCAATTGTCCAATCCTTTTCGCCACATTCTATGCACAACCATGTCGTCTGCATAAAGCGGATCAAAGTCACTGTCTTGGCCTCCTCCAAATCCCTGGCCATGACCGTTTTTTCTCTACGAATAGAGAGTAAACAAACCGTCTTTTATTTATTTTTTTTTTTAATTTTATTTTTAACACATTTTTCGCAAGCATTGTGTGGGCACGCGCCCTCTAGCGCACTGAGAGTTGAACAGCTTCGAAAAATACATACATAGTACATATATATACATAGTATGTGTACATCCACCACCGCCGCACCCCGGAGTCCCCTTTTTTCTGCACGTGCGGCAACTCCCAAAATGAGAGCTGAAGGAGGAGGGTGAATGCTGGCCTGGATGCCCAGCCGACTTTCAAATCTGGCCCTCAAGGTTTTTATTTTTATTTTTTTTGGCAGCGTGCCCACGAGACAAGGTGGAATGGATTATTTACGGGAGACTGTTAGACTATCGCCATCTGCGGCCTGCGGAAAAGGGCTAGGCCACATGAAAACTTCTGACTATTAAGCAAATCATGAACGATGGAGAAACCCTCAGTACGGGCGGCTTGGACTATGTGTACTTGCATAGTACGACTCTGTACTCGGTACAGAAAACGTACGGGCAACATAGTGCGTATGATAGGCGGTCGAGACGTATCCAGTGTGTCCATCAACGTATCACTTCTGGCCTGCCGTCCTAGCCAAGACGCCGACTGCAGAACTAAAACTAACGGCACACCGATTTATGGTTGGTTTTTGCTGAAAGATGGAAAGATGACCAGGGGATTAAGTTGCTTTCTTCCCCTGCTGCTTCTATCAGTTCTTGCCAGGGGGCTCCCTGTAAGCCTGGTGGATCAAAGCCCACCTTCCGACTACCTTCCGGGTCAGTCGTCTGAATTGGACTTGTGTCTCGGTTGGACAGGAAATATCCTATTGTGTTCATTTCACACGACACTTTGTCGTTCTGCAGCCGCTGCCTCTTTCTCGAAGAATGCTCCTTCGTTACGCAAAAGGAAAGAGAGAAAAAAGCAGTCATTTTGTGCTTCCTTAGCTGATATGCGGTAATAACGATTGTTCGACTAGTTATATCCCCTTCTCCAGAGCTTTCTTGGAGATGGCTCTTGTGGACGGAATTGCAAGCGCTAGGTGCTAATTAGGTTCTGTGGTGGAGATCTCCATTGCATGATGAAATCACATTTCGGCTCAATTCTGATGGAGAGCAGCAGCCCTTGCTGAAAGAAATATACTATGTATGTGCCAACAGCTTGCTATCGTTGCTTCCTCATGCTTTCAAAGGACCAGAAAGTTGATTGTCTCTATTGCGTATAATACGGAGCACAAAAATGCAGCATGCTCGGTTTATATATTTACAAAGCACCAGACAAAAAATGTATACTTATTACTTATACACTCCAGAAAGCCAAAAGAGTGGGAAACATTGTTTCTTCTTCTTACAAAACGAGGCGGAATTAAGGGAACAGGCATCAACAAAACAAAAATACAATTGGCTGTGGAAGACGCCGTGCCCTTCGACGATGTGCCAGTGATGAGAAGAGCCCCTATCACACGTTTCTCCAGGCGCGTCACTATCACTTGTGGAGTCGAGCAAAAAAGAAGGATTATCCTCATCATGCTCTTCTTCTCCTTTTCCCCAACTTCAAAAAAGCAACCATGAACAACCCTGAATTATGCACGTTTTATGGTTCCTCCTGAGATAATCAACTTCACTGAGGAGTTCACATGTCGTTGCTTTGTCTTTATAAAACAACACTTTTCAGAGAGGTCAGATTTTTCCCTCTAGTCTCCCTTCTACCCGATGTGTCAGTTTAAATCCCTTCGGGGAATTTCTTCCTCACTCCCTTCCTTTTGATGAAATAAAGGAAACCAGAATCAAAACAACATCTTGCAACAGCAAGGACCCATCAGCGTTACCATAACTACGGTGCTTTAGTGTTGAAAGCCCATCATTTCTATTGATCGACAGCGGTGGCTAAGTTTTTAGCTTAACCATATTGGAAGCAAGTCTTCAATCCAGCTAGACTGCTCAACGTAATTGGTGTATTGAAGAAAAAGCCTCTGGTTGCTGCTCTTTGTAAGTTTAATGGGCCTAGGTGAACGGCGAGGGCGATTCACATATTAACGCCTATCGAGCAGGTCTTTATTCATAGTAAGTGTACTCAGTACAACCGCAATGCGTATATCTATGGGTCTTAAGGATCGACTTGCTCATCTCTTATCTGAGCTTGATACAAACATCAAACCGTGGGCAATCAACAGGTATCAGCGAGCCTTTGCTGAACCCAAAGTATACCTCGAAGTTGTATTTTTTCTTTTCGGCGACTTCTAAATTCAGAACGATTCAGCCTTTGAAGTGGGTTATGTTTATACTCTGTATAGGCTTCAATCTGCATCTTCAGTGGCCCATACAGTACCCAGAGACACGGTTATGGGCTCGGAGCGCATCCACCTCATGGATGCTTCAGTCATGATATTCCGCCTGGCCCTGTGCGCTGGATCATGCCCCAACTTGCAGCACTTGGCTGTGCGTAGCGTGTTACTCTCTTTCCCCGATGAGCCAACGGCCAAAGCACAGCGTACGTGGTACTCATTTTGTATGGGCATGTACTCGCAGAACCTCAATCTCACTCGACTGGTCATATTCAGGAGTACATATCGCATATTAATCCTTTAAGCTTATGATGGCTTCACGAACCCCTCATCTTATCACGATATCCCTTCGATGGTGAAACATTGACCAGAGCTCCGGAAATTAATGAATTAAAGGGAGGCATGCAATGAATTAATCAATCCGATACCCTCACCACACGCCTCGTTTTCTTGCCCCCAATCTCGCCATCGATTAGTGCCTTACTTGGATAATACCACCTCATTTCTTTGCCCCCTTCGATGGGATTTTCCTAGGTACGGAGTACTCCGTCCAAAGAACAGGCCACACCATGGATGTTCAGGCCCCTGGCTAGCCCCCCTTTTCTCGCCTCCAGGCATGAACCATGTGGGGATAGAGTTACTCTCTGCTGGTAGCGACCTTAGCTGTCCACCCAAATACAGCCTAGCTATACAGAGTAGTACATATATATACAGAGTGGTCTGTCAACTGCAGCAGGGCATGCACTCGGGACCATCTCGTAATCGGGCTTTTCAATCGAAAGGAAGCTGATGTCTTCTGATATCTAGTCTACTTCATACTTACATACAGGGTATGGAGTACACACTTATACATTCTTCTCTGCCGCGTTTTTTGGCCGATCGGGCGATTGCTACCGCGTGGGCAGACCAGGGCTGAGCAAATTGGGGACCTACTAAATATAAGATGCTGGGTTTCAGGGCTCTCACTCTGCGCACCTAACTGCCGCTTCGGGTGAGAAACCTCTGATTTACTCAGAGTTGCCGGATTCCGCCTTGGTCTTGTAGTCTTCCGAAGGCGATCGCTTACGGAGGTGCAGGACAGGGTGGTGCGACTATCAGAGGTTAAGGTAAAAAGGGGGGAGAGAAACTTGATCCAGGACTTACCCTGCTACCAAACAAAGCCCGTAGGGGGTTGAGCAGCAGGAGAGAGAGATTCCCTATCAGCCCTAGCCATTCCCAAGGGCTGACTATCGACAGTGGTCGCAAGCGGCTGCAGATTGCAGCTCCCAAGCTGATGGTACCGAATTATAGCAGGATATTAACTGAATGCATGCCCGGTTACTCGAACTGGACGTTCGAGTTACACCACTGCTTTATAACCGCAGAATAACGGTCAATCTGGTGCCTATATATTCCCGCAGTTCGGGCGCCACATTGAGCCCAATCGAACCCAGAAAATCTCCATTATAAAGCTGGATGATAATCATAATAATAATAATGAAAAAAAAAGGGGGGCTCGAGGGCTGCTTCCGTAAGCGGAGCCTTTTTAGGGCTTTTTAAAAGCATCGATAAGATAAGGTATCACGTGATAAAGAAATATCGCCAGCAAAAAAAAGCCAGCAAGAAAATAAAGAGTCATAAAGTGTGTTGGAGACAGCAGAAGCAAAGTTACCAACCCGTCAAATGCTGATGATACTGACGACCTGGAGCTAGAGAGAAAGGGATTTACTACTTCTTGCCTGTCCAGCTGTACCTGGGAGAGCTGTCGAAGAATTAAACCAAAAAGCAAAAAAGAAATGGCATCTTTTACAATTAAAGTCCCTTGTTCGTCCGCCAATATCGGCCCAGGATTCGATGTTATTGGTAAGTTGAGATCGATCTGGGTTCAATAAAATTTTCATTTCTTCCAGCGGGCTTCCTTTCGTTGGCGATGGGGTCCGGATTGAAGGAGACTAGGATTGTCTATCCGCCAAAGATGTAAGTAATATATGATTTAGATGGCATATGGCTAATGATATCCATGCTAGGCTTGGCGCTATCGATCTTCCTTGAGTTGCATGTTACTGTTAAGCCTACCCCAGCATCCAATCTTCGATTAAATTGCGGGATTACTTACGAAGGGGAGAATCCTGATGAAGTCAGCCTCGACCCTGAAGTAAATTTAATTACCAGAGTAGCACTATACGTGCTCCGGTGTCACAATCACCATGCATTTCCTGACGAGTGTCACGTCCATATCAAAAACCCGATCCCATTGGGGCGTGGGTTGGGCTCCAGCGGTGCTGCTGTGACCGCTGGTGTTGTCTTAGGCAATGAGGTTGGTAAATTGGGTCTGGATAAGGCCAGAATGCTAGACTATTGTCTCATGATCGGTGAGGCGCCTCTTACCTTTTGATCACCCTCCACCCGCTGGTGCTAATTCACCTTTTTATAGAGCGCCATCCAGATAATGTTGCCGCAGCCCTATATGGTGGCTTTGTTGGCACATACCTGAACGAGCTAAAGCCAGAGGATCTAGCATGGAAGGAGATTCCTCTAAGTGAGGTACTTCCTGCTCCCGCCGGAGGAATAGATACAGGCATCAAACCACCAGAGCCGCCAATTGGAATTGGACATTACAAGAAATTCCCATGGGCAAAGGAAATCAAAGCCATTGCCATTATACCCGATTTTGAACTTCCCACAGCTAAAGCAAGAGAAGTACTTCCTCAAACATATTCGAGGGCTGATGTTGTAAGTCCTGCCTTTTCCCATTTTCCTACTTCAGGGATCGGCACTTATTTAGGTATTAAAATCAGATATATAACCTCCAGCGTGCAACCCTACTCCCCTCAGCATTGGGCCAATCTCCCCTGGATCCTGACATGATCTATCTCGCTATGCAAGATAAGGTGCACCAGCCCTATCGAAAGCACTTGGTCCCTGGTCTGACGGAGATCTTGAATTCGATGAACCCAACTACTCAGCCAGGCCTGCTTGGTATTTGCCTTTCAGGGGCAGGCCCAACTATACTGGCTCTTGCGACGGAAAATTTCACACAAATCGCTGAAAGAATAATAGAGAATTTCAAAGCCAATAATATCCAGTGTGATTGGAAGGTGTTGGATCCTGCAGATGACGGGGCCAGCGTAGTTTATAATAGTTAATTAGAAATCAAATGAATGTTGCAATAACTAAGATGATTAATTGATGGTTTCTTTAGAAAACGAGGATTCGTGGGCCGTATGTATACACCATTGGCATACTCCGTACATGCTTCTATGTCAAAATTATTGGTGCTATGGCTATGAAAATCAATGATAGAGTGACTCATCTCTTTTAAGTGTTCAGAACATTCCTTCCATATCCAAATCAATAAACTCCGGGTTTCCAACCCCCATATCAGCAGGATTTAACATGTCATCAAAAATACTAGTATCCATATCTGGCTGGCCCATCGTAGCCTCATTTCCAGCGGGTGGGCCTGTTACTGCCTCTGCTGCAGCGGCATCCAAAATAGCATCTAGACTAGCAGGGCTTGCACCAGTCCCTGTAGTAATTTGATTTTGTTGTTGCTGAAGTTGCTGCTTTGGTTGCTCTGTGACGTCTAGTTGCATCTGTCCATCATCCTCGACTCCTGTAAGGTCCATATCAGCCATGATATTGCCGACATCAATATTATCAACCGTTTGGGGCATTTGAGGAATAGAAGTAAGAGTATCGACACGTCTGGCTAGTCGAACGATGAGCTCGGCTCGATGCGGTTCAGATTCTATCACCTTGGCGAGAGACTCTCTTTGGAGATTAAGCGCGTCCCTAAGATTAAGCACTTGACAACGAGGTAGAGAATCCTTCAGCCCACCACCAACAGACTGATATGTAGCTTGTTCCAAAGAGAAATATTCACGCATCGGGGCACATATTAGGGTTGCTGCAATATCAATAGCCAAATCACCGCTCCCTGTTTCACTTTGTAGTTTAAGCTCCTCAAGTATACCTGCAAGCACTCGGACGGAACCCAGATGTTTCAGTCCAGCTAAGAGTTGCCTGTGTGTATAACTTGGAGGTGTCATACTGATCTCTGGATCTGTGCTCCAAAGTACCAGTGAAGAGAAGGTATTTCGGATCCCAGTGACCATGCCACCAGGTGCAGAATTGGACCTCCACCCTTCTAGCTCAGCACGATTAGATGTACCCGCTCGTTGAAAGGATTGGTATGGCTCAAGGGCTTGAAGAATAGGTTCAATGTCCGTCCTTGACGGATGGCGGGCCTTCGCAGTTTTAAGCTCATCTCCAAGTGCTCGTGCAGTAATAGATAGCACAGTATGATGAATTTCTTGGGCCTCCCCGGATATAGAAGATGGCTTTACGAGTGTGGACAGGAGTTTGAGTGTTGTCGTTAAATCAGTGCCAGATTTCCACATATGCTTCCCTATCCAAGATAAAGCCATGACCAACGAAGGTAGTAGGAATGGTTCTAATAGATCTTCTAGTTTGTTAATCCCTTGTGTTTTTTCGGTAGTATCAAATATAAGGGAGAATGGGATGTCATCTTACACTCAAATCCGCCCTTCAGAGTATCAAATTCTAGCTTCCCAGCTTCGCACGCGCTTAAGCTTTGGCTAAAAAGAGTCGCAACTAGAAGATAGAACTTTTGGGGGCTACAAGAGGACATTGATTCATCACTAATACCTTCAGCTATGAATAAGGCTGTAATCCACGCGCCAAGGTTCTGTGTTTGTTTCTCTGTCAAGTCCTCTAGTTTTTGACTTGAAGCCCCCTTTTCGAGTAGTCGACACATGAAAGAATCAGGGTTGTAAACCCCAAGGTCCTGATAGCTCAGATCATATTTATACTTGAAAGCTAGGACCAGGAGAAGTACACTTCCAAATTCATCATACACGGGTTGACTCTCGCCTAACTTACTGTTACTACTAGTTGCTCAATCATGTCGGAGTGAAGGGAATCCTTACCTTGATCTTCCTCCCATTTCCAGGAATCTAATAGAGCACAGAGAGGTTGCAGTATGGCCAGCGGACTCTTGAACAAGAGCATAATGTCCAGCGCCTGTGGTTTGCGTGATAAAGAATTGCATATACTTTTCAAGGTCATAGTATCCTTTCTCAGGCACATATTATGCATTACCTAAATCGTGCATGTTAGCAAACACGAGATTTATTTATTCACTTCAATGAAATTTACCTCAGATATGGCCTCAACGATTGCCCGCGCGTTACCGTCCATTGACTCGATACCATTTATCAATTGCTCTGCCCGCTCGGGGTTATTATTGATCTGAGAAACTAAATCATGTTTCACAAATCTTCCTCCATTTGGTAGAGTCTGCATTGGATTCTCTCCCAGGAGGCGCTCAATGCTTGATTCGGGTATTAATTTATGTAAGGCACACGAGAATAGAAACTCCTGTCTCACATCAGATAAGACTGAATTGCCGTGGGTGGAAAATATTTCCGAAAACGACGGGAATGTGTTTGGGTCTACCCGTGCTAAAGCACGAGTGATACATAACTCAACTGGTATCGGTTCAACCACCGATCCTGCTAGGTCCGAGAGGAACGGGGGAAGTTTATTGACGAGAAATGCCCGGAAGAGGAACATCGTTTGTTGTGGCTCATTACGGTACATACCATTCGACAAGACGTCAAACGATGCCGTGATTAATTCTTCAACCAGTGCCATGTGGTTTCCCTATAGCATGTATAAGCATAATGAGCTAATAACTAAAAGTGAGAAATACACTTACCCCATAACGGTTATTTAAGTAGTTGATAAGAACGTTGTCGTCTATTAAAGGCCGCCCTACAAGCTACAGGGCGAAAGTAAGTATAGTTGGACATAGCTAAATAGTCCAAGGAAGTGTATGACGCACCAGAGAGTTGACATATATATATAGTCCAGCTCGAGAGCTTACAGGAGGGATATCCACTACCCTCGATTCAAACTCCAGGGTAGAAACATTGATCTCTTCCATAACATGGTCTTGGTTAGACTTTTCACCCTTCGCGAAAAGGTTGAACTCCTTCTGTAATTGATCAAGCCTATTTCGTAAAGGAATAGAGATTTCGGCGCAGAGCGGGGCATATGCTGTCAGGGCCTGGGCCAATTTCATTCGCTGGTGTTTAAAGGCTTTAAATAACCATTAGCACTTGTGGACATCATAATATTCCTGACGGCCAGAAACAAGCTTTTGGGGGTCTAAGGTGAGAAGGGACTTACTGTCTGCGTTTTGAAATGACAGTGCGTTCGCACCTGTCTCTGTTCCCGCTAAAGCTCCAAACAAGAATCCAACTGCTACGAATATGGAAACAACATCAGGGGAGCTCAGCAACTGTCCTCCACCACCCTCACCTCTCTCCGAACCAGCGTGAGTATTCCACGATACTAGGGTCAAGATCCACTCAGCAATCGCAGAACAAGTATTCATAAACCCAAGGGCGGTCTTTGGAGCATATCCCGTGGTTACAGCCGTAATCACATTCTGTATAATGCCGTAATCAGTCAATAACGTAGCAGGTCCCTTAGCAATCACTGATCCTAGGGCCTCTTTCTCGTCATTTTTTTGATCTGCTTCGTCATTCCGTTTTTTCCTTTGACCCTTCCAGCGCTGAATGTCGGATTTAATGCTTGAGTGCGTCAAAAGAGATAGCAAGATATTGGAAATATCAATATGAGCGAGCTTATGCACGGCGTCCACATAGTCAGGTATCAGTGGATCCCAATCAAAATCCGTGACCGCTCTTGACTCTAGGATAATATCGACCAGATCCTTGTTTGCAATGGGATAGCGGCGTAACATCACTCTAGCTAGCTCTTGAAACTCATCTGAATTTATTCTTTGGATAACGCATTGTTGCAAGAGCTTCCGCCATTCCGGTTTTGGTACACCAGACAGCAGGTTCGGTAGCGTAACCATGATGTATATATCAAGTTATTCCTGTAGATATTAAACACCCTTGGGGGGAAATGGCCTATATAGAGACAATATATATCGCATGCCGACCATGAGCGCAGCCTCTGGGATCCAAAACGTGACAAGCCAGGGGCATGTATATAAAGTCGTTGGCCACAGGGGAAGCGGACAAGTTGATTTGGCAAGGCCCAATCTTTATACCAGCATCAGGCTGGAGGGTTGAAAATGCAAGATTCTCAAATCCTGGGCCCGAACTGCCTTCGAAGTTACGCCGTCATTCAGACCAAAGGCAGGAATTGTCGTTTTCCGTGATTATATAAGTAGTTATATTACATAATATTATATAACAGTTATCAAAGCACGGCCCTTTTTATTAAAATGATGAAGGATAGAAATAATGGTAATTATAAGGTGATCAGGGGGTAGGAAAACAGGTATAAATGAGGATCTGCTAAAGTATGAAAGATCCTCGAAATCCAGCAGAAGGCCTTGTTATGTAGGAGTTTGGATTATGTGTGAGCGTACGGAGTAACAAGAGGATTAAATTAAGACGAAATCAGAAGAAAATTAACCCAGAGACAAACACGTGATTTTGCGCCACACAAGGAGGCCAGAATGCTTATATAATATATATAACGTGATAACCACGTGGCTTGTGTGTGCTGCGCCACACGGCCAACGACATGCCTTGAAAGTGCAATTTTTGGGGAGACGATGGAGTGAGAGGACAGGCAGCGAGAGGCAACATATGGGTTGTTTTACCCTGGTTTGGTATGAGGCTGAACCCTCAGCTTCTGGGAATTTCGGATTTGGATCTAACATTTACTCACATATCAAGCTTGGTGCAGAAGCCAACTACGTATATTGACATATGCGAAGAAATTATTTACTATATAGTTATAAGTCTCTATACTATGCAAGCTATGATTTAGCCTTGAAGCCATCGTGGCCAGGCTCAAGGATGCTACAGAACGGAGGCCCCGGATATAGAGTTGGCGGTTGCCCTAGTGCTTATGCTAACGTGCGGTTAATTTGCTATAGATGGGGTCGTTTTCTGTATAATATTCGCCTCCTTAATTTTCTCCGTTAGATGAATTCACAATCACCAGAATATAATATGCGGCCAGCTTAGTTTGGGCATTTTTAGCGTCATACTTGTCCTACACACATAGTCATTCTAGATTGCGCGAATTGGTGGTGGCCATTATGTGGTGATGCTTATTGGAAGACAACCATCCATAAACCATATAGTTACGTCTTCAGCTGAGGAAATCACCAGTATCATATCAGAAGTGCTTACGGAGCCACTGTGGTTTGATCTTCTGGCCTGGCACACTAGATGACAGCCTTTCCATGGGTAGAGTAAAGTAGCCTAGGCAGCGAAACGGCTTCAAGGCAAATGAATCCTTGATAAGGTTATCTAAAAGTAAACGGAGCATAGCATACCAATGAAGGCGCAACTTGTAACTCCTTGTCGTTATATCTAGTATCAGGAGGAACAAGTCACGCTAACTGCTTGGATGTCCGGAGCAATGCTGCCATCAAAGGTGGCCGTTAAGGTACCAAGGGCCTTAGATACATAAATAGAGTATTTATCATAAAAAATCGGGAAATATTTTCAAAGACATCTCTCCTGTCTCTCCTTACGCCAGATAATAAAGAATATGCAGGCCGGAAAGTTAGTTTATGAAGCTAGCGAAGGGTATACAGAGGTTTCCGCCAGGGAAAAAGGAATCTTTCTCTTTCTCTATAAAAGAGGGGGAAATAGCGAGGAACGATAAGGGAGTACATATGAGAGTCGTTGGTATTGGTATCATTCATCATCATCCATGATATTTTTTTTCTTTCTCCTTTTTCTTCCCCATTTTTCACTAAGACCTTGTACTTCTGCTGTGCCTTGAGTAAGTATTCGATTGGCGATCTGCCATTTCATCCGGTGATCGCGGGCCGATCATCCAGTCTTCCATTGCCAGCCACTCACTCCAACTCTTCTCCGCAGCTTCGATCTCAGCATTTTCCGATCCCTGTAGTGGCCTGAGAAACGGGACTGTCTCTAGAGGCAAAATATCATAGTCCTTCTTCACAGCTGCCCATCCTCCGCTCTTTGCGGCAAAGAAGAAGTTGCGGCGCTCTTGTTCGTGCAAAGAGCCAATCCCTGACGCCCAATCATCACCGAAAAATCCGTGTAAAACCCCTGGGTAGTCCATACCCGTTGCAACTAGACGACGAATATATGGAACCATGGACACACTTGGTGCAACTGAAGCTCCTGCTGGCAGCCCGCCAGGCGGACTAGAAAGGGTAGCATCAACAGCGGAATTGAAAACCGGAGTCGGCTGTCTTTGGAAGGGAAGGTGTATGTTTAGGAACGAGGAAAGGGCCTGTACGGGAACGGTGTGTTGTGCATGGTCGAGGAAATAACGTTGGCAGCTCTGGTAGCGCGGGTACCATTCAAAAATATCGAACGGGGTGTCTTCAGGGCGTTGCGAGGCTTCGGACATGCCAGCCCTGATTACCGAATCGTAGTGGACGCGAGGATCTGTGGACATCGTGGTTTCGGGCGCTTCTATAACCTGGCTACTCTTTCTACTGTTGAACCCTTTAGCGCTCCATTGGTTATATCACGTAAAGCCCAAGTGTCTCTCTCCCGCATCATTGTCTCTCCCACTACTTTCATTACATGTTCGGCAGTTAGAAACAGGGCAGGGAAGGAATAAGGGCTGTTGCCGCCGCAGTTCAAAGAAAAAACAGCATCCTAGGATCTTGGGGTTGGTATATACCTGTTTCCGGTCCACACTTTGCGAAAAAATGGCCAATTCGAGGCACGAAGAAAAATTGTAGTTGGAAGAAGTTTCTTGAATAAACCTGGATCTCTCTCGGGTATTTGTTTCCCTACCGACATTGGCTAGGAGACAAGGCTAAGAGACAGTCGGTGCATAAGGGGAACGCAAGGTACAGCGTAAGGTCCGAGCAAATAAACATAAAAAATATGGGGGAAAAGCAAGCTATGCACGTCTTGGAGTGAAAGCGTAAGACACCGTATATTTTGGTCACTGGTCAAGAGTAACAGGGCAGATTCAGGTGGAAGGGAAGTGTCTATTATAGGAAAGGGACTGGAATAAAGTGACCTTGTGCCTGGGTAGCGATTGACTTTTAAACACCAGAAATCTGTCCTTGAGACGTCAGCAACTAGAAGAGTAATATATGGGAGAGAAAAAGAAATGCAGACGAAACCCCGGGCCACTTGGCGTGGAGGCGAAAGTACGGAGTGGGCTTCCGGGGGCAGATAATCGCACTCATGGTGAACCAGAGAGAAAAAAAGAAAGAAAGAAATAGAAGTAATAGAGTCGCTACAAGGGTTGTAGTGAGTTAGTCAGAAAGGGTTTGATCTTTGATGGAAGAAGGAAGAAACATGCTCCACTATCTCTCCTGCGATGGACTTGCATTGCATGTGGAGCTACTTTGGGCTGGTTGAAGGGCTGATTCTCGGCGGTACTCAAGTTTAACTCGGGAGGCAAAAAAAAAACTGTCAGTTTTGCCCCTGTTATATTAATAAGTGTTTACGTTCAAATGAGGTTACCGAAGCATGAAGTGCATTATCCAGTGCTCATGTGCATTGTCGGCAACGGGCGTTATCCAGATATCGTAGTTAGGGGGCCAGGGTCTATGACGAAATAGGGGTGAGTCCGATGGTACCAGTTGAAAGGGTCGTTTCATAGGTGTCAAGCCTTTTTCAACCATTGTCATGGTGATCTTCGTGCGTTTCCTGGTTCGTTTGCTTTCCCTCTCTTCATCTAGATTGGGTAGTCATACGAAGCACGCATATGTTTAATGCCCAACATGAATAGATCTGTCTAGCAAGGGGTCTGCGTTTCATAGTTTTCATGTCAAGACTCGCAGGCGCTAGTATGCAGCGGCCTAGTTTGTGCTGCTCCTCAAGTTAGGTTCATTTCCGGCTTACCTAGCTTCTGTGACCACTATGAGAGCCTGCAGTAGCGATCTATGAAAGATGAGGGGGTCTCAGTCTCCATATTCGTGACCCGAGGATTTTTGACTATTGTTGAATAATGATGCCCACGGTAAAGATTCAGTAATTGGATATTTTTTACGGTTCGCTGGAAATAATAACCTTCGTAACGGCCAATGTCTCGTGCATCTCCTGGGGGTCCAAGCTGTTGCATTCCTCCCTGTTGATGGAGATGAGTGGTTTGGGTGCCTACGGAGTACTCCGTACCATGATGTCGGTGAGATCTGTTAACCTGAAGCTCCCTAGAGCCAGGCCATCTGTTCCTTCGGTTCCTTTCTTTTCTTTTTCTCTCCCTCCTTCCCTTGCTTTCTCGTCTGCTCGCATGGAGCGCCTTGGTTCAGGAGCCTCTGGCGGCAGGACGACGTCGTACCGTTAGTGGAGAAATAGACCTGTGACAACGACCCGGTGGGACAAGATGATTGGACATATTATCCCTTATGCTGGTCGGAGGTACATAAGTACGGGGTTGGAAATGAAATGGTTATTTTGAAGGGCGGCAAATCGACCCGTCTCATTTGTCCCTGGTACATGACGTCCATCCCAACATATTTGACCCGGCCATATTACATTGACCTCCATAGGCATCGTAGTTATTACTACCTCGAGGCAGATGGAAAGAAAATAATGCACCCATAAATACAGAGTAGATTACCTCTCTCTGGCGGAGTTGGGTCCTTGAGATCGCGATTTCCAGGGTTTCCTGACATCGAACTGACTACCATGAAGTGCGTATAGTAGGCGATCAATAAAAGCCAATGTGGATAAAAGTAACGTACTTCGTGCTCTTGGGAACGTGGCCGGTGCCCTCTATGCTTCGATCGGTTGAAGATCTGATGATCCGATCTCTAGTATGTACCCTTTCTTCTCCCTTTTCTTTTTTCTTTTCTTGGGGTTTACAAGCCAGATTCAGCCGGCCCTAGGTCCAAAAGTCTAACCCCACTGCTCCGTCTTTCTTACGGGTACATTCATCATTCGATGTTAGTCCAAGCTAACTAGCTTGAAGTGAGTGCAGTGCAGAGAGGATGCATTTTGGTGCAACAGAGGTTTCCTTGGAAGGATGGCTGCTTGTTCGAACTTTGAAGCATTTGTATAGTTGTTGGCGTTATGCAAAGCGAAGCAGGCTCCATATGGCTGTAATAGATGCAGGAACAGAAGTGGATTATATCCTTGGAAGGGCATATTCCTGATTTGCGAACGAGAAATGCTGAACATGCTATCCATTCGCTTAGAGCTGCTTTGCCTACCAGCCTGGCTTCACGTATGTATCCCGAATACAAGCATGTGAGAGCATAACAGGAACGTATTGTGGTCCCCCTCCCCCTTCAGTCCTCGACGTCTAGAGAAACGAGAGAAAACAAAATAGGTCAAGCCACAGCTCCAGGTTGTCGGTAACTAATTTGCCACTCGACTGAGAGGGCCCTGGTTAGCATCTATCACCGTATTTAGTTTCGCGGGCATTGGGGATCACCAAGAACAACCTCCCCACGGAGTTGTTTAGAACGGAGAATGAACACAGGATGCGCGACTCATGCAGCCCCCAAATTCCAGTCACCTCGGAACAGGAGATACGAGGCTATATGCATTGGAGATCGCGTCATTCTCTGGCCATCAAGGAAGAGTTGTGACTTTTTCTCTTCCACGTCGTTCTTTTTGGGGCGTTTTTGGTCGAAGGTCGGAAAAGGCCCTATCACAGGCCAAGGTGGCTGTGGCTGTGCAAAACACACACCAGCCACATATCAAAGTTGTCTCGGGAACTCTCTGGCTTGTGACAAGAACTATCGACCTGGTCTTTCGTGCATATACATACTATGTAGCATGGGATCTTCCCGTGTCCTCCATCCGCCCTCCACCCTGTCTCTAAAAAAAAAAAAAAACCGGGTGAGCAAAGAGAAAGAAAGTGAGGTGGGTCGTCCAAACTAGCAACTTTGAGGCTCGATTAGTCATGCTGCAGGCTTTGTGGCTTGTCGATTTTTTCCCTCTGTGGCTTGACCTCGTCCTTTTGTGGCTTGTTAAGTCAACCAACAGACCAACCACGATAATCGAACGAATATACAAATATCAGACAACATCCACACAGAACACTACATATTGGTAGTCCGCCTTTTTCACTTCTGCTTCTTCCTTCCCAAACCAAATTCGGTTTTTGAGGGGGCCTTTGTGATATGTCCGATCATCTCGTCTTCTGATATCGCCACTCCCTTCGGCCTGTCTGGCCTATTGAAGGAGGTCAAGCCACAGGAAAGCATGTAACCAGGGCCAGCCTTGTCAGGTAGACGTTCGGGTGACTTCGAGTATATATTCCCTTTTTCTTTTCTTTTAGTATACTGCATCTCACCGCTCCGCTCAGGCAAGATGGGGATTGCACGGACTCTAGCTACAAGGGTACGTAAGTCCTCGTTTTCGCTATGCTCACTCTACCGGCCTACCCGGTCTCCGGAAGATAGCTTACATTCATCCAGGATCATATAGACGCTCTATGGCCTTATTCTTCGGATCATTCAGCCGCCGGTGGCAAAGGAAGAACACGGACACCGCTTCCCCCCTTACAGGAGAGCCTTCCAGCCACAGCCGTTATTCCCATGGGCATTTACGAGGGAGTTGGAATGCGCGTCCCATTGCCACTGCTGGAGCTGAGATGCGCTGCATTTACCGTTCTACTATGTTCATCGTGGGATTCCAGATTAACATGGCGCCCTTCTATCATGCATGTTGTTCCTGTCAGAGCGGTACCAGACACATGTTTCTATGTCATCACCTCTCTCATCCGAAAGACGTGGCAAGTCCTCGGCTCTCCATACGTTATATTAAAAAAGACCTAATAGATCAGATACCCTTGTTCACAGTTTATAACACCGCAATTTTCGGAGTGGCTTCTGCTCTTGATATTTGCCGAAGCGACAACTCAAGCATTCCACAGCACAGCTAGAAGTTGCGGTGAATAACCTGGCAAGTTAACATATTGAGCTGCTTCGGTTGACTTTTATTTTATTTTATTTTTTTTTTTAATGAGATCGACCTTCGATTATAGGCTACTTTTGACGACATTTCCCTCATAGGATAATCAGGTCTTCATAGTCCCTAGCCGTATAGAATCTCATGCGGAAAGGGTTGAAGTGTCGGAGGAGCTTACAGCTGAGCACTGAATGGTCATTGTTCCGGTTTCCAAGCATGTCTCCCTACGCAGAGGCAAGAAAGAAGGTGGGACAACCATCTACTATACTATGTACATCATACGGTCAGTCAGCCTCCCCGGCTTTAATCTTATACGTATATATTTTCCTTCCTTTTGCCGTAACAATATTGACAATAGATAGTTTTACAATCTTGGAAGAAGCAGTGAATTCCACGCTACCCGACATCTGTACCTAATAGAAACAAGTGCTGCTGTAACGAAGTTGAGACGGACCTGTCGATGCAACCTGGGTTGAGGACCTCATGAGAGCTACCTATAGTCGCTTCCTCTACCATCCTTTTCTGCGAGCGGAGAATATGGACCTACCAACTAACTTGTCGTCCGTTATATATAACTAGACAGGGGGTACACCTCAGCCCTATCTATACAAGCTCTTTAGAGAAGGTATCTCACCCATCTCGTTGAAGTCTCTGCTAAAATGGTACCCTTTTTCACAGCTTATTTTGCCAGCTATGATTCAGTATTACAATAGACTGAACATTATTTTTTCCCCCTACAATAATCACATGTAATGAATGACAAATCGATAGTTCAGGGTTTATTATTGCTTCCTTGAGTGTTCAACCAGCCAATCAATATTAACTCAAAGCCAACTCGTCTATTATTAACTCTAAACATAAGCACAAAGAACCCAGAAACGCCACTATTCGTCTAGCGAGGGTTGGACATCGGCCCTATAATAGGTATACAATGAAAATGCCGGATGTCGACAATAGAGACACAAGTTGAGGCATATTTCTTATCCTCCACGCCAGAAGACGGAGAGCGCTGACGAGAAAGCCGGCCAGGATGCCGAGAGATAACCAGCCGGTTAAGTCCTGATAAGAGAAGCTGACCCGGAAGAAGTTCGCTATCTCCGTTATCGGAAAGCTATCTTTGCTGTGTAATCTTCCTTATCTCTATGGATCGCAGTTCGGTTTGAATACTCCGTTAGGTCTGTGTCCCTATCTCTCTTTTGGCTCTATCTCGCATGACCAGACCGGACGGCATGGAAGGCCGAACGAACATTTGAAGCGAATAAAAGCTTTGGGGGGCAAGGGTTAATCTCCGACCTTGGCCTTGCGTGGGATGAGCGGCGCATGACACTCCGTCGATAGTGACCCAGCGTAGCATGGTGAATAATGATAATGGATAATGGGATAATGGACAATGGATAATTGGCTATCAGTAGAGCTCTCCAGCGACTGGCTGGCCTTTTTCCGGGGATGGACATGAGACCGAGTGTTATCCCTATCTTTGCTATATTGGCTGGGAAGAACCGGGAACAAATTGGCTTGAGCCTCCCTCTCTCTTCAAGCTCAAGAGCTGGATTTATTAAGCTATTAACCTTTCCCTCGTCCTCATTCCTTCTCTTATATTTTATCTCCCCTGCTTTTCTCACCTTTCCCCGTTCCATAACTCCATCTATCTGTTATCCCCCAGACCCTTGTTATCTTATCGAGGTAGTAGCTGCTGATACGGACGATCACCACGTACCCAGCAACTTCGAGCTGTCCTTTGCGATATTAGTATAAAACGGATAGAGAGATTCGATTGATAAGAAATAATCATGTCCAACCTGCCAGTTGAACCGGAGTTCGAGCAGGCCTATAAAGGTTAGTGCAGATGTAATGATTATAATGCACCTCGATGGGGAAAGGGGTTGTAGTTTGGATGCTTACAGGGTGATATAGAACTCGCCTCGTCACTCGAGAACTCGACCCTCTTCCAGAAACGCCCGGAATATAAGAAGGCACTCCTGGTTGCATCTATCCCTGAGCGTACGATTCAATTCCGTGTCACATGGGAAGATGACAAGGGCCAAGTATGTTGTCCCTCTTTGATAAAGGTGAACGTAGATGTGCTGACAAGCTGGCGGTATAGCTGCAAGTCAACCGGGGGTACCGGGTGCAGTTCAACTCGGCCCTCGGCCCGTACAAGGGTGGTCTGCGATTTCATCCAACAGGTGAGCCTCTACCCGCATAATCCGATCGGGAAACTATGATCTAACATTTGTATGCGCAGTCAACATGTCCATATTGAAGTTCCTGGGTTTCGAGCAGATCTTCAAAAATGCCCTCACAGGCTGTACGTATCTTCACCAATTCTCTTTGTCCCTGGTGTCGATTGATAGGGGCATAGCTAACCCAATGTGTGTATATGGCAGTGAACATGGGTGGTGGCAAGGGAGGCGCTGACTTCGATCCAAAGGGAAAATCGGACAATGAGATTCGGAAGTTCTGCAGCGCCTTCATGATGGAGTTAAGCAAGCACATTGGTGCTGATGTTGATGTCCCCGCTGGTGATATTGGAGTTGGAGGTCGCGAGATCGGATTCCTTTTCGGTGCATACAAGAGACAGAGGCACATTTGGGAGGGTGTGCTGACTGGGAAGGGAAACAGCTGGGGAGGAAGCTTGATTCGACCGGAGGCGACTGGATACGGCCTCGTCTATGTGCGTCTCCCTGTTTTCCCTGCATATCCATTGAAGTCGGTCATAGTTTGCTAACGAGCCCTGGTTGCCGCAGTATGTCCAACATATGATCAAGCACGCCACAAATGGCCTGGAGAGTTTTGCAGGTAAACGTGTAGCTATATCTGGCTCTGGGAATGTAGCTCAATATGCTGCTCTCAAGGTGATCGAGTTTGGCGGTATTGTTGTCTCCCTTAGCGACAGCAACGGCAGTTTCGTTGTCCGGGATGGGTCAGACTCCTCAATCACACCAGAAGGGGTCCGTACGATCATGGCACTCAAGGATGAGAGGAAGCCACTTTCCGAAATTGCCAGCCACGAAGCCTTTGTCGACCGATGCGAATATATCGCTGGTGCAAGACCGTGGGTCCATGTCGGCAAAGTCGATGTCGTGCTTCCATGCGCAACCCAGAACGAAGTCTCCGGCGAAGAGGCAAAGGTTCTTGTCGCCAACGGCGCACGCTTCATCGCTGAAGGATCCAACATGGGTTGCACATTAGAAGCCATTGAGCACTTCGAGACGCATAGAGAGCAGCATAAGCGTGATCAGGGCGCAGTGTGGTATGCGCCCGGAAAGGCAGCGAATGCGGGAGGAGTGGCAGTGAGTGGGTTGGAGATGGCGCAGAACTCTCAGAGACTGACGTGGAGCGCGGAGGAGGTGGATGGGAAGCTACAGGCTATCATGGAGGGGTGCTTTGAGACTGGGCTGAAGACCGCAAAGGAGTACACCAACGTGAATGACGACAACTTGCCTTCATTGGTGGCAGGAAGCAACATTGCTGGTTTCATCAAAGTATCTGAAGCCATGCGAGCTCACGGTGATTGGTTCTGAAATGGATATCTTCCTTTTTTAACATTTCGGTTGGTTTCTGTTGGCGCTCCAGGTATCACCATTTCTCGTCTTTCTATAATTCCCGTGCCTTCTTTCCTTCATCTTGGGCAGGATATTTTGATAGGGCAGGTTTCCTGGTTTTTGTACTATGTATGATGCACTGAATGGGTCTATCAAGATTTGTGCTCAATGGCATTCCTTGCTCTGGCGGGCGCACATAGACTGTACATGTACAACAGCAAATGTACAACATGTCCATACTCGAAAAGGCACCGACTTTTTCTTTTCTTTTTGGTGGGTAATGTTAAGTGACATTGGTGACATGTTCTATTTTGGGCCCATTTTTCTATTTTCTTCTCCTACAACGAGGGCTCGGGGCATTTTGCTTGGTCGCTGGTTGGACTCCCGCAACCGTGCATAAAATAAACGAACATGCATGAGAAGAATAGATCGGTAAATAATATATCACCTTTACCGTAGATTCATCGGTTCCCACCGTCCTCGCTCGTTCCGGGATACGAGGGTCGTAAATTACAAGCTGGATGGCGAAGACGAGTCTTGGAAGAGGCCAGCCGGCTCAGCCTTGGACATGGGTGGCCTTTCTCTGGTGGTGGAGCGAAGGGTGGGTATGGACTCCGTATCTGACGGCTGTCAAACCGACCAGACCTTGACAGACCTGGCCTGGGGAATTTTCAGTGTCAACGAACTGTAGAAAGATGATGAAGTTGGAGTTTGTGTAAAAGAAGAGAAGAGGTTGAAGATGCCGAAACGGGCAGGCGGTGAAGGGCGGCAGCAAGAGACGTTCGACGTTTTTATTTTTTATTTTAACAACAAAGAAAGAAAAGGAATCGACGAGCAAGATGACAATAAGTAAGATGACGACAGAAAAGAGGAAAGAGAAGAGAAGAAATTACAGAGTGGACTAGCTGCATGTCAGAGCCCACCTCTGAGCTGCTGGAACGTGGCAGGGAGAGAAAGAGAGAGAAGATCGGTCATGAAGCAAATCCCATCGAGAGACGCGACTCTCTGTCCAACGCAAGGCCATTCCATTCAGATGTTGGGCCTCAAAGCACACGATTCCTGGTTGATTGCCCTTGTCCCTTGTCCTTGGTCCAAGATCTCTGATCTGTGGTTTTGACCTCTACATAGTACGTTGACCTGTCCATCGCCACGAACCGACGCCAGCAAGGAGCCAGAACATTAGCCAGAACAGTCTCTTCTGTCCACGACAGCATGAAAACAGCCTCCAAAACAGGGAGTCTCCACGATAAGAAAATTTAAGTTGAGGGACTTTGAGGCAGAGGAAGGTCTCTCGCGATCTGGTTGGTGGTCTGGAGAGATGAGTGGCTGACAGGACGAGCGATGAGTGGACGGCAGCGCAGGAACAAAAAATGATATGCGGACGATCCGAGTTTCAGGACCATCCAAAATGTCCTTTTGCAGGATCTTCCTTCACACACTCTCTCTGTCTCTCACTCTTACGCTCACTCAGCTGGTTGCACCGACCTACACACGAACAGCCCGACTCGGTCATCCGTAGCATAGTAAACCAGGGAGCGCGGAAAATTTTCCTACTATACGCTTACGGGTTGCAGGACAATTAGACAAGCAGGGGAGACAGGAGGGTCGAAGGCAGAAGATAGCGAGCGCCATGTCAGCCTCTTGCGGTGGCGGCTAGGCAGGAAGCGGGCAAGGCTCAGGGGTGCAAAAAAAAAAAAAAAGCAAGAAAAAAAAAAGGTTGTCTTTCGTACATCAGGCACACTTCCAGGGGCCGCAGCCAGTAAGCAGCGTCCCCTGGCCACTTTTTTCGCCTTTTGCGTGGATGCTTTGTTGGCGCCGTGAAAGCCGTCGTTATTTGTTCTCAGAAGGGCTTTTTCGCACTAACCCTTACACTTCCCTTTGTATATATCTTCCCTGTCATCTCCCGCTCTTCGTTCTCCTCCTTCTCTCTTCTTCCTCTCTTCCTCTCTTTTTTTCCCTATCCATCAAACGTTCTCTCGTACCAACTCTCTCTCTCTTTTCTAGAGCAGCCTGATTCTTGCGACACAGCATTCCTTTTGGTGTCCTTGACTCTCGTCTTTCTCTCTTCACTCACTCTCAGCTCTTTGCCTGGTGCATTGTGTCCATTTTGAATCGCTTGGTCCGATTCTCACAATCTTTCTGAACATACAAACTGCCCTTAACAGCTCATTCTTTGGCTGTTCCGTCCCCCTGGTCGAGCTAGGCCTCACAGATAAATACCACAATCTACAACCGCTACAATGGCTCCATTATTCAAGACTTTGGCTGCCGCCACGGCCCTCTACGCTACTCTTGCGACTGCTCTTCCCGTTCAGCAGAAGCCTACCATCTGGTACACCGCTACCGATGTCGTTGTAAAGACCATCACCAAGACCACAACCGTCTCCGGCGTTCCCGGTCCCGACTACACTGTTCCTCCAGCTTATACCACTTCTACCACCCCTGCCGTTCCGACCACTGTTCCGGACACGGAGCCCTCTTATACTCCAGTCCCCTCGGCTCCAACCACGACTTCTACTCCACCAAAGGAGACTTCTACGTCTTACAGTGCTCCGGCTGAAACCAGTTCCACCTCTGCTCCTCCACCCACCACCACCACCACTTCCAGTGAACACTCCTCCGCTGAGCGACCACTTCAGCCACACACACGCAGCACAACACACCCTCCACCAGCCAGCACTCCCCCTCCAGAGTCCAAACCATTAGTGATCAGCGTCCCACCAATTGCTGGCGGTGGCAGTGGCTACTCTGGACCTTGTGCCGCCGGTGCTGCCTGTATCGGTGAAATCACCTTCTACGATGGTGGAGTCGGATCTTGTGGCTCCGACATTGACACTAATGGCGAGAATGCCATTGCTCTGCCATTTGAGCTCATGGGCCCTCTCAGCAACAACAACCCATACTGTGGAAAGCAGGTCAGCATCACTTACATGGGTAAGACCACTACTGCTACCGTCAAGGACAAGTGTATGGGATGCTTTGGCAACAACATCGACATGACCCGCAAACTCTTCTATTTCTTGTAAGTGTTATTTGACTCCATTGTATCTTTTTTAAGCATTCACTAACTCTCTCAACAGCGGTGATGAGTCTCAGGGCCGTATTCACGATGTCGAATGGCACTTCATCTAAGCTATCCCCATCTGGGTTGATATAGTTTATTTGCTTGCTTTTGCACTTTCTTGTACATTTAGCAGTTCGTTTGCTCACACCCTATGAGCCCTTTCGTCTTCGACACTTTTTTCCACTTTTTTTTATGGAGAGGAAGGTCTTGGGGATCTCATAGCATTCGTTTTTCTCATTTTTCCATGGAACGGGATGGGGTTATCGGGGAATAGGCTTGGAGATATACTTCATCATTCGTTTTCTTTCACTTCGTTCCTGCTGTCTCTTCCCAGACAGTCTCAGGCCCTTTTTTTCTTCTTCTACCGTTCCACTTACTATTTTTTATCATTCGTCCAGCCGATTGCAGCAATGCTGCATGATTACCATTCACATTTTACCCTTCTCAACCTTTTTTGCACAAAATGTTTTTCTGTTCCTGTTTATGGAGCCCAGATAGAATGGATTACGACAAAACACGAAATCTACTTTATGACTTTTCTTTTTCATCTTCCCTTTTTTCCTCCTTTTGCCGAGTCAAGTCATCCAGTTGATCCATTCGTCTGTCCCTCCTGTCTTCATTCGTGTGGGATAGAACTTGCTCATCCGTCTTCTTTTCCCTGTGTTTTTAGCCGTCATAGCATACCCTCGTTTATACTGGTTTCATTGCAATCTGGTCTATCATCTATCCAGAGTAACGGGGGTAGATGTTGGTATGTCACCTCCTGTTAAGGGATCAAGTAGAACAACATCTATGACGATGACGCAGAATCATAACTACTATCAACTTACTAATAATTATTATATGTAATATCAGCCAACAGGGAATCACACTATTCTCCTTCTTCATGTCTCGGAGGATTATTACCTATCGCATCCAAAGTACCCATATCCTTGGGGCATCTCCGTACTATGTATATATGCACTCTCCTATACATGCCTCCGCTCCACACATCCATATACACATACGGAGTACACATCCAGACACATCACCCACTCCGACTCAGAGCTAAAGAAGAGCTAAGATTTCGGCTTCAGAAATTGATCGAGGATGAGACCATGCACATCACATATCCTGATATTTTTAGCCGGGTCGAACGAGCCATCTTTAGCATCCTGTCGTTTCTTTTCCTTCAGGCTCTCAGGGCCGGAAAGCAGAAGCAGACGGTGTATCACCCCCCCGAACCCGTAGTCCCCACGATCAGACAGTTTCACTGACAGAAGCGTGCAGTGTAGAATGCGTCTCCGCAAGCAGACAGCTTCGTGTTTGAGCGGGTGAGCGGACGAACAGACAGCGTGATCAAGCAGGAGAGCGAAGCGCCACGTATTTTTATCACGAAACGGGGGCGGCGGATCGAGGCTGAAAACGACGAACTACGCCGGGTCTAGGGAGGAAAAGAGATGGGATCGACCTGCACCGATTCGATGAGATCGCCTCTTCGCCAATTTCCACTGGCTCAGGGCTCGTTTTTCCTTCTTCTCTCGTCTGTCCTCTCCACCGAGTCCCCATCGCACTACCTGCTCACTAACGTGTCTGGGCGGAGAGACTAGCTGGCCTCGAATGGGGACCGAGGACTGGAAGACCGCTGGTGGCTACCTTGGCTCTCCTCATGATGGCATATGAGGGAACCGATACGGGGTTTGCGCCGCTGGTGCGAGAAGTCATATTTAATGGCGATATATATATTGGCCCTTTTTAAACAGAGCAGCGCCTCTTTTGCTATACCGCCATCGACTTGCTCTCCTTGTCTTTAACGACGGCATATACATTTAACTATTGCTCGGTGAGATCTGCTCTCTGTGAGGTATTTTGCTTCTTCCAGGGGAGTTTGATAGACGGCGGATGGCACCCTGATGCATGTGAGCGGTTCCCTATATACGGGGAGGCCCTGGAGTCAGATTTACTTGCTTTGGCCTTCTCTGTCCGTCGTTTCTCTCTCGATCCTGTCTCTCTTATCTCATATTCTCCATATTACTATTACTTAGTGACTGTCGCTCCTCGTTTTCCCATCCTTTCAACTGTAACCTTCTTTTCCCCGGTTTCGTCTTCTCCTCGCTCATTGATTCTTTTTCTTCTCTTCTCTTCTTTGCGACTCTATTTTATCTTCCTTGTTTTCCTGGTTTGATGCATGGATGGAATCGATGAAGTTGTTACGGTGAGGTGAGAGAATGGCTCAGGGACTAGATCATGGGCCTGAGCAGGGCTGGCGGACGGTGATTTTTGTCGTGACCTTGCTCATGGTGATACTATCTGCTGGCTCTGTTGCTTTTCGACTGGCTTCACGACTCTATGTTATGCGGCAGGCCGTGAAGATTCACGATTATTTGATTGTTTTAGCATGGGTGAGTTGGTACCTCTACATTAACTGCCTGTGGCCGGCCGTTCTAATATACCACTAGATGACCGCATTTGGCTTGTCGTACTCGATATTATACGGAACGACAAAAGGGCTGGGGTTAAATATGGAGTTCATCCCTATAGAACTACGGCCGCAATTAAAGAAGGCGATATATTCGTTCTCCGTTCTCTATGTACGTTGCCGTCTATACTTATCTTGCGTTAATCGCTAACTTGTATTTACATAAAAAAGAACCCTACGTTGATGTTGACCAAAACATCAATCCTGCTATTTTACCTTAGGAGTATAGGTAAAGCCCGCGCCTTTCGTTGGGCAATATATACCACTCTTTTTGTCGTCAACGCTGCTGGCCTTGCTCTTCTGCTTTTAAACATCTTTCGCTGCAAGCCCATCCAATCGGCCTACTCCTATCCGGCCCTGGAGAGCGCAGTATGCATCAACTTCGTTGACCTGTATCTGGCTTCTGTTCCCCTTAACGTTGTCTCAGACTTTGCTATTCTTATGCTGCCCTTACCTGCCCTTTCACAGATGACGTTGCCCTTCAAACACAGGACCGCCCTTGGTCTCATGTTCAGCGCCGGCGCCTTAGTCACCACGATTACTCTCATACGCACTGCAATGTTACAATTTGCGTACATAGCGCAGGTTCAGGTCCAGGAGGCTGTAGACTGGGACGGAATCGACGAGAATCAATTTCCGTGTATGTATTCATCCCCCTGCTGCTTCTGATAGCTATCAATACTAATAGCGTATCGATGTAACAGGGCACGCTTCGGAATCGTTCATGTGGTCAGCTATTGAAGTGAATGTTGGTATTATTTGTGCCTGTGTTCCCATGCTTAAGCCCCTAGCAACCCAACTATACGCCAAATGCACCGGGGACTCCTGCATGCCAGTATCGCGCAGAGATGCCAAGGAGAAATCGCCTCTTAGAGGTGTGCAGATTGGACGAAACTCCATGACTCCGCCACCACTCGCCTTTGATGGATGCAGGCGGTCGTGTAGCCCCGATTCAACCTACAGTGACGTGGACATTCACACTGGCTCCAGAAAGTCAAAGTCCAAGAAATGCCATTCACGCCTAAGCACAGGAAGCTTCCATGACCGAGGATCTGCCAAACCAAAGCAAACGAAGAGCATGTTGGAATTAACTAACAAGGAAGCGCTCCCCTTTTTAACTGCGATAATCTTCTTACTGTTCCTCTGGGGTTTCGCATACGGCCTTCTCAACACTGTCAATTTCCATTTCTTAATTGAGGCAAAGACAAGTTACGCCAAAGCCATTGGTCTACACGCTGCTTATTTTGCGGGCTATCTCATCGGACCGGCGGCGGCGGGCGTGCTCCTGAAAAAGTCTACTTTCAAGCTGACGTTTATTGTTGGACTGTGTCTATATGCCTGTGGCATTTTGATTTCCTGGACGTCTGCAGTGCTTTCATCCTTTGCGACCTATGTATTTTCAAATGCCGTCACTGGCGCTGGTATGGCTATGGTCCAGACTACTTCTCACCCTTTCCTGGCCCTCTGTGGACCGCAAGAATATGCCGAGATGCGCCTTAACATTGCGCTCGGCTTTCAGTCTATCGGTAGCGTGATATCATCGATACTGGCCAAGAAGGCGTTTTCTCCAAGGGAGATTGATGCCCATGATCTCGTACAGATGAAGTGGGCTTACTTCGCCATGGCGCTTCTACATATCATCCTAGCCATAGCGATGCATTACCTCTCTCTCCCTGAGGCGAACGATAATCAGCTTGCAGACCTCGCGCGCCAACGCCAAATGGCCAATTCAGCCAAAATCTATGATATCCGTGTTGTTTGGATTACCCTGGGCCTGGCCGTGTTTGCTCAATTCCTCTTTGTCGGCGGTACGGAAGGTATCAACGTACACTTTAGGAAACTCGCTAGGCGTACGAGAATTAAGTAAGTCTCCTTTATTGCATCCTTCAGCTCCGTAAGCTACATACTAACGCCCACTTGTTATAGAAATGTTACACCTTTTGAATCCCAGGCTCTTGGCTTTGCGCTTTTCGCTGTTGGACGGTTCGCAACTGTTGGTCTGCAGCTAATCGCGAAGCCACGCACTATTCTTTCAATTCTCTACCTCGGCCTTATTGGATGCACGATAGCATGTGTTACCATACACGGCAGATTTGCCATGATTGGAGCTCTAGGGACCTATTTCTTTGGAAGTGGCATATACGGGCTGACTTTCGCCATAGCCCTGCGTGGCATGGGCCACCATACCAAATCAGCTGCGGCATTTTTAACAGCTGCAGTCTCCGGCGGTGCAGTGTTCACTTGCATCCAGCGAGCCGTCTCCACCAGCCGGGGGGTTCAGTTCTCGTTCGTTGTTCCGGCCGTCCTATTCACCGTTTGTTTGATTTTCCCCATCTATCTAAACATTTTCCCCCCAGCCAAGAGACACACAGATCCCACTCTGAAAAATTATCGGGCACGCGGTACCAGCGTGGCTTTCCATCCTATCCAGAACAGCCGGGGAGAAGGATTCGCTGTCCCGGAATCAATCTTTCCTTCCCAGGAAACCATTGCACGAGTAGTTCAGAGGTCGCAGGATCGTTCCTCAACTTGTATACCGTCACCCACGCAAACACCGAAGCGTTCGAAGGGCCATTACCGTGGGGGACTAATGCACAGCTTATCTTCCTGGCATGCTGCTCTGAGATCCCAGTCTTCAGACAAGGCATCTTTCTACGAACCCAGTTCGCCGCCGCGTAATTGGGATATGGGTTCAAAGCCCGAGAGGAGGTGGCCGTCTGGCCCTTCTTCCACTCCTCCGCTGGAGCTGGACGAGATGGATGCACGAGAAACCTCAGAATATTATCGTGCAGAACAGCTGCGCAAAGACATCAGGTGATCGAAACATGCATTAGCAGGCGCATTTGCATACATTCTTTCGTTGACGAGTTTCTTTTTTCTAATCCCCCCTCCAAACAATCAGCCAGTTCTTTTTTTTTTTTGCATTTGATATATGTATATACCCTGCATACTTTGTTTCAAGCTGGTCATTGGGAGTTAATAGTTGGGTTCTATGTTGTCTATGTACAAAGCCAAAGAGATGTTCATAGCTTGGTGTACAGCATGACCTTCGAGTTGCTTTGATAGCCTCTTTAATAGATAATAATTGACAGGCTATACAATCTACGTGGTATACATAAAGGAATCGACCAAAACAAAACCGAGTCACGAATAATCATCCAATTGCGACATTCAAATAAAAGGAGGGGGGGGACATTATCTTTCACATTTATTTATCCATTTGACTCATAGGCAACATTAAAGAAAAATCGAGGGGCCATGCGAAGGGGGGAAGGGAAGGGTTGAGGTAGTTATGGAGCTTCACGTATTCAATAAGTGTTTATAACATGTCGTACAGTTGGATTGAAATCTAACCACTGCACATCACACATTCCTCTTTGTTCTCAATGCTACCTAGAAACTCAATTAGCATCTCTGGTAGAGAAGTCATCATTTATAATTGGGAATAACTTACAGGCTAGGACTTTTTCTGAGTAAATGTCTGCTTCTGTCTGAGCATCGTCCTTTTCTTCTTTTGGTTCAGCCGATTCACCCGACGTCTCCAGCGATTTGTCTTCGGAGGTAATTTTCGAGCTTGATGACGCAGGAATCTTTGATTCTTCATCTGGAGTAGTTTTCTTAGAAACGGGCTGTGCAACTGCCTGCTGAGTACCATCGTACATTGGGCGTGGAACAGCAGAATAAGACCCTGTGGATCCCGCGGCAGCAACACGTTTCCTCATCGCTCCATTAGCGCGTGCAACATTAGTGTCGACAACCTTGAGCTGTTCTTGGTCCACAGTGAACTGAATTGGAGCAGATGCAGCCATTGTGCGGAGATAGTACATTCCAGTCTTGAGGCCGAGTTTCCAGCCAGCGAAGTGCATGCTGGTAATCTTTCCCATGGTGGGCTCCTTCAAATGGATGTTGAGGGATTGAGATTGATCAATAAAGGCGCCTCGATCGGCCGCCATTTGAACAATGGTGCGCTGGGAGATCTCCCAAACAGTCTTATACAGAGCCTTGATATCCGCTGGGATATTAGGGATGTTTTGAATGGAACCGCCATCAGCAATGATGCGGTTCTTCATGTTGTCTGACCATAAGCCAAGGTCAACTAGGTCCTTAAGAAGCCATGGGTTGACAACTTGGAACTCGCCAGCAAGAACACGGCGGGAGTAAATGTTAGAGGTATAAGGTTCGAAGCACTCGTTGAATCCCAGAATTTGACTAGTACTGGCAGTCGGCATGGGTGCGAGGAGCAAGCTGTTACGGACACCGTGCTTAGAGATCTCGGTTTTGAGAGCGTCCCAATCCCACAGATCGGTTGGTGTTACATTCCACATGTCATACTGAAGAATTCCCTGAGAAACCGGGGAGCCTTCATAAGAAGAGTAAGGCCCATCGGCCTTAGCCAGCTCACACGACGCAGTCAACGCAGCGTGATAAAGGGTTTCAAAGATTTGAATGTTCAGCAATTTGGCTTCGGGTGAGTCGAAGGGCAGCCGGAGTGCGAGGAAAGCATCGGCAAGACCTTGAACGCCAACAGCTATTGGACGATGACGGAAATTACTTCGTCTGGCCTCCTCAACGGGATAGTGGTTCCCATCAATGATTCGATTCAAGTTCTTGACAACAACCTGGGTAACTTCATGGAGTTTACCGAAATCATATTCACCACGGACAGCATCCACAAATGTAGGAAGGGCGATGGATGCCAAGTTGCAAACTGCTACCTCGTCTGGAGCGGTGTATTCAACGATTTCAGTGCAAAGGTTGGAGCTTCGGATAGTACCCAGGTTCTTCTGGTTGCTCTTTCGGTTGCAGGAATCCTTGTAAAGCATGAACGGGTTTCCGGTTTCCGTCTGAGCTTCAAGGATGGCATACCACAACTTCTGGGCTTTAATTGTGGTTCGGCCACGTCCCTCCTTTTCGTATCTATATATAGATTAGTGGTCTAATTTCTAAAGGATGCCTCACTTGGGGTCAGACTTACTTTTCATATAAAGCCTCGAACTCTTCTCCGTAGACATCAGCCAAGCCAGGTGCCTCGTTGGGGCAGAAGAGAGTCCATTCGCCGTTCTTTTCAACTCGCTTCATGAACAAATCAGGAGTCCACAAGGCTAAGAAGAGATCACGAGCGCGGACTTCTTCCTTTCCATGATTTTTGCGAAGGTCAAGGAACTCAAAGATATCCGCATGCCATGGCTCCAAGTAGATTGCAAAAGCGCCTGGACGCTTGTTGCCACCTTGGTCTACATATCTTGCGGTATTGTTAAAGACACGAAGCATTGGCACGATACCGTTAGAGGAGCCGTTAGTCCCTGCAATGTAGGACCCTGTGGCGCGGATACGATGAACATTAAGCCCGATTCCTCCGGCAGTCTTTGAGATTAAAGCACAAGTCTTGAGTGTATCGTAGATACCTTCGATACTGTCCTCCTTCATATCAATGAGGAAGCAAGAAGCCATTTGTGGCTGTGGGGTTCCGGCATTGAAAAGAGTGGGAGAAGCATGGGTAAAGTACTTCTGGGACATGAGGTTATATGATTCAATTACTTTTTCAACATCCTCACCGTGGATACCAACAGCAACTCGCATTATCATGTGCTGTGGTCGTTCAGCAACTTTGCCGTTGGTCCTCAACAAGTACGATCTTTCAAGTGTCTTGAAGCCGAAATACTGGTAGTTGAAGTCACGGTCGTAGACAATAGCTGAGTTGAGCTCTTCAGCGTGTTTCATGACAATCTCGCGAGTCTTCTCGGATATCATGGGGGCTGGGCGGCCATTCTTGGGGTTGACATAGTGGTATAGATCATCTATGACGGAGGAAAACTGCTTCTTGGTTTGTTTGTGAAGGTTTGATACTGCTATTCTTGCAGCGAGAATGGCATAGTCTGGATGGGTCACTGTCATGTATGCAGCAGTTTCGGCAGCCTATGAGAATCCAGTCAGTGTCTTGCCACGGTATGTGTAGACAGAGAGGTGGGAGATGGAAGGCATACCAAGTTATCGAGCTCGACTGTAGTCACTCCCTGGTAAACACCGGAGATAACTCTCTGTGTAATGGCAGCAGCGTCGACATGCTCAGGGTCGAGGCCATAGCATAATCTCGAGACGCGGGCAGTTATCTTGTCGAACTGCACGCGCTCCTTACGACCGTCTATAACAGCGTTAGCTACAGGTCAGAAAAGTTGAACCCTGGACTAGGGGTGTCTAGTGAACCAAGGGTCATACCTCTCTTGTAAACGAACATCTTGCCAACCGTGCTCAATCTCTACGCCGATGGTGGGGGAAGTGGGTGAAGATATTGGATAGTTATCCCTTTCTTTAGTTCTTGTATGAGACTGTCTTCTCTCTAAACTAGCCAGACGTTGACAGAGAGTTGAGCAGAAGATGCGTGGCTTCAAGAGGTTTAAAGAAGTTGTTGAAAGAAATCAAGCGCGAAATTCAAACGTTTCGATTTTTCCAATTTATACAAATCGACGCGTTTTTTCTTCTTTGGGACGCGGCGAAAAAGGCGTGGTCACGTGAATATATCAACGCGCTTCTTTTTTCGAGTTAATAAGAATAATAATAATCGATTTACTTTTAAAAGAAGAGACGAGAGGACGGAAATGGCTGAGAAGATCTGGAGGGATAGCATATGGGGGCGGACGTTGGATAATTATAACGGAGATTCTATGTAGGATTGCGCTTGTACTTATACTGGATAGATGTACATAGTAGAAAGATGCATTTAAATGGTGTAGTGCAAAGTCAAGTAACGCACTCATCAGAACGGTTCTATTATAGCCAACTAGGCAGGCTATTTTATGTATAACTAACGCAGGACATGTAAAAGTAATACAAAAGCAGAAGCAAGCACAGAACGTGACAGAATTGAACAGGGGGATAGAGTTAACAGCACTTAAAGCGCAATAGCCCCGATAATAGCAACAACGAGAGCAACAAACATCGAGTCAGCCTTGTGGAGGGATCCAGCGTTAGGCTCACTAGATGGAGAGGAAGTGTTGGATGGAGACAAGCCAGAGCCAGAAGCCGAAGTGGGGGAGGACTTGGAAGTGGTCAACGAGCCAGTGCTGGAAGCAGTAGAGGTCGCGGAAGAAGAAGAAGAAGTGTTGGTATCAATGAGATCTAGATGTTCTGTGTTAGTTTTTCTATAATTCGCTCCGGTACCGCAAATTCCAAAAAGGAACTCCGTCTATGTAAACTAAATAAGAACGTACTGATGTCATATCCGGCATCGGAGCAGGCAGCCTTGAAAGACTTTAGGCCAGCGTCAGAATCGCCCTCACATAATTTGACTATCTGCTTTTGAACGGCGTTGCTAGAGGAGCCGCATAGAGTTCCGAAGTCACTGAGGTCTTTTTGGGTGCTATTTGGGAACCGTTAGCCCGGGAGATTGGCTATCCGAGGTAGGGGAACAACATACATGACTGCTCCGAGGACACAGGCAGGAGGGAACGCCGCGACGAAACCACAGAGGGCAAAGAAGACGAAAACGATGGCGGATTTGGCGAACATGGTTGAACGGTCAAACCTGTCGTTCGTAGATTGAAAAAAGAAAGTGGAAAAAGAAGAGAAGCTGAGATATGCCTAGCGAGGGAGGTAATGAACGTGGTAGCCTATATGAAGCGCCTGAAAAGAAAGATTGAACGAGCGATGTACGATGCCGACGTCTGGTGTCAGAGAGGAGAAGAAAGAAGGGGAAGTTTGAAAGTTGATGCTTTTTTCGTCCCTGCCAAGACGCCCGACCAGGGCGTCAAACACGCTAAGCCCCTGAGCATTTAGCCGCCGACCGCGCTGACATACATCATATTAAAATATTGTCTGTTGGAATATATATCTACGGAGTACAGACATCATCATCATATATATTATGTACCAGTTATATATATATCAACTCTTCCACTGTGCATCCTCTTTGCTGACAATAATCTCCGCCACAGGTAAACGATAATCTACAATCTCGCGCCCATTGACCAGATCATTCTCTCTTGCCCTTTTATCAGCCTCCATCTCGTCCTTTGCAATGCCGGCACGCACATGTCTCTTGATCAGTCTCTGCCTGGCAACCTCAAAATCCACTTCCACGAACCACAGCTCGTCCAGCAGGGCTGCCGCATCGCTCCATGGCTTCTTATCTAGGGCGAGATAGTTTCCTTCGAACAGCAGTATACGAGCGGTAGGAGGGATGGGGATATCGTTTTCCACCGGATCTTTGACGGCATGGTCAAAGCTGGGTGCATATAGTGTGGGAGAGCTCGCAGTTAGTGGGTTTCGGAGTGAGCTGATCAGGGTTATCAAGTTGGTTGGGTCGAAGGTGAATGCCGCCCCACGACGGGCAAAGGCGAGAACCGGGTCAGGCATGGCGGACAGCTGGGCGCGCGTGAGGTGGTAGCCGTCCATTGCGATACAGGCTGCGACTGGCGAAGTGCTCATGGCGTTAAGCCGATTGACGACGGCAGTTGCCAATGAGGTCTTCCCTGAGCCGGGGATGCCACTGATGCCCACCATGTAACGCTTCGACGGTTCTGTGGATTGGAATGCTCCTATAAGTACGGAAGAAGCCTGTAAGTTCCCAGAGCGATGTGACCATATCAAAGCACTCTGTAGAGAAGGCAAGAAGTTGCGTACCCCATACTTTCTGGGCTAGACGTTCAACCTGGTCATCCATCTTGCACCGCTATCCAAGAGCTACGTGAATATATAGTGATTCAAAGATTCTCCGCTATGGAAAACTCCAGTAACTAAAGAACGTTCGTTATAATTGATCTCTACTCACGGCGAGCTGCAACGATGCCCACAATTTTACGTAAGCAAATCTTCCATCGGTATCAAAATTCTGAAAGCAGAAAATGTTGGCTCGTCTTGACGTTTCCACCTATAATGTAGGTTGTAGTAGACGATAAGCCTGATTCATACACAGCAACGAGTCAACATCAAAACGAAGGATGCTGGTTCGTGGAACCAAGCCTTATTTAACATAATGTGTGTGGTTTATTCCTATAACTTTGTACATCTCTATGGCCAGCTTCAGACGAGGAGATAGGTGGAAGATTAAGCTTAACCAGCGACGTGGGACATCCTGTGTTTTATTTAGGAGGTTGAACTGGCTGAGAATGATACTAATAACGCACGCAGAGAACAATAAAGCAGATAATAAGATATAAACCCGGCTTCAGTTCTAGAGTAGAAACATGTGTAAAATCGTTAAGCGCCAGCAGAATCAAAAAATATAGTCCCGTTTTAACCCTAAGGCTACGCACTCGTCAACAGTACGTAGGTATTGTGTCGTCTTGGCCCTTCACATCTAACAAAAAGGAAGAAGAAAAAAATGGTGTCATAATGCATGGAAATTAAGGCAGTAGAAGAGGCCAGCTCTTGGAGAAGACAAGGGAGGCAGTCACTCGGCGTTACGCTCGCGGTTTAGCTCCCGAGTAATGATACGTGTCAAGCCTGCGGTTGCCCACCATTCATCAGGGATATCGTCCCGTCTACTTAGAAGGTTGAGCGTGTCGTGGAGTAGCTGTAAGCCAGCTGCTTCGTTCTCAAGTGTGAATGAAGAAGCGGTGGGTGCAGAGCTGTCAGGAGACGTGTTGCTGTCGGCCTGAGTTTGGGCTTGATTCTGTGTCTGTGTCTGACTTCGAGACTGGTTTCGTGCACGGTTCTGGTACCGCTCTAGATCATCGTCTGCCTCCGTATCTGAATTTTCCGAAGATGAGATGAAGTCGCAGTTCGCAGAGAAGGATGGAAACGGATCAAACATGATGTGCATGCGTGAAGAGCCGGACGAGCCAAATGACGAAGAAGGCGTGAGAGACGTGGGGCGGCGGTCGATGATCTGGATGCAGAAGCGGACGCAGATGCAGTGCGGAGGTGAACGAGGAGTCTGCACTGGAAGA